CATAATACAATTCATTATATAAGCATCGAGCTTCTGGTCCCATAAATTTCAAGGTTGTTATGCACACGGCAGGCTTGGAGTTAGAATTGTGAATTGATAATGGGTAACTTTGCTCATTAATTTAGGGAATAAATAGTAAATGTATATGACTAGTTTTTTACACTTGATATCATACAAATCATTCACCTGCCCCCGTACCATGCCACCCGCCGCCGCCGATCCCGTCCTTAAATCCACGATTTTGCCATACCTGTATACATTCAACGTAATATATGAATCATATTATAGACAAAATCATCCTCGTTGAGTTTGTTTCTTTTGAGCCTTTCTCATCTCTTTTTCCTTCTCCTTCTCGAGGTACTTCTTTTGTGCCTTGGCGTCAAGACCCTTCAATTCAAGATCCCTCTTCAATTTCTTGGCCTTTTCACGTTCTAGTGCACGCTCTTCGGCTTTTTCCTCCTCATCAGCCTTTTGAAGTCTCTTGATTGTATCTTCACGGGTCATGCGCACTTTACGCATGACTTCCGGTCGAAAATGAGCGCCAGATGCAAGTTGATCCGTGATTCTGATGAAGTGTTCAAAGAGAGGAAGAACTCGGGAGTAATCGTCACCGGAAGGAAGTTTCATGGATAGATAAATACGTTTCTTTGGAACAGTATCATCAAGTCTGTGGAGATTGTAAGTTAAACGACCTTCCTAGGCTAGGATATAACATGTGGGTACTTACTTCAAAGGTCGGTCAATTGGCTGATCAGTAATGATGAGATGCTCAAGTAGATCTCCAGCCAATTCCACTGCCTCAATTAATGCGGGAGTAAGCAAAAAGTCGGTAACCTCAGCGCTCTCGCTCATGACGGTGGCCCAGTTTGGAAGCTTAGGACTATCCTTAGTGCTAGTGATGGAGACGTCATATCTGTCATCACGAAGTGACTTCATTGTCTCCTTGTTCACAATAGCCCAAACGAAGTTATCATAGGTACTCTTGGTATCTTTGCGCAATTCATGTGCACCAGGAGCTTGACCAGGAACAGTAAGGTTCTCTCTGCCATCAAAAGGATAAAGTATGGCTTCCATACGCTCAACAGGTGTTGCAACGGTGTCGAAGAAGAGACTGAACGCGTACTCAATAGCGAGTGCGAAGGGATTGTAACGCTTGAGAAGTTTGACGTTGACATCAAGGAATGCGATATTTTGACGACCAGTCGCATAGGTTGCGTATTCTTGTGGAGATTTCTCCTTCAACAGATCTTCGGGCAATTCGAGTTGCTTAGCCATTGACTTTGCGGCTTCTTTGTCTTCGATTTCCTGGGTCGTTGGAGCGCGGCCACCGAATCCAACTAATGCAAATTCCTTGCGTAGAACTGGTGCGTGTGCGGCCATCCATTTTTTCGCCTTCTTGCGGTTTGTGCCTGTTCCGAACAAGTGGATAGAAATGAGGACAATTAACAGACCTAAAATGATACCTTCTTGTTTAAACTCGCTCAGAGAATGTCGCTCATGAACGTTGTACCATTTCGTGTAAGGAACTGCAGCGCCAGTAGGAGTTGCTACTGGTCCAGTGTAGTCAGCCGCCGAAGGGATTGCGGAGAAAGCTGGAGTTGGATCTGGAGCTCCAGCGAAATCTGCGAAATCTGTTGATAGATAAAATTAGTGTATGTCAGGTACGAAGAAGCATTGAGTGCTAATTTACCAGAATCTCCAGCTTGAACAGGAGCTGCAGATGGCTCGGAGCTTCCGAAGAGACCATTCAATAATGCCGCCATTGTTGGTGAAATTGATCTTGAATTGATGGTGAGCTGGAGCTTTCGTTTCGAAGCTTGAGATTGTGGGTAAATTACTTCCGATATCCATGCTAACTGTATCAAGGTTAATGTAATAGGGTGTTGTTCTGCCGTCGAGCAAGTTTTGACCGCCTTTCACTCGTCTCTTGGACAACCACAATCCCGAAGTTTATCCTTTCTTTACCAAATATGGTAACATGAAGTTTTACGCAAAGCATGCCCATTCAGACAGATATTGATCCTAATGCTTCCAAGCACATTTATTGACTATCCATATTTGAAATCACTGATAGAGAATAAGGAACTATTGAATTAGTCACTACATTGTAAGTGTATACTATGGGCTGGGATCTGGTTACTTTCCAAGCCAAAGCCACGAACAAACTACAAACTGATGGGACCTCACAATGCAAAAATATAAATGGATGGTGTCTGGGTAGTTCCTTGAGGCCCTCTATATTCCATAAAGCTGTGGGATGCATAGAGTATCTGGGTACCTTCGTTTGGCGTTCAAGTATTAACCAGCTTTGGGAGATTTACAGAAGTTCAAATTTCAAATCACGAACCTCCATTTTCATCATGACACCTGCCCACATTTTTACACACGTCTTTTTGTGGGAGAAATAACAAGAAGCACTCGCTGACTGTCAATAGTGTTATGACCCGAAAATATGGGAAGAAGCGTCCTGCTGCAAGTGCGGCAGCTGTAGCCATTTTTGGATCCACGACTCAATCAGTTGCTTCAGCAAAGATGGATTCCACTACAACCTCCGAATCACAATCTCCACAGAGAGAACTTGCGGAAATCACGAATCTATTAGAAAATACAAATCTTTTAGAAAGTACCGACGAGGTGACCGTCCTTCTTGAGAAGACGAGTCTAGAAGCTCGTGTCAATACTCTTAGTAACACTCTTGACCTTGAAAACATTGGTCAAGAATCTTCTTCCAAAGATGCCCCGGATCTCTTAGACGAGACAACTGCGGAAAGTACTTTCGAAACGATCGTCAGCTCAGAGAAAAATTCAGCACCAATTGAACATAAAATAGAAGTCTCAATTCCTCAGACACCAGTTTCCTTCTCCCCTACGCCACTTCCTATCAATCCACGCCTCGCAGCCTCTCTCTCACCTCTTCTGCTTGCCTACGAAAAAGACAACGGCTACCCGCTAACTACTAAAAATTGGGACGATGTTCTGGCACCAGGCTCGAGTATCCAGAAAATTGCCGAAGCATCTTATGCAGAAGTATTTCGTATAACAAACCCAGTCGGGTCCTCGATTCTCAAACTTCTACGCCTCAAGGTTCCTACAGATCCAACATCAAAGAAATCGGATACTGCAATCAAGGTCGACACTGTCGTATCTGAGATGCGTCTTATGAACGCACTTACAGAGATCCCAGGGTTTGTGAAGTTTAAAGACGCGCACATAGTAGAAGGTAAACCACCACCAGCGTTTGTAACAGCATACGAAGGACACTTGGACGCTGGTGGGGAGTCATATTTTCCACACCCAAATAAGATCTCCAAACATGCGGTTTTTCTAGCTATCGAACTTGGTGATGCAGGTCATGTTCTGGAGAAATACCCAATAAAGAATGTCGATCAGCTGTGGGACATATTTCTAGGTGTCGTCATCGCTCTCGCAAGGGCAGAAATGGAACATGAATTTGAACACCGCGATCTTCACGAGAACAATATCTGTATCCTTGAACGCACACCTCCATCGGCTGCTCCTAAACCGAAATCAAAATCAAAATCAAAAAGCAAAACCCAAGCTCTACCATCGCCCCACAAATTTGGCAACTCAGGTCTCGAAATAACAATCCTCGACTATGGCCTGTCCCGTGCCACTATTTATCCTGTTTCCTCCTCTTCAAATCCTTCTCCAGCCCCCGAAACAGTCTTCTACAACCTTGAGTCAGATACTGCTGTCTTCTCCTCTTTTGAACCCTCCAGTATTGCCGGAGTTCAATTCGATACCTACCGTCGAATGCGTGCCTATCTCTTCTCAGGCGGCCTCTCAAATACCAACGCCAACACACCTTCAAAAGCTATACGAGATTCTATAAAACAAAAGAAACATTCTTGGGAAGAATATATGCCGTATAGTAATGTGTTGTGGTTATACTTTTTAATGGAGTATCTGACGGAGGTGGCGCCAAAAGGAGGAAGGGGGAAACCGGGAAGACAGGCATGGGTGAGGGAGACGGAGGAGTTGAGGTGGCTTATAGATCCAGATTGGGTACCTGGAAATGGCGCAAGTGATGATAAAGAAAAAGGCGAAGGAGAGGGTGAAGAGGAAGAAGAACTAGGATTGGGCTGTGCGGGAGACGTATTACAATATGCGTTTGACATGGGGTGGGTTTGTGAGGAAGATTTAGGGGATGTAGACACAAGTCGTTTAAGTCTACGAGAAGATTCGTATGTTGGGTTGGAAAAAGAAAAGAGACCTCCTTTGACTTCCAAATAGTCAATTATTTGAAATCAATGCTCTATTTTTTTTAGACGGGTATTGTGTTGGTGGCGGCGCTTTGGACGTTCCGGTATGGTATGGTTTCTGGCAAGATGGAACTGGGTGGGTGGCAAATAATCTTTGTGGTGTCCATGGCTCTAGGTAGGAAGGCTCCTATGGACTGCATAGATTGGAATAGCATGATAGAATAGTTTGATTTGGCTAGAGTCGATTTTTACCTTGGTCCATGGAAACATCTTGTCATATTTTATACGACAATGCAATTAATAGAATGGACAAATGCTTAAATATCCGCACTTTCTCTGTTTTATTCCTGTATATTGAAAAATTTCGTTAATACAACAATTCTTAGTGGTGAGAAATGACTACGTATGAAAGATTCATTCTTGTTGCTTTGAATGCATGCATATTCAAAGTGAAGTACATTGAATAGGATTTGGGATGGTTCGGTGATAGATATTAATGAGTCTACTGTACAATCAAATTTTGATCCAGCTCTCTGGAGAAACATATCAAGTGAAGAAGGGCCATAAAAAATCCAACTGAGAACTTTATAAGGGGGCCTATGCGAGAATTGTGGGATCTATGGAAGTATTGGGTTCTCTGTGATTTGAATACTTATAGGGTCTTTAGAGGCTTATACCTGCTATGAGCCACTGCTGGAAGCAACATTTCAAAAAGATTGCAGCAGTTCATGTTCTGAAGAGGAGAGTTCATTTAAATATCAATTGCTACTAATCACTTCACACAGCCACGATACCACCCTCAAATATCTTAGCAACGCTCGATACTTCCGCACCCAGTTCCGCATAGAACAGTTTGTTTCCCATCATGATACCTGTCATTCATTCATCATACAGGGGGGACGATTTCCGTCATACCACTGCTGGGTGTCCATACACCAGTAGTTGACTCGTAGCTATAAACGTCAGTAAGAATTTGCCAGCACGACTCATAGTCACCTACAAAATCTGTTGGTAAACACCCTTTGATTTCCTAGTAGTCACCGAAAATACACCAGGTGATGTGACTTGTACCTTCGGAGATGAGATAGAAGGAGCGCCGACGTATGTCCGTGTAAAACTTCCAACCTCATTCCCAGTCAGAGTTACAGTACTTCGATAGATATACCCATCAAGACCGATTCCAAAGACGTCAATTCGGCCAGGAGATGCCGAGATGGAAATGGGCTTCATTCATTATGAGCTTGCGTCTCTCGCTACAGTTAAGGAGACTCACATCGTATATATAAGCGCCAGAAAGATTCTGCCAAGTTCCCCACCCAATGCCACCAGATCGGTGGGTCAATTGCCTCAAACCGCGATCTGCTGCAAACACGAAGACATCGATACATAATGCTTTGGAACACACAATCGTGGGTTTACTCAAGCAATAGCCAGCTCCACTCCGCGTTTCCCAAGCATTAGCCCAGGTACCCCCGGCACTCCATGTGTGTAAAAGCTCTCCTGTAGTAAGTTCGACACCGACAACAGACATGGATTGGTCGTAGCTTCGATCCAGGGCTGCTAGAGAGTCACTTCTTCTTTGTAATGTTAATGATTTTATTTGAAAGGCGTAAAGTCTAGAGATTTACTCACAACTTCTTAACCCCGTCACCGATGGCTGTCCAGGTGAAATCAGTACTGACGTAAAGTTTTAGTTTCAAATTAAATCCTCTATATTTGGTGGATGAAAACTGAGAACATACTCGGAGGTACTTATCCCTCCGTACGGGATATGCTCTAATGAGACATAAAAGACAGCGAATGTATTGGCAGTGGCAGTACCATAATGTGTGACAACAGGGGAGGAGGCACTCTTTCTAGTGGTGGAGACCCAACTCGACCATCCTGTTGATTGACTGTACCACTTGTGGCTCAGATAGAGATCGGCACCGCTATCAAAGTCAAGATCAATGTTGGCTTCATTAAATTTCTTTGGAATAAAGAGACTTACACGGCAAATGCATGGACCTTGCCATTTGGCAGAGAAATAAGCACAGGATCTAGGCTTGTTAACCCTTCCTAACCACGAGTACATGGTGTTGACATGATCATGTGCTTACCATAAATAAAGGTGCCACCACTAGTATTGCGGAAGAATTAGTCAGGAAAGCGAGATATGGTAAGAAGTAGAGGGGAAAATGCTCCATATAGATATCGAAACTTTTTTATGAAATTGAACTAATACTTCCACCACGAGTCCCAAGGACACAACGTTGATATAATAGTTTCAAAAGGGTGTCACCAAAATAAATCAACTCACGAAACGCCATTAACGTCAACATCAGACCACTTTTTCGCCTCCCAATCTAGGTTGATTAGCCACGTTAAATGGATTATGATACAAAAAAACCAAAGATCTTCGAAGAAGTTTGCAGGGAACATACTTTGCACCCAGAGAGCTCTGATAAGGTTCGTTAGCCAGAAGTTTTGACATGAATATGAATGGACATCCATCAAGATTGAAGAAGGAAAGTGAAAATGGGGGATCAGAAACAAGGCAAGAGATGAAGAGACAGTGTTTTGTATGAAGGAGAACTCACGAATCAGGGCTAATAGACTCCAACTCGTTCTTCGCTGTTGCAATAGTAACTCCCTGGGTAGAGTTTTGGATACCTTGAACAACACTGGCAACTCCTTGACCAGATGAAACAGTAGACATCTTTATCTTATATATATATATCTTGATATATTTTAGCTTAGAAAAGCTGGAATGTATTGATATTTTATGTTCTTCCAAGCGTCTGTTATTTGTTGTATGATAAATTCAAGTTTAAAGGTGTGAAAAAACTGAACAGGAAACGACGGAACAAAAGTTAAATGAGATTTGACTTATGTCAGTCTTCTTTCAGGGGGATGTGAGTCTATCCCACTTAAGAAACATGATAAGATATAACTCGTGGAAGGAAAACAAGTAATGGTGTAATGATTGACACATCACGCAACTAATGATTGCAACCACATATGGCGAATAAATGAATCAGCTTCCTTTCTGTACTTGGTCTCATGTAATTTAACAGACATATAATGCTAGTGCAAGGAGCTCTTTCAGTCAGGAGGTACGGGACTTCTTATTGTTGCCGAGTACAACTGTGATGGTTGCATAATTGACCTGAGAATGAGTCGTTCATAGCGGAGTGTAGACGCCCGTGGAAACAGAATTGGATAAAAGATGCACATCATGCCTATCTTTCTGCACGATGCCAAATGAAGAAAGCAGCGGGAGAGAGATACGAAAGCCACGTATTGACATGGAGTGTTCACAACATGCGTCTTGGTACCTCGTTTAGCCGAAAATTGATGCTTGTACTCAGACTACTTCCCCGCTTTACACCGATCTAGATTCCGGAACTAAGTCTTTTTGCCTTCAAATGACATCTGAGTTGCAAGGAATGTGACAGCCTGGGAGGTACTACAGGGGGAAGTGATGGCACGAAGTAATTTGTGCATGAGCTCAGAGCACTCGTTTACGATTATGTTGTGCTTTGTGATCGCTAGGCGTTTTGAGATCCATCTGAAAGTATTGTAAAGGTTGGGTTTTACTACCCCAAAAGAGACGATTCAAATTAGCATGTTGCAAGAGGTCTATGAATCATTTTATCGTGTCACCAGTGTCAAAACCAGAGAATTTAATGTGTCTTATATCAAAAGTATGAGGCAGCTATTGGAAACTATGACCAAACTATATCAAAATGAAACAAAACATTCAACGAAAGCACAGAAATCAAACCCACAAATTGAGTAAAATTCAATCCATGAAGAAATTCCCTAAATTGACCCAGGAGTGATCAATCGTGTGAGACTCCTCGTTTCTCATCAGCCTCCGCTTGAGTAACAGTATAGGGAGTTGGATTTTGGCTATCCGCTTTCAATTCCAACACCAAAAACGTAGTCGCGCGTCCTTCCATAGGTTTGATTGCCCTAATACCTGCCCACACTTCATCTAGTTGCAAGACATAAAGGCCAGCACCCGATTTCGTGTGAACCGGTCCCTTCAGTTTCAATGTGAAAGAGCCCTTTGAAGGTACTATAAACTTAGAAGGTAAATTTGTGCCATCGTGTGCAGTACCGAGGACAGCAGGGAGAATGTTTAATTGGAGCCCGGCATCGATAATACTTGCCCTCAAATCGAGTGTTTGGCTCATCTTTTCAGTCGTAAATGACCAAGGCTTGACAGACTGAACGCTGGATTCCTTCACGTTCCAGTGGTCCAGGCCCGTGTCAAACAATGTTTTACCTTCTAATCCTTTCATTTTGAGGCAAACGACGGCAATAGACTTAAAAGCTATTCCATCATTGGAGCTATTCGAAAAAGTCAAGGTGAGATCGATGGTTTGCGCGGCGGAGTTATATGCATTAACAGGAGATGTCCAGTTTAGACGCGGGTGCAGGGTTGTCACAGAGGTGTCGGAAGTATATTTTTCTGCGCAAATGTTGTCGCCAGCGCCCTTCGTTTCCAGAGTAGGCCAATCAACTCGACTTTCTTCTGGACTGCGTAATTTTCAATATTTTAGTGACAAATTCATATACCAAGGGGGCTCTTTGCACTTACGAGAAGTTGATAGTCGCAAATGCACCCAGATCTTCGTTGAGCATGGTGGGTCCGAATATAAACTCGCCATTCCCTCCATACATGAACTTATTGATACCCTGGAGAAATTTTAAGTCGCTAGATAGTTTCGATAAAGCTCTGCCAATGTTGACTTTCATTGCTGACCGTATCAGAACCCATTTTGGATCTGATGGGGTTCCCGTAAGATTGGTAGAGAAGTCATTGGGTATGATAATATCAAGTCCGGTGTATGGGTCTTTCTCTATTGTACATCCTTCCAAGATAGCTTTGGGGCTGTTTAAGACTGCTAGATTACCCACAGTATCTTGAGAGCCTCTCACACTAATAGTGACTGTCCATGAAGCGATATCGCTAATAACAAGGCTTTGCTTGGTCAGTCCCTACCCGGAGAAAGATTGATGTTCTACCTACCTTGAGTATTCGGTCCGACAGGTATAGCCATATTCGCCACTTATCTTGAGAGCTGTCATTTGTGGTCCAGCTTCTAATGTTATCTTCGCCATAGACGTAGTTCTCGTCTTTCTTCCTGCAATGCCCGCCAACATACGGGTACTCGCCCCAGTGTCATCTTTTAATTGTTCCCAACGATATGGTTTACCAGCTGTCAAATCTGCCGTGTTACCAACCACGCGAAGTCGTCGGCCAGAAGTTAGATAACTTCCACCAATCCTTGCCTCAGGCTCGAACGGTATGGTCTGCATTGCAACACAAAGATCTTGTAGTGGCGATAACAGCTGGGTTTGTCCGAAGACAAGGCGGCGGTCGAGTATGAAAGTTCCAAGATACTCACCACTTGTGCCTTTACTAGGCCCTGCTAAGTTTCCCTGTGTCAGAAAGTCAGCTGTGGTATCTATTACACCAGGCAAAGTAAATTTTGTCTTTAGGTCATCATCTTACAGTAAATGGTAAAAGTTTGGTTACGGGAAGATCGACTCTGCTTCCCACCACTTCGCAGAAGCAGAGACAATTATAAGGGCTTCCATTTACACCTTTCATGACTTGCTTATTTTTGGTCAATAGTGACTGTCTCTCTTCGTCTATGTAAGGGTAATTCTGCAATCGGAGCGCCCTGGAAGCTTAACTCAAAGTCAGAACGACAATATTATGAGGCGCTCGAAGAGACTTACCGAACGTTACCTTCCCACTACTAACTTCAAAGAAGTTAGCGATATCAACAATCATTGCCAGTGGACTAACCTTTTGCCTTGGGCACTTTCAACAACATCCCTTGTGTAAAACAAGAGGCAAGTTTGTTCTCTAAGGTCCATTCCCTCAAACATTGCTGAACCTCGTTGTAAAGAGCGTTGTTTGCGGGGTCTTTGGCCCATTGCTCAAGGGAAAGTTTTTGCCTACTGGGTTGCATCATGTACGAGCGCTCCCATATGATGCTACCCCAGGGGAGATCTATAAGAAAACGAATTAACTTTAGCTTCCGCAATTTTTTTTAAAAGTCCTCACCAGCAATAGCAGCAAACAAGCGATGGATTGAGTATTCTCCAGGACATAGCTTTGTTGGCCTGTCAGATCTAAAGACTACATTGTCTTCCGTGTCTTCCACACTGGCCGCCGCAGCAAGATCTGCGATTGTTGTATTCAGACAATCTGCGAAGGAAAGTGGCGTGAAAGCAATCACCCAGCCATCGATAGTCTGGTAGGTATTTTGGCCAAGAAAAATTCTCCCCTGATCAAAGCGAAGCTGAAGCGTAAACTTGGAGCTATCGCCAGATTCTACATCAAGCTCTGCACGATCATCGAATCAGCAATCAACAAACTGGCTGGAGTATGAAGCTAACACATTGACTAGCAATGGCCATGAGAGTTATTTTTTTTTTTTTTTACCTATTTGAGGAGGCAGCATTGTAGCTACCAATTGTCCATCAAAAACATCTTCATTGCTCCAGTGAATTGATCGTGCTGCAAGCGGCTGCTTCTCGAAAAGCTTTACAAAGCCTTTGTTGATGGCAGCTTGAGAGATGGCACAAACTTGATCGTAATGCTGCAATTCGTCGCCATTGCCACTGGTGTCGAGTTTGACAGGGCCGGAAGAAAGACTCAAAGACATTGTAGGATCTGTAGAGCAAAATGGTTCGAAATGTAAAAAGACACTTGACTAGGTGGTGAATTGAAGGGTTTCGCATATTATTGTGCAAAATACATCATGACTTCTGAGTGTGGAGAAATTTGTGAAATTCTTGCCTTATTTCACCACTAGTGAAGCAATAGCATGAAAGCAAGCATAGAAAACACGTGAAATGTTAGTTGCTGGTAATGGAGTCGAACAAGTATTACTGGCTTGATTGTGTCATAAGTGATGCAAACTAGTTAGCCTTGGGGGTACAGACATGCAATATGACCCGTCGACATCAAGATCAATCAACATGGTGTCCATCTAGTGTGACCTGCACATCTCTCGGAACAGCTAACCGATATTGATGGGCGATGCAGAATACAGTGGGGTGTGTTGGCTTACACGCATAAGTATCACGGAATTGAGATGCGGAAAAGGGTTCCGAAAATAAGCTTATTTTTAGTAATTGCGGTTGACTGCGGGTAAATGTGGAAAATGACTGGCAGGGTTTCTGGTAGTCAGCGCTGCAGTTGGAACATCAAAAGCATTTGCAATCCAAACATACCTGCCCACTACTACATCGGATATGTTCATGTATGCAATCTTCTGAGCGAGTTGAATGTGCCAATTGAATCTGGGGAGCGACACCTTCTGACGATCCGGTGTACGACTGGTGAACACTGAATGCAGAGGTAAGTTCAACGTGTTTCTATTTTCTACCTACCAAGATGCCATCCAGGTTCTTGTCGCCTTTGCAGATCGGTTCATGCACGTTTCGCGATGATCGATATCGGGCTTTTGTTACCCTCTTCTTCAGGGTAACGGGCTGCGTCGTGGGGGTCCAGGAAATTCACTAGGAGGATCACTCATGACCTCCTGCTTCCTAAAGCACGAATTGACCTTACTGATCGAGACACGAATGCATAATTGGCGGTACAAATTGCGTAGGAGGAGCTGCGAAATTAAAGCAATTTTTTATTTACCTGACTCGTGTCGTCGTATTGTCTTGCAATGCATTCTCGAGTATCGCCAGATCTATTACGGAGCACACGCCTCCGCATGTTCTTGCGGATTGCATTGCATAAAATCAGTTTATGCAATTGTTTCAAGCTGAATAGATTAAACTAATCCACTCATCAGACAGCAGTGCATTTTGCCACCTAGTCCCACTGCAGAGCATGAAGTGGGGGGAGGGGGAGGAGGGGTTCAGATCGATCATGGGATGATATCGGAAACATGATAGAAGCCACAAGTGACAGACGTTTGGAATAGTTGGGGAGAATAAACTGCAAAGTCGGCACCAATTTGATCCTAAAAAGCTCCCTTCATTTGGTATCGTAAGAAAACACTCCCAAAAATCAAGATCAAGAGCAAAAGCATACTGCAGTAATTGACAAATCCGACATGCCTCTTTTTATCGAGGCAATTGACAGTGGTCTTCTTCCTGGCGACCTCAGAGAAAGGTTGAATCATGCCAGCGAGCTTTGGCCTGGAGATCCTCGATCAGCCATTGATTGGTTCCTCGAGGGAGGAAACATACCAACGGACACCATTGTCGCCATGACTTTCGTAAGATCGCTCTTGTTTTACTTTGACGACGAGGAGTACGTTTGTGGTCAACTTCTGACACTCTTGAGCTCCTATACTCTTGAAGGCCTGGCATCATTGCTTTTTCCCCGCAGTCTGTTGGATCAAAAAGTGACAGCAACGCCGGCCAACTTTCCATATAATTGGACAACCACCAATTTAACAATTGCCAAATTGGAAGAAGTACGCGCTGAGTTCCTCGATAATCACTCACTTATCGTGTTGCTTATCCTGCTCAGAGAGGGCAAGTTCTCCATCAAAGAGCGCCCTCAACAAATTGCCGATTGCATTCTGACCGCGATGATCGGTGACGAGCTTGAAATCGGATCGCTCGAGCTTTTAGTCTATGTGAAAAAAGCCTTCCCAGACTTGAAAGACGCCGAATTCTCAGCCGCGATTGAATTTATCAAAACTTTAAAAATCCTCTCAAGTCTCGTTGAAGACCCTGAAGACGTGGTGTATCTCTATAATTCCAACTACCATTCTGTGCGAAGCATCACAGCCCAGTCAAAGAGCAACTTTAAGAATTCTTTGGTCACAGCTGGTACCAGCGTCGAGAGTTCACTCAAGATATATGACTGTGCAGAACGTGTCGATTGCTGGAACGAGCAACTCTGGTTACATTTGATGAATTCCCGTAGAGCAGATTCAGTCATGATTGACCCTTATTTCGAGGGGGAGATCACAAATGTACCAAGTGATGAAAGTTGGATGGGCAAATCTCATAACAATCTCACTGATATCTTCCGGCTCGAAGATACGACTTGTGAGGAATGTTGTTCTATCACCTCCCTTTCTGCCTATTTCGCCGATCTTTTGAGCTTGCTCAGTAACACGACGCCGACGGGAACAAGCCCACAATATGATGACCCGCCAGGCACTCGAAATAGTCTGCTGAACATCCTGTCACAGCGGCGTCCGGATCTTAGGAACCTTGAACTTACCTGTGCAAATTCGCAGACTTTGATCCCATACATCAGTCTTGTGAACGAGGTGCTTGAGTCTTTCATCCGCCATAAGTGTCTTGGTTCGCCAGATTCTATTCGAGTATTCAATACTCCCATTGATGCTCAAGACGATGAGCATTCTCCTACACCACTCAATCTGCCAGGGAACACAGACTACGAGGTCTATTCCAAGATCATCTCAAAGCAAAGATTCCCCTTTACCTCCTTTCCATACGATCAGGCGCGCAATATGGTACTCTCTTACTTTGACATTTTTCAAGTAGCCCATTGTGACTTCGTTGACAAATTCCAAGCACCAGAGACAATTCTGCAAACAATAAAAGCAACAACTACAGATGAAGTGAAGAGATCGCTGAGCTTGGGAGCGAAAGAAGTCTTGGAGAGGCAAAGAGCTGCCGAAACACTGGGCCTGCACCAGATGGAATTCGCAGCTATTACCGGAGAAAGCTTCTACCCACAAATCTTTAGTGACCTCCTTAAAGGTCTTTCAAGTGACAGTATCATTGATACGAGAATACAGGAGCATGAGTTCTGCCAGATGTGGGGTTATGAGGATGATGAAACCATGTTAGGCGCTGCCGAGGGCTTAACACAGATCAAAGATCAATTGATGCAGAGGTCCGGGCTGGAGTTTCAAGATGTCCTTGACCTTGTAAAGACTCAGCTTTTCGATCAACAGCTGGTTATTACCAACGAAGCTGGGTCTAACGAGTTCACTGAATCACTTGCAGAGCTTCGACTGCTATCGAACGCATCGAGTCCACCGTTCCAGCCTCTTACTTCAAACATATGCCGAAACATTCAATCCTTCTTGCGTCTGAAGGCCAGGCTTGGGTGGTCAACCAAAGTACTCGATGCTGCTATCCACTGCTTACGTAACAGAGAAATGGAGAGCTCGCCGTCTTTCAGATCAAATACTGTATCCCAAGTCGCTTCTATTTCTGTATACGTCATTAAAGGAATTGCTTCTATCGTGAAGCTCAGTGACCTGTGTGGATTAGAACCTGCTGCTCTTGTTCCCCTATGGGGTCTCATCGATTCATTTGGCGACGAGTCTCTCCTTCATCGCAAATTTCTCAGCGCTTCTCTGGGAGAAATATTCGCCGTTCCCAAAGATGGTGCATACTTCCAGCCTGGAGGGAAGGTAGTTAAAATTCAAGAATGCGGTGCGAGCATTTGTGCAAGCCTCAACTGGCGTTTTGAATACATCAATGATCTGCTCGAAGCCACCAATCTTGCAAATGATGACCTGAATATCGAGACCTTTTCTATCTTGTATCGATATGTTACTATATGTCGAATGCTTTCTGTTCCTCCCAAATATTGTGTGCCATTCTTCAAGATCTTCTTCGACAGGGAAGATCCCTTGGCAAATCCCAATAAGACGCTTTCTACTATTACGAATTGGACAACTTTATTAAACTCAGGCTGGACTATTGAAACACTTGTACTAGCTCTTGGGAAACCTGCGAGTGATGAGAGCAGTATTACTGGAGGAAACCCTGGACAAAAGCTTACGGGCGCGATACTAGATGGAACCAAAGACTTGAGAAAATCACTTTCATCCCTTTTCAATGGAGCCATTCCTACTCATGAAACTATCGTCGAATGTGCGGCACGTACATTTGACTCAATTACGGCCAGCCTGGTCGTTGAATTTGTCGAAGGGTCTCAGATTCGAACCACTATCACAACCCTTGACACACAGCAAAATCTACAGAGCCTCATCAATAAATCCAAAAACTGGTCAGCCAAAATTTCGGTAATTCCCTCCTCAACAGCAAATAAATGGTCTGCCCAATTCAAACTCGCAGGCATATTGACAGCGAATGAGAAGCAGCAGATTCTAGATGGATGTGCAGAATTTCCTACTGTGAAGACCGCGCTACAGAATCTTGTTGAGAACTCTCTCTTTCCTCGAGCTGTCATCGAGTCCCGTTTTCAGAGCAGCACAAATATACTCACAAACAACATCCTCTTGCAAAACTGGGCCCCAACCCAGCTTCCTGCTAGCCCAGCCCCTCTGTGAATGACATTTCGATTGAGGCCGAAGCGCAAGTACAGGCACGACGAGCTGCTTTTGTCGAAATGGCGAAACCTGTGATTGTTCAAGATACTCTCACAACATCTATTCTCAATACCATGAAAGATCTTGTGGAAGGTGTTGATATAACAGTTCTATCAACCCTTCTCACAGACACTGTGAAGGTATCAACAAACGAAAACAGTGCACTCGAATCAGCTATGGCAGCTCTCAAACAGCTCAGCGTACCAGTTGAAATCATGACTAACGCAAAGACGCTAGATGCATACTTCACACCCATGACAACAGATGATTTCAAACTGCACTATACTGGTGCGTTGAATAGCACTATCAGTCTGATGATAAATGGGATCGAGGTGCCGTTTGATACCAACTCGAAAACATGGAGCGCATTTCGCATGAATGCCAGACAGCCATATCTTCTAAAGAGTAGCATTCCCCCATCCCAAATCTCATGGTCAACATGCAGATCAATGACGACACCCTTCACTGATGAAGAGCTCCAGCCATCAACATCTATCCAACGAGCAACATTGATTTTAGAGGCTATTCAAAGAGCAGTGTGTATTTGCCAAGCTGCAAAGCTCACGACATCAGAGCTCGAATATATCGACAGAGCGGGAAAAACAGAAGATGAGATGCTGTCAATGAATCTTAATACACCTTCTCTCATGAGCTTGGTGCAGCTCCAAGAGTACCGCGAGTTGAGGGATAATATAATGATCGCGGACAGTGACCTAATCAGCCTTTTCTCGTGGCTATACAACCCTAAGAATCCAGATGTGAAGACAATTGCAACCAAAATCGCAGCAAGCACTGGTTGGAAAGACACGTTGGTAGAAAGCGTCCTCAATGCAAAATACCCAAATCATACTCCTGCGGATCTTGTAGCAGTATTGCGCAACCACGATTCCTTTGTCAACCTTAGAGCCATTCTTGCTTTCTACGAGGGTTTGGGTAGCGCATCTGATGTTACCTCCAAGCCTCTTATGACAGAATTGTTTTACCTTGCAAAACCTCTATCACAGCTCAACAGTGGAGATACATACATGGAAGCCGCCAAGAATCTGCAAAAGAGATTGACACCTTCACAACGAGAGGCGTCAGATGAAGGACTAATGGAGAGCCAGCGCAAGACACTCGTAGCTTATCTTCTGCAACAAAAGTTCATCACCCAAGACCTTGGTATTTGGGATGCAGATGGACTGTTTGAGTATTTCTTGGTCGATGTACAGATGGGGCCACAAATTCGAACTTCACGCATCAAGACAGCTATCTCGGTCGTGCAAATGTTTGTTCAACGATGTCTTCTTGGAATGGAAGAAGGAGTTTCGAAGTCAGTTCTAGGTCATGAAAAATGGGATTGGCTACAACAATACACTCTCTGGGAGGTACATAGGAAGATCTTCTTGTATCCCGAGAACTGGATCGACCCATCGCTACGAGACGACAAATCCGAGCTTTTTGACCAGTTTGAAGCCACCTTAATGCAGAAAGACTTAAGCATCAAAACGTTTCTCCAAGCTATCCAGAGTTATTTGTATGATCTAGATGGAATTTCAAGTCTCGATATAGTCGCGTATGTTCATGAACCGCAACCAGCAGCCTCAGATATCTTTCACTTGTTTGGCCGGACTCGCAGTGGGCCATATACCTTCTACTACCGCACTCTGACAAGATTGAGGACCGCCGAGGTATTTTGGCAACCATGGTCCAAGGTCGAGGTCGACATTGCATCAATTGAGACGGAATGGGAGGGCCAAAGACTTGTGGATACAGGCAGTTATCTCCTCCCAATAATGATCAAAGGTAGGCTGTACTTATTTATGCCATCGATCGTGCCCAAGACGTTAGTGAAGAACATCTCAAGTATGAGCCGTGTAACTACTTTTGACGCTCTGCGCAATGAAAATCCGAACTTAGCAGAGCCTGTGCGCATCTGGGAAATAACAATGGCGTGGACAGAGTTCGTCAACGACACTTGGGCACCGAAGAGGGTTTCCTCTGGCAGTCTTAGTGTGGGCTTAGAGGCATCTTCAGCCCAACTACGGGTCGATCCCACATTACAAGACAATACTTTGACACTTCAAGTCAGTTATGGTGAGGCTGGCAAAACCACTTCCAAGGCCATTGGTTCATTTATATTCTGCAATGACCAAATAAGCACTTCGAACACCGTGTCAACTTCTACCAAGACAGGCTCATTTGCAACATACTTTCAAAAAGCATTGAAACAAGGAATGGATCTCGAATCGCTCCCCGGAGGCTCCAAATATACCAATTCCGCACCTCTGATTTGGGTGCCACCTGAGCTGGAGAGTACCAATGGGGCTTCGGATGTCTGCTGGACTTTGTCAAAGTTACCACAGAGGGTGACAGGACTTGTTGTCAGCGCAAAAGTTAGTGAGGGCAGAAGAGCAAGTTTCTTCAATATACCAAAGATGGAGCTTCTTAGTTCGACATGGACCAAAGACGTCATCAAGAACAATACGGAACTTGTTTCTATTGACCACATATTTTCGCACGAACTCATGGAAGCTACCGCTGACCGAATTGATCCACTACGCTGCTTGTATAACAAGATAGCACAGCTGCCTGCTGGTGTGATGAGAGAAAGTTTTGGGGCTGGTAGTCATGAGGCATGGTAATTTCCCCCAGCTCACTTCACTTCTAACATCAGTATTTCAATAGGTGACTGACGGTGAAACAACAGGTATCATGAGCTGGGACGTCCTACCGCTCTTTACAAGTAAGTCTATATCTCCTTCGAGGAAGAAACAAAACATGAAAAGGAAACGAAGCCACAGTAGCCCGTTTGTGGGATTTTAAGAGAAATAATTTTCTCTTCTCTTTTTGATAACACATTGCTTTTGATAATTCATACCTTTTTGACACCGAATTCGATTGAGAGAATTCGTTTTTAAAAGGGCCTTGAATATTTTAAGAAGATACAATGGATTCAAAAGATTCAATATATGTGAAAAATTTGTTGGGAATGACAGCTAATCACGGTACAGTTGGGAGGTTGGCCTACACACAGTGCTATTGGCAGTCGATCGATTTTCTGCCACCCAGCAATACGAAGAAGCATTGGAAGTTGCAAGACTGGTCTTTGATCCATCTGCTGATCTAGAACTAAACGTGGATGACAAATCGACCTATCGATCATGCTGGCGATTTCCTCCGTTCCAGGAAATGGCACGACAAATTGCCATCCGGGGTGAGACTTCATTTGATCCTTTGAACCTTGACCATTTAAGCAAAGAAATCCAACTTGCCATTAAGGAGCGTCGTTCATACGGTTCACTTGTACATGCCGCGGCCAGGGGAAGACCAATCAGTTATATGAAATGGATAGTGATGAAGTACGCAGAGATCCTCATCGCGATGGGAGATGTTTATTTCCGTCGAGCTTCTCTTGAAAGCCTGCCGATAGCTACGCAGCGATACATCGAGGCTGCGCGAGTACTGGGACAGGAGCCGCCCAAAGTACCGGATTTGGGGAAGAGAAAAAGGAAGGCAATGACTTTTGAGCAACTGAGAGAAGAGGATATCATGTATGACTCTGTCGTATTCGATTTGGGCCTGCCTTTCTCAGCCAAATTAAAGAAAGGCGCAGCCGAAATAGCAGACAGAGATCCGAAGAAAGAGAACATCGCTTGTTTCCTCCGAACGAACTATTTCTGCGCCCCTCTAAATCCTAAGTTCAAGCAAATGCGAAGCCTTGTTCACGAACGCCTTTACAATCTCCGAAATTCCTTCGATATTCAAGGAAAGCCGGTAGTCTACGGCCTTCGCGAACCACCCATTGATCCAGGAGCCTTGATAGCTCTTAGCAAAGGAGGCATGGGAGTATCTGATATCCTCAGCATGGTTTCTGGGGAACGAAATAGTCCACTACCACGGCAGCGTTTTGATGCTCTTCTAAAGCAGGCCTTAGCATTATGTACCGAGGTACGCAAACTTTCAGGGCGCCTTGTAGCCGTAGTTGAAAAGAAAGAGATGGAAACTTTCAACATCGGGAACGCCCAGCATGCTTCAGTCATACAGAAAATGATGCTGGATATCAAGAATGTTGAGCTTGAAGAGGCACAACAGACTGTCGAATCGCTCTTGATCAATCGTAGCTCGCTAGAGGCGCAATTGAATTACTACCTCCAGCTTATCGGCGAGCCAGATTCCATGATCCCAAAGCCCAAAGATAATTGGGTAGATATTCAGCAAAGTATCGATACCCCCACACAAGACGAACTTCGAATGTCTTCATATGAGAAAGCGGAAAGTACGTTGAACATTTCACAAGCTTTACAATATTGTGCTCAAAATCTCAAACCCTGCGTGCCCTTTTCCTTAAGCAGATTCTTTCTGTTTCCTAACATAATATTTGTTCCCCGTGCCCCCAAAAGATTCTTGAGCATTCCTTACTGACTCCATGACTTTTAATAGTGACACAATCTCTCTCTGCTGGAGCCAAGAATCGCGCGGCCGTAGCCACTGATGCACTTTCGATACCTCTTTATCTCGTTCCACAAGCAACAACCAACTTTGAACCTCTTGGTGTCGGTGGATCCATTTCTTTCGCTGGAAGCTCCATTGCTGATGCAGTAGCGGCTGGGTCCACACTAGCGAGAGGAATTGCAGCTGTTCTAGTAGACGAAGCCGGTCGAGCAGACAAGAAAGCTAGCCTAACGATGCAGTTACGGGAACGAAGACTCGCAGCAAATATGAGTGGCCGTGAAATCAAGTCAATCGACAAGCAGGTCGAAATCCAGAAAATCCATATCACTTCAATCCAGAAGGACATTGAAATACAACAATCCGAAATAGAAGATGCAGCTGGAGCCGAGGAGTGGTACCGTACCAAGTATACCAGCGAACAATTGTATACATGGATGGAGAAAATTTTCAGGAATCTTTATTTCCAGGCTTATGAACTTTCAATGACCATGGCACTTCGAGCGGAGAGCTCGTTCAACTTTGAAGCTGGCAGCAAAAGTTCGATAATCAACAAGGGGGGGTATTGGAATCCTTCTCAAGATGGTCTTCTAGCTGCCGAAAGTCTTTATCTGGACCTGAGACGACTCGAAAGCGCGCAATTAGATTGTGCAGCTGCTGATTACAACATTAGTAAGAGTGTGTCTCTGAAAGACTTTGATCCCATGGCGTTGATGAAACTCAGAATCACTGGAACAACGGACTTCTCCATTGGCGAACTCCTTTATGATATGGATTTCCCCGGTCATTACATGCGCAGAATTCGATCTGTTAGTGTCTCAGTACCATCAGATATAGAGACTGGAACTAACACGAATGCCGTCTTGACATTGCTAGAGCATAAGTATCGCGTAACACAAAACGCAGCTGACTATGCTGCTTCCCAATCTGCCACTGGAAGTGAATCATTTAGAACCGACAGAATTCCGATAACAGCAATAGCCGTAAGCTCTGGTGCTAAAGACCCTGGAGTGTTTGAGCTTGACTTCTCTGGTCCCCGATACATGCCATTCGAGGGCGCCGGCGCTATTTCAGCATGGCGTCTAGAATTTCCGGCACCAATTCGTCATTTCAATTATGAGTCTATTACTGATGTGCAACTACACATACAGTATACTGCGTACGAGGGAGGTCCAACACTGAGAAAGGCGGCGAAAGACGCAGTTGTCCAAGCAGCTCAATCCATTGAAGCTCAAGGTCAACATCAAGGATACTGGGCACTTTGGGACCTCAAGACCGACTTTGCTGCAAAATGGGTAGATTTTGGAAAGACTCTTCTTACTACCAACGTGGAAGCGACCCTAGACCTTGGCAATTTGAAAGACCGTCTGCCTTTCTGGTCACGTCATCAAAAAGATCTCCAGGTTCAGTCCTTCACGTTGATGTCTCGGAACAAAAACGTAAGGGACAGATTAAGTATATCGGTGGATCCAAATTCACCTGCATACAACGGAACCGATGGTATCTACTCGGGTGATCTCTTTACCAGAAAATGCGACATGACTGAAAAGAACTTAAATTGGAAACTCAAGGCGAAAGCAGTTCCAGTTGCCGCGGTTGCGAGCGAGAATGTTTATCTGTTTGTTCGTTATATTTATGTTGGGAAAGATATCTCATAATTGGAGAAGTTCATGTCTGCTTTATGTTTGCTATTTTTGGTATCAGGGATTGAAAGAATTGCGGTGGCTTTTGATGGAAACGAATTGAGATGTTATTATTTGTATATTTCTTTGCCTTCTAACAGTTCTTGGGGTGCGGGGTGATCGGCGCTCACCATTGTCACATGACAGCACTAGCTATTCTGATGTTAAATTCAACATTCAACAAAAGCTCATCCACTGGACATGTCTCATAGTTGTATCTATTCTGACGGCTTTCATTGACAGATAGAATGTATGTGAAGCATATGGAGTATGAATCTCAGGAAAAGAATATGGTATCTCGAAGTAACGGAGGCGCTCTCCCCCCTTCATTCAATACTCCTTTCGATTATGCGATGTTGATCACCCATATGATGAAGCTTTAGCTTTAGTAGCCAATCAACACTATTTCGATCATGTTTCATTAGAGTGTTTGAGAATGGTGCATTCCATGTGATTTTGAACTCAGTCAGATTTTCATATTATAGACCACACCCCGAGACCCCATCAATGTCATTTATAGTACTTCGTACCAGCACAGCGAGCGTGTCAGGAAAGGCCGATCGAAATTTAATTGTCTTATTCTCTTCTAGATATTTCCTCTACCAACCCCCATGCTACCTACCCACGTCACCTCTTCAACCTCTTCAGTGGGTGCGCCTCTGTATTCAACACCCATTCATCGAGGCTCACCACATCCCACTCACTGAATACCAAGTAGAAATACTTCAACGTCTCTGCTAGCCAGAAACTCTCCATACTATCTGCCTGTTCGACTCCTTCCTCTTCATTTATTCCACCCAAGCTATCCGCGAAACGCTCTCCTTGTTTTCGATTTCCATTCTTACCCTTCCCCCTCCTCTTCTCACCCACCACTGCCTTGACTGTAACATCCAGTATCGCCGCAGACGCAATCTCCGTCCTACAAATCTTCTCAATCGCCTGAAACATTCTCCAAGCTGCGTCCATATACTTCCTATCACCGGTGATCCTCCACAAAATCCACACGCTTTCAATAGCCTCCGGCCTCAAGATATATCTCCGATCATCTATCGCTGTAAATCCTGGACTCAATCTTCTTTCCTCTATAATCTCATTCAATTTCTTGTCCGTCTCCTCTTTCGTATTCGTAATTGGATGTGTGTATATAGCTGCGAGAGCGTCATACCATTTCTGTTTCGAATACGTACAATCGTGATTCTTAGGGCACGGAACCACGCTGAAGATTTCGGGTGCTATGCCATTTGGACTATTATCATATGCCCATATACATCCATTTGTGAGTTCTTCAGCTAAGTCGAGGTCAGAGGGGCGGTTGAAGATTTTCGAGGCGATTCCAATCATGCCGCCAGTAAAACAGGTGAGATGTTGGCCACGAGGGATAAGCTCCGGAGTACTGCTTTCAGCCATGCCTTTAATGCGTATGTCTCCAGATACTCTAATTTTCTGATTCTTTTCGTTCAAGATTGGAAAGAACATTTTCTCTTGGGCTACAGAAATGAAGCTTTCGTACATTTGCCTGGGTTGGTCTAGGACACCCCCGAGAACCATATATTGTTTTGGTAGATATTCATAAGTCGAATCAGACATACCACCCATAGTAAACATAGTATCTTCGTCAAACCGGAGCTTTTGAAGATCAATGCTGACAGGCCATAACCCGGGATATCGAGTAGAGTTCTGAGTTTTCTCGAATTCATCAGAGATGCGTTGCACCGCATCATAGTATTTCGGATTTCCGGTTAACTGACTAAGTCTAGTGAACTCGAGACTTAAGGAACCTGGTTCAGAGACAAGAACTCTTCTAGGCGCTACTTGATCCTCTCCTTCTAGATACCTACACATTGTCAGTAGCTTCTTCACCAAACAAAACCAATAGGACCTACTTCTTCCAATCCCATCTAGGAATTGGCATTCTATTCGGGGTATCAAAACAACTCATCAACAACTCCGCAACCTCCACAGCCTTCAATAACAAAACCGGGTATTGCGCTCCACTCACATCATACGCCGCTAAAAACCCACCCATATATCTAATTGTCGTTTCAAAAACATTGATATCCTTTTGCTCCGTTGTCGTAAAATCAATTCCCTCGATCGATCGCACTGCGATTTCGAAATCTTCTTTTAATCCCATAATCCACAAAGTATCCAAAGAATCAACCAATGTTGCGGCCCAGCCACCAAAAGTATCTTTCCAGGACCCTGATAGAGGCGAGACCTCATCTCGTAACCATGCGTGCACTTTATATCCCTCCCAACTGTGTACAAAACTCTCTTTAACAGCCGCCAATCGCTTCAATCTCTCTTCCTTCTGCGCCGCATCTTCTTTGGGAGGCGTACTTTGGATCTGCGGAATCTTCTTCGGTTTTCCAGTTGGCAAAGGAATGTGTGAAGTTACTGGATAACGTTCTGGTAATTTCGACCAATGGGTTTTTCCATCTGGCAGATGAGGTTTCGCAATCGAAGATAAATAAGTCGCGTCATAGCTCCAAGTATTGCGACGTGAATGAAGGTAATGAAGACTAAAAATCATAAACACTGCAGCTATGAAGGCTGTTCTCCATCTTCTAATGATTGACGGCATATCTGCAGCAGCGTTTACTGCTCGAGCAATTGAAAAGGTAGATTAGAAGAAGAAAAGTTTGGAAATACGGAAATATTATGTGTCACATCCCTTGAATGTTAGATCTGATTTCAATGATTGATTGATTGCTTTGACAGCAGCTTTGTCCTTCATCCGATGTGCTTCGTTGAAACTCCCAAGTTGATAGAATAGCACTCCGTAGACTCCAAGAAAAGAACAATCAAGAAGCGAAATTTCAAGAACGAAAGAAGATGGAAAAAGAAATGGAACTTATCATGAAAGAGAGGGCGAGCTGGACATCCAATTGATCTACATGCTGCCGAGGAATGTATCAAGTAGTTTCGTTCTTTCTGCTTCATAGCTAAAGAGTCGATGACTCGCCAAGAGAGAATAATTGAACCCTGCGGTAAGGGATCGAAGCCAGAAATTAGCATCTCAGTACCCACCAGGACCGACCGACTGGGTTTCTCCCCACTCCCCAATCTGGTGTTTCACCACATATTCTACGTAGTGTAGAAACTTTAAAAGAAGCATGCCAAAGAAAATCGACGTCCTCATAAGGGGTGGTCGCTTATGGTTACCAACATCTCAATCTGTTAGAGCAGGGTTACTATTCGATTTCGGTACCGTGTGAATGGTTCCCTTTTAAGTTATATATTTCCGATACCCTTCCCTTCTCCCATTCCCCTTCAACTAAGAGCTAAACGGCCGTACCCACTTTCAATTGTCATATCATCAAGTTGATTACAAAGTACCACTAATGATGATCCACAGATTTCCCCTGAAATTCTATCTTGTCAGATAGTTATCAAAGGCTATACAGATTTTTAAGGGGAAAGAAATACAAAGTCGACCACTCCTCTCTTGATATCATATTTGCTCGATACCAATCTCCAGAATATGAGACCGAAGTTGGCTGATGGGCTCGATTTCAATGTTAGCCTATGAGGATATTTATCACAATTCACGGTTCACATAACAAATGCTGCATCATGAAGACTCTGGTAAAGGGTATTAACAAGACAATAAGATGTCTGATGGGTTATCATTGATCATGAAGGTCACTAAAAACGGCAACGCTCTACGTGAATGTCAACCAGTCCAGTCCTACGCCCACAAGAATTCTGGATGTCCAAAAGACCCGTGATGTGTACGCCGACTATTCTCCCTCCCAGCAACAAAAGACCACGCAAAAAAAGCAAGCTCGATTACTTTTGCATCATAAGTTGTACAAATTCGTTGTCTGTGAACGATAATTAGCATATGAACTTTGTGAGTAATCGTTGGCGAAGGGGCACATACAGTCGATTCGTCCATCACCATCTTGATCAGCCTCTCTAATCATCTCATCAACCTCATCATCAGTCAACTTCTCTCCGATGGAGGTCATGACATGACGAAGTTCAGCAGCGGAGATGAAACCGTTGTTGTCACGATCGAAGACCTATACCAACGACACATCAGCCTCTGCGACAGTAAATGACTTATAGAATCCCAACCTTGAATGCTTCACGGATCTCCTCTTCAGAGTCGGTATCCTTCATCTTTCTTGCCATCATAGTAAGAAATTCTAATCGCGTCAGCGTTCTGAGTCAGGAACCTCAACGTGTTGCGCCATACCTGGGAAATCAATGGTACCGTTGTTGTCAGCATCGACCTCGTTGATCATGTCTTGCAACTCGGACTCGGAAGGGTTTTGTCCAAGGGATCGCATAACGGTGCCCAACTCTTTGCTAGTGATTTGTCCTGTAGATCCATATATCAGTGCTGTCCTTCCATATTGTTCTGCCAATTTGTGTTGTTATCCCCAGTGCTGTTGCAATTGTTCGAGATAGGGGCTGAGTTGGTCCAGAGGGCAAGTATGTGAACACATGGGGATTTCTGAGATCTGCAATGTCATAGGAGTAATATAGAATTACGAACCATCACCATTCTTGTCCTGTAAATTCACATCTTATTAGCTTTCAAATCTTCAAATATGCCCTGCCAAGTGTCCATAGGGCTGAGAGTATTAAGGTGAGAATATCAACGTACAAAGAGGGAGAAGGCCTCCTTGAACTCGGAGACTTGCTCTTCAGTAAGAGAATCGGCCTGTATAAATGCGCGTGTTAGTTGCGATCTTGTTATCCTCCGTCATTACATTCTCTCTCTCCAACTTGAAGCTACAGCTCCAAGTCGAGTGCTGAAAACCGCGGGGTTGTTTAAGGTCCAGCCTTCTTGGAGAATGGAAACAAACCATTGTTGAGTATTTGATTGAAAGTAAGTATAATGACTTTTTTGGTTTGAAATATTTCTAAGGTATATGGAGAACTGGAAAAAAGGTTGCAAGGTTGAAATAAGGAGGATCTTGTTGTGTTGTGGGTTGTGATTGCGATTCAACTGTTCAGATGCCTTGATGCGGTGAAGCATAGATACCATAATGGTCAAAAGTAGTTGTTGTACGGTAGCCGAATGACATAAAGGGTCTGGGTGTCTGGGATTCCTCAGGCGAAGAGGTCGAAGCTGGGGAGAGCTTGGAATCATCAAAACAAGACAAACATGCGACATTCAATAACAAACTCCAATACAAATTGCAATTCTTTGAGTTTCTATGCGAAATTCTTCCTTTATTATATTCTGTGATACTGTAAGATTCAATTTGATTCGCCATGTGGCGTGATCGTACAAATCTGTATGTTCAGATTGCTGTTGTCCCTTTCACAAGCTTAGATAGATACTGACACCTAATCTATCAGCTATATCTCCTATCGACAATCATATGCACATCACCCCGCAAAGAAACCAAAATATTCAAGCTCTTCTGGCAATGGATACTCAGATAGTATTGGAGGAGCTTCGGAGGAACGCAGAGGACTTATGTCCGCTGGCGCATTCGAAGATGATGGCGATGCGATAATCGAAATGGATTTACTACCACCGAGATGGGCAGATATCAGCGACGAAGTTACAGAATATCTTACAGACATCGCAAATAAGAGTCAAAAATTGGAGAAATTACATCAAAAACATGTATTGCCAGGATTCGATGATGAAGAAGTAAAGAAGAAGGAAGAAAGGGAGATTGAATTATTGACACAACAAATTACTAAGGGATTTCACGATTGTCAGAGGTCAATTCAGAGAGTAGAACAAATTGTTCGTGACTCGCGGCATCAAGGAGGCATAAGTAAAGGAGAGGAAACTATGGCAAGAAATATTCAGATTTCACTAGCATCGAGGGTACAAGAAGCAAGTGCGGGATTCAGGAAAAAGCAAAGTACTTATTTGAAGAGTGAGTTCACACTACATTGATTGAAGTCGCCATGGTTAGATGTTAAAGAATTTATACTGACCAATCATCAGAGTTACGAGGCTTAGGAGGCATGAATGCACCTATTGAACGAACATCTACCCCTCTTTACAGTAATTACATCGACCCCTCCATCATGGAATCCGACGCCGATAAATCATTCTCCCAAGCAACCCTTCAACAAACCTCTCAAAAACAACTCACCTCCAACGATGCAGCCATAATGCAACGAGAACGTGAAATCAATGATATCGCACAAGGTATCATCGAACTCGCCGACATATTCAAGGAACTTCAGGCTATGATTATAGATCAAGGAACAATGTTGGATCGCATAGACTACAACGTGGAAAGAATGGCAGTAGACGTCAAAGCTGCAAATGTGGAATTAAAAGTTGCAAGCGGATACCAAAGAAAAGGCACGAAAAGGCGAATTATTTTGTTATTGATCCTACTAGTTGTAGGTATGTTTATTTTGCTGTTGGTAAAACCAAAGAAGCATAGAGGAGAGGTAGAGGAAAGTGTACCACCACCATCGCCACCTTAATAATGATACCCTTTTTCAAGATGGAGTACACGTGTTTTGACGGAGAGGTATTGTGCAATACCCGTAATACTTCACAAGGTGTGCACCTGTTCCACGTGCGCAAACTATCAATCATTATGTTGGGGTCGAAATGTGAGTGATGTGTGTTCAACATGCTCGAAGTCTATTCGTAGCTAAGCCATATCATATTCATCCTATTCTCAAAATCATCGTACTTATTGCCAGGCCAGTCATGCTATTGTCAATGTAAACTAGGGGATAGGTGAACTCAACCTCTTCTCGTAAATAGATTACGACACCAACTAGTCCAAAGCCCAACTTTGATCCAAAAAGTTCTATTTTCTACCTTCTTTCTCATCCAAGTAGTATCGAATAATATCTTGTAGCAAATAATACGAAATACTTATTTCATCCTACCCCACATCGCTTATTACCAGGGGCTGTCTCCTTTTCTACTTCCCCGCTGCGTTCTCCACTTTACTTCTCTTCTCTTCTCTCTGATCCCCCATCTATATTTGTAGATATCTTTTGTGGTTATGGATGTTTTCTTTACGGTTGTATGAGGAGAAATTGAGAAGTAGTGCTAAGAGTTCTATCTAGGGGTGAGAGTGAGAAGAGAGGGGCTGTTGTTATGTTGAATGGGGATAAGAATGAGGGAAATTTTGACGTGTAGAAAAGAATATAAATCGACGAGGAGAACATGGAGTTGCTTAGGAGGCTGAGAGGAAACGTTCTCAACTGTTCAAAGATACGCAACCTCACTTTTTCTAGCTACTCAAACCGCAAAGCCATTCGATATTGTCAGGGAAATGTCGATCGTATAGAGTATTGCTCGCTTAACGTTGTGATGACTACACACCACAGAAAAGACTAAGAATACCTCAGACTCATTATGCGCTCATCAATTCAAGATACAGTGTGATTCATGATGAATATAGCTTTTCGACCAACAATTAATTCAATTGACATCAACAAACCCAGCGCCAAAAAGTCTCACTCGTCTCCACAGTATCCTAAGCGCGACCCCTTAGTCCAACTCATCAAAATCCTAATATCAAACAGTAATGTTCGCTGTGGCGGCAAAATTAACATGCGGATAATAAGTCACGTAAATTATCACTCTTGAGACATTTTTACGTTTTTTCTAGAAGTATGTTATTCACAGCCCATATCTTGATGTAAATTTATATCGAATAAAAAGCACCAGTACTTACGCATCGGTCACAATGTAAATCACAGACCGGTTGAGCGAGCAAAAATCCTGATGCAAGGAATCATTTCACGTCGAGGGTTACAAAAAAATGCGACCAAATTCGATCCAGAGACCATTCTGAACCATGGCGTAGACAATTCACAAGGAGAAAATATCTTATTTTAGCAAACACACTCCAGACGAAACTTTCTTTTGCGAGATGAGTTGGAATTTTGTTTTTTGCCAAGGTGTTCGTGTCCTTGTGACCGCTTCTAACATTTGCTAGCGTAAAGTCTATGCATCGTGGATTATTGTCATAGTGAGTAATTAAAAATACATTTGTTTGCTTTTGAATTCTGGAGTTCTTATATATCTTGTCCTAGTGCACCTTGGACTAAATATGATGATTATATCGCGACGATTCTCTGGAGCAATAGAAATTCATCTTAAGACCGTTATTCGTAAGAGAAGAACGAGCCATACAGAATATACGAAAAGAGTAGAACGATGGGTGAGGAGAAGAGACATCAGTTGAGTCGAGGCGCAGACAGGAGAGATGAAGGTGGTGAAGAAAACAGAGATAGGAGAAGACGGGATAGACATGGAGATGGGAGGGGATACGAAGATGAGGGAAGATATAAAGAGGAGAGAAAGGCAGAAACACGGACGGGACCGGGGAATGCGGAACCACGAAGAGAAACCAGACGGACATCTCAATCTGTTGAGATTGGACGTGATAAGCCACCTTCCAGAGTTGGCAATGGTGGCAGCAGGTCATCTACCCCCGTTCCCAACCACGACAGCAGAGATTCCATCAGACGGGTTGAAATACCACCTACCACCACTATCGATAATTCATCACTCTCAACTAAAAGAAGAGATCACAGTAGTAGCCGTGGCGCGAGCGGAAGTGACAGAAAATCTATCACCTATCCACCCCATCCCAGTCGCGATAGAGATCCCAGCCAAAAACGTGGGAGAGGTTCCAATACCTACGTACCAAAAGACAAACCTACCCAGAGTAGAGGCGAGAACATAACGATACCTCTTCCCAGCCGCAGCAATCGATCTCAAGATCCAAGACCAGGCAGAAGAGACCCTTCCATCAATCGCGGACTAGAAAAACTTCAACTCGATGATCTGAGAGGATCAAAAGCTGCGGCTACAGATGACCTTCAAAAGCGAAGCGGTGATGGACCGGCTTCCAAGGTACCTACAAGCCTTCCGCGCGACAAGGTGAAAGTTGGGTTTCTTCCGAAGTGTTATCAACCTCGGAAAGAAGAAGAGACTCGGCGATTAATCGTTTTCGGGGATGTACATGGGATGCCTGATGCCAAGAACTGTCTCTTGGAATATATTAAATACAATCGAGCGTTAGATCATCAGATATTCGGCGGTGATATGATAACCAAAGGGAGAAAGAGCATGCCAAGCAAGAATGCTACGACTAAAGGGCTGATAACTATCGAGGCTTCTAAAGATGTTGTGCGTCAGGCTAGAAGAGATGGAGCTTCAGGAGTCCGTGGTAATCATGAAGACTGCGTACTGAATGTTAAACATGAGAGAAATGGTTGGCAAGAATCTATCGACCGCGAAATGGATAATCAGTTTGATATCCATGCGAGGAAAAAGTTGAGAACGCCAGACCACAGGGATACCAGCGACTATGATCTATGTGATGCACTTACTACAGAAGAGAGACGGTGGCTTGAAGATCTACCTGACATTCTAGTTCTGGGAAAATGTGGTGGGCGTAATAACATGGTTGTCGTACACGCTGGATTGAATCCATTCTTTGACCTGCAACATCAACGAGTTATAGAGACAATGAACATCAAATCTATAGATCCAGTGAAAGGATATACTAGTTCGATGCATGTGGGAGATAAAGAGAGAAAGGCATTGGATAAGAAAGACCAGGGATGTTTTAGCAAGATGATACCCTGGTTTGAGGTTTGCCCACCAGGAATCCCATTCTGAACGAATAATACTAACCCTGATGAATACAGGCTTGGGAGGACAAGCAAAAGAGTTTGCCACCAAACGAACGGATGACAGTAATGTATGGCCATGAATCCAAGAAGGGCTTGACCAAAAGGAAATTCTCTATTGGTCTCGATACTGGTGCACAACGTATAGACAAACTCAACCCTGATAAGTATCGAACTTTGACTGCCCTCATTATTCACCATGATAGATGCGAAATAGTCCAGGTCAAGGAAATCAAGAAAGAAACTGGGGAATGGAAATGGGAGCCAGTTGAGCTGACAAAGGAAGAATCTGATTTTTCGAGATGAAATTGGGTTTTCCTTATTTATATATGCCTTTATTATTTCTTTTCTTGCGGGCTTCCATTTTCAAAATCGAGAAATTTTGTACAACATCAAGACTACAGCTTTGTGTGAGACAATGTCATACTCGGGGGCCAAAATATTGATACATCGATTTACATTACACAAACTGTGCCACAACCATAAATAGACGAATATCAATATGCATAACAAACAGCCAATATTATCAGGATTGCCTTCAAATGTTGTACCGTCAAACTTCTGTGAAGCAAACTTTTGGTCGGCAATGGAAAATTTCCGAAATTCTCACTCGAGATTTGCAGCATGAAGCATGCAAAACATACCTGCATCGCATGAGATTCTGATCACGTTATGCGGTTAACTTTGTACACCAAAATTTGTGTTAGAGAGGACGGCCCGCTAGCAAATGTTAAATGGCCCCTGCAGAACACGGAATCTGGTGCATCTCAGACGATTGAAGCCCAACAAAACATGCATTAGGGTACCGTAGATGGGTTATCAAAATTCAGTTCAATTTTCCAATTAATTTTCCACCAGATTTACTCGTCAATCCATTTCTCGTAGTCAGGAAAGTATCGATAATGTATTCTTTCGACATAATCCATGACGGCAGGAAGAGATCGTACGAGTTCTCTAGAGACCGGGACACTATTCGATGGATCAGCGAGTATTACACTATTTGGAATCATGGACAGAAAGCCTACCTAGTGCTTACGAGTATTGATATAATGAAGCCAAAGAGACTTGCATCGGCTTCGGTTGGTTGTTCACCACCGAGACACCAAAATGGATCCTTTTTTGCAGGAGCGACATCTAATGTGGGTTTTCTTGAAGTCTCTAGAAGTCCATCAAGACTTTGCCATATCTCCTTTCGGAATACCATTATCTCTTCAGAAGTGAATCGTCCAGTTCCTTGGCCATACAATGTAGCTTTCATCTGACGATAAGCAAGAATCCCGACTAGAACACGCATGGGATAAGGGACAGATCCTAGAACTTTATCTCTCTGAGTATAATAATTGTCCATCCAACGCTCTCGGATCTAGAGCCCGGGACAAGTTAGAATATACCGCAACCTGACAGGGAAATATAGTTCACTGTTGTACTCACTCCATAGAAATATAGCTTATCCTCAAGAAGAGCACGAATCGCCATATCTTGAGCTTTTGCTGCCGGCTCCAATGATGAATTGAGATCGGGTAGAATATCTGACTCCACTAACCCTGCTATAATGAGTGCAGAATCGGCAATCAGAAAAGGAGACGACCCTTCATCGTGTACTGAGATATATGGTATCTTCCCTTTTGGTGCTGATCGAGGTGAGCCACCATCCAAGATGTACTTCACGTTGGCTTGGCGGAAGTGGAATTCAATTTTGGTAACAAATGGGGACCATACGTAATTTCCTGGATCTAGCCAGCCACGGAAGAGAGTGATTTGCATGATGGGTAAGTAGGTAGCTGAGAATCAAAAATGATCGAGAGAGCTGGAAATTCGAGATATCTGTTGTTATTATCTCGTTGGTGACTATGATGTCTTTTTGATAGTTCTAGTGGACCGTATTGTATTGTGTATTCATTCTAGGCTCAGACTACAAGACCTATATGTAATACGCTTGTACGCTAGCGCGCGCTTGCGTGTACAAATTCACTGGTATAGCAACGATATCCTATGAAGGTCTGGTTGAAGAAGGGTGCGAAGAAGGGTGCGAAGAACTTTGAGAGTGATTTCATACTATGAATTCTCTAATGATAATATAATGGTTGCACCAACAGTTGGGGTGACGTATGCACAGGGGATTCGAGTCGTGGTCTGACCAACCAATTTTGAGCCTGTTTCGATTGATGACCAGAAGGATCATGAGAAATGATACCTGTTGTCCACCTATGTCTATATCTTGACATAAACAGATACTCTGTGTGCTACTTCCATGAAGATCATTTTGACAGGTGAAAGAAGTTACCTGTGATGGCTTTATTATCGTTCTTTTACCTCATTCATATATCAACAAGTTTGATGTTCGGAAGTCGGGAGTCGGATAAATCACTCTCGAAGCACGGGGGTTGCCGAGACAGATTACGATAATCGTCACCTTCATTGGATTCAATACTTTGAGCACATGGCAAACATTCATCAAAGGTTTCACAATTAACTTCTACGAGTGAATCACACGTGTTGATATCGCCGATATCACAAAAGGGGATTAAAATTAAACATGAGATGAGGTTTAGTTTTTTTGGCACCTTTCAATATACTACAATCCGAACAACCTCCTTGCGTGGATTGTCACTTAATATTTGATCAATCCAACAATCATCCAAATGAGTAATTCAATCGATAATCGAACGGCTGTCGACCGTCTACGAGCGTTGTTTAACAATCCCAATCCTGGACCCGAATATGAACCTATCTCGAGCAGTTCCAGTATTCACGAAGACGATGTACGCAGACCAGTCCTCGTCTTACCAGATCAAGTCGAAACTGAGCCGTTCTCATGGTTTGAATATGGAATCTTTATGTTAATTGGAGTTGCAATGCTTTGGGCATGGTATGTTTCACTGACGTCTCGGGAGGGCGCAGAAGCTGATATCTTGACAGGAACATGTTCTTAGCAGCCGCGCCATACTTCCAGAGCCGGTTCCAAGACAATGAGAGTATTCTTCAACATTTCCAATCCGCGATTACATCCGTTGGCACAATTACGAACCTTGGCTCGATGCTACTCCTAGGTCACCTACAATCGAACGCCTCCTACCCAAAACGTATCATAACCTCCCTCGTCCTCAATACTATCGTCTTTACGCTTCTTGCGATATCCACCTCATACTTTCGCGATGTTTCGTCGAGTGGCTATCTAACTTTCACATTGATAATGGTATTCGCGACCTCCTGTGCAACTGGGCTTCTACAAAATGGGGCATTCGCATTCGCATCAAGCTTCGGCCGACCAGAATATATACAGGCTATTATGACGGGACAAGCCATCGCCGGAGTCCTGCCATCAGCTGCACAAATTGCCACCGTTTTAGCTGTTCCGCCGCCCGACCGTTGGGCTGATGTAGATGCGGAAGCCGCAGATGTGAAGGAAAATACAACTTCGGCTTTTGTTTATTTCTTGACGGCTACAGTCATCAGTGTTCTAACATTAGTCTTTGTCTTACCCTTACTTCGAAAACAGAATCGAATCATCGAGAATCGCGTGGCGTCATCAGCTGACAGTGATGAAGAGATTGACGAAAATGGTAAACACGAAGTTGTTGGCATGGTTAGACTATTCAAAAAACTTCACTGGCTTGCGGGAGGAGTATTCATGTGTTTCACTGTTACAATGTTCTTCCCGGTGTTCACGTCAAAAGTGGTCTCGGTAAGGCCTGCCGATGAAGCTCCTCGAATACTTCAACCCGAAGCTTTCATTCCTCTAGGGTTTTTGGTTTGGAACATCGGCGATCTTTGTGGCCGTCTGCTTCCACTTCTACCTTTCCATACCAAGGCACGACCTATTCCGCTTTTCGTGTTCTCTATCCTTCGAATTGGCTTCGTCCCTTTGTACCTTCTCTGTAATATCAAAGGCAAGGGAGCAAAGGTCAATAGCGACGTATTTTACCTTCTCGTTGTTCAGGCTGGATTTGGGCTGAGTAATGGCTGGCTCGGCAGTTCTTGCATGATGGCAGCCGCTGACTATGTTAATGAAGAAGAACGAGAAGCAAGTGGGTCCTTCATGATGACCAACTTGGTTGCAGGTTTGATGGCTGGATCTCTACTCAGCTTTGCTGCAGCCGGGATTTCCTAATTCATCAACTTATAGTTATATAAGCATTGGTTTGTATTTATGGGGCGGAGTTTAGAGCGATATAATGCATGCACTGCTTGGCGTTGGGAATTACTTCACTAATGACTGAGATGAAGATTGTTGATATCATGAGATATTCATGGGAGGAAAGTCTGGATTTTAAGCTCGCATAAGAACAGCGATAGAATTTCGTATTAATATGCTACGATTTAAACATGATTTTATTTTGATGTGAGATGATTGTGCTAATATCTTGTAAAGTGATAATGAGGCGGCAAGAAACTCTCTGGTCAGTTCAGTCCCATATGTAAATATCTGACTAGTACCTAAACTCTATTAACTCTACATATGTTACCTCCGAGAAATACCTGAGCAAGTCTAGATCTTCGCTGAATCGAATTCAGTTTTAACGTCTTCTGATATTAGGAAAAGATATTGGGTCCACAAGTCTGATAGTAAGACTTCTATCTCTCCAAGGCAGTCCATAGTCCTTCCTTTCTTCTTTCCCTTCTGGAACTCTAAACGTGAACTCTTCCATTCTTCCGATAATCTCTAGCTCGCACCTTCTACTTAGGAAACCATAACAGGGATAGTCGATAGGTAGTAGGATTTGTTGAGAGATTTCTACCTCAAGCTGAGATTCACCGGCAAGACCTCTCCTCGTGCTCGACTCTTAATGCCTCTTTTCTTAACAAGCTGTTGCACGAGATCCACTCAAGCTATAAACTGAATTCTTCTCTAGTACTGAATCCAACCTTGACAGTCTCCACCGGTCTCTTTATTTTTTCTTTCTATCTCACCTCGAGGGACTTGGCTCAAGAGATTATCAATTATCCACTTCGATCTGCCAATTTACAACTATTTAAAGTCTCTCGATTCCTGTTGAGACCTTTCTTGTGTACGAGGGATTTACTTGGAAGTATTTGACAAAGACATTAGCAACACTGCCCTATCACACAACAGCTAATTGTAAACAGATCTTTATACTCGCACCAAGACTTTAATTGACGGTTCTTTTGATTTATTGCTATAGCAGCAAATCGTATCTGCCAATTGTCAAATATCGAGCTGAATTGAAGATCTCCTGAGGCTCGGTCTCGATCTATAAGGCCAGTAACTTTTAATTTTTCTGAAAAATGTTACCCCTTCGGATAAAATTCCTCCACATTTTTTGCATGATCGAGGTTTGGTACTATTTTATTGTAGATATTAACACACGATTACAGATCATACGACCCATCTAACATTCTTCTGAACAGCTAATTACTGAGACTTCTCTCAATTCATTGATTTAAAACTTCGAGGACAATCGAAGGAAGACCCTTAGCTATTCAATTGCTCACAATGAATCTCGGTTCCCACTATAACTCGACACTTGAAGAGAAACACTATTTTGAATAGTGCTACGAGGCATATCGTTTTCTGCCCAGATAGCCTCACCATCTTTCCCACACTTGAGCCCTTCGAAATGTCACATTAGCATCCGCTCTACTTACTTGCGCACACAAACTTCTGCGCCAGATACCATCTTGCTATTTTTCGCCTTCTGATTCATTCAAAGTCTTCTATTTGAGTACCTTGTTTTGCAATTCACTGAAATTGTTCTCGCACACCAAGGACTTCCCTTTAAATCAAGCAATTCTACTCACAAGTGGAAATCAACTTCCTACGCTATCTCATTTTACATTGGGTTGAAATTTCAACACTACCATAAAAAGAATCATCAGATATTCCATCATGGCCGATGACTCTAATGATGATCATAAATCTGAGGGTGAAGACGACGGTCTTCTGGCTTCACCATCGCCATCGCCAACAAAACTTGATGTCAGTAATTTTCAATGCCCGCATCCAGGTTGTGGTAGATCCTATGCTTCCAAGCATGGACTTGACAACCATAATAGAGTTCATTTTACTGATAACGAAAAGCCATTCGCCTGTCCTCATCCAGGATGCCTATCAAGATATACAAACAAGAGAGGAGTCACCCGTCACTTCAATCTCAAACATAAAGACAAAAGTGACTGGTTTAATTGTCCTACGGCAGAGTGCGATTCATCTTTTTTGATGAAAGACAGCTCAAGTTGCATCAGAGAGAACATGGAGTATTTCGCTGTACTGCAAGACATTGTGCCTATGAGTACACCACCGAGCAAGAGTTATATGATCATAGAGAGGTAACAGTTCATCACAGCGTTCAGCACACTCAAACGCGCTTAATCACTAATACATCTCAAAGCGTAACCATACAACATCTGACCTGTATGAAGATCGAGCTGGCAAACGGCCATCAGGAATATCTAAAAAAGAAGACTTATCTGCACAATTTTCGAGCGGAGAAGGGACCGCAGATGAGATCGTTGTTGACGAGAATCCAACAAAACCAGAATTCCGCGAGGATGAAGATAACTTTGAGAATAGTTCCTCCTCCCAGACGCCTACATACAGGAACAGTAATAGAAGAGACACTACAAGTAGAGTATCGTTGAAGGCGGAGGAGTATCCAGCAAGACCTAATCGCAAAGGCTGGAAATGTCCCAAACCTGGCTGTACAGTCTGTCGCAAAGTACAATTTGATCTTATTACTCACTGGCAGGTATGTGCTCTTTATTAATCTCTTTAATCCTTTGCTGGAATAAAGTCATTGATCTGCTATCCTTTGACACGACATACGATCTCTTTCACTTCAGTATGATAGTCAAGCATTTGTTAACTGTACCAATTTGTTAGGAGGCACATAGCGATATACCAGAACCAGCTCATTTCGAATTCGTCCATGGTCCAAAGTCATCCGAGAATACTAATAACAGTCCTAAATCCATGGCCAATGACCATCGGCTCGGAGGTAAGCCTTGGCATTTCATTTAATTATACAGCAGTTATATTATATGGTAACTTCTTTACGGCTCCCCACTCTCATTGTTCCTTCTTCTCTTAAACAACGACTCCATTCCCATTTACATTCCTACTTCATTTCTTTTGTTTTTAATATTGTTCATAATAAACTACAAACATGAATGATATGAAGGAAGACAGCAGTGATGAAAATAGTCACTTACACCCTCGTGCAAAAACAGGACAGTCAACTTCTGCTGGTCAGCCAGCTCAACCCAACCAAGAAGAGGCAGGTCGAAACAATGCCAGTGATGGTTCCCTAGGACTAAATTCTCAGCAACACAGAGGAAAGGATGCCAATGCTACAGAAAACAAGGTATGTTTGATGATTTTTACTTTTCAATTTATGTAACTGTTGTAAACATTTGTTTGTCAATTCCTTCCTTCAACCAATTTCGGACATTCAATCTTCAATATTGATTGAATAGAGGATGGACAATAGCAGATCTGTTATTCTTTCATCGGCTTTTGTTCATTCATTTGTCAAGGATCTTGTCTCATAACCTTCCATCTTTACAACTTATTTTCTCTTCCAAAAAGATCTTTTACAACAGTATAGACTAATTCAAGGTTCACAGAATACAAATATGAATGACTTAAACGCACCAAATGCTGCCATAACAACTCCTTCCATCGCTTCTTCTCGTTCCTCTATGGCAACAAACAACCAAGGTCGCACTCCAAGATCTAACAATGGTCCTCCCATCATTCCCCCTCCACGTCACCCACCTAGCGTCACTCGTTCAACTACTACCGTCTTGGCAAGTTCTACTGGCAATCTTTCTGGTCCAGCTGAAACCCCTTCAATCAACAATCGACGTAAGAAGGCAGCAGCTGGCCATCCCGCTCAGAGAATTCACGCTCGTGCAACGGAAGCCCGCCGTATGAGTCCTCCTCCTGCTAGGAGCAATCCATCTGCAAAGTCTGCTGTCGCTTTCATCAATACCAGAATACCTCCCCAAAGACAATCTCAAGTCTCTTCTCCCGATTCTTCCCATCGCTCCTCTCCTGTGAGATCTGATGGAGAAGAGGAAGAAGAGGGTCTCTTCGTCTCGCCACCCGATACCACCAAGAGTCAGACCAAAGGTCCTCGCCGCGTACTGGGTGTTCGAGGCTTTGCCAACATGCCGTTGCCTAGAGATCAAGATTCTGGCGAAGAAGATCTTAGACCAAGCCATGTCTTGAGACAAGAACGTCGCGCTGCTGCTGGCAAGCCAGTGAAGCCTGATCATTCCCGAGAATTTCTTGGTGCGGGTAGGAAAATCTTCGGTCAACGTAGGAAGGTGGGAGAATCTACCAGGTTTTCTGCAGCCGGATCAACTGATTCAGATGATAATTCAAATTTCGAGGGCAGCGAGTTCAGTGTAAGCTGATTGTCTCATTCTATTATGTTTAATATAGTCATATGGATGTACTAACAGACAATAGTCATCAGGTAGCTCTTTTGGAGAAGCGGAAACCGTCCGCTCCGGTCGTCGTTCCAAAAATCATCTAAACGCACGTGCCTCCAACTCCGTTCCTTGTCGCCCCTCTGTCAAAAAAAGCGATCCCCCAAGAACCCCTTCTCCTGATCTTCCTAGATACCAACCCTATGAAGTCTACGGTCCTGATCTTGACTCTCCACCGCCATCCTACCTCGTCAAATCTCCTGGCGTTATCGACCGCACTCTTCCATACCCCAGTCGTCCAGAGGACAAGACGCTCCCTGATGTTGCTGCAGTTCAACCCGACGACCTCTTCGATGCCGATGACATCTTTTTTAGCTTTCGAGACATGACTCCACATGAAAGAGAGGTACAAGATCGCCTCGATGTAGAGAAAGATGCCATGAGAGTAAATGCGTACGGCTCTGGAATTCGCGCTCCATTGCATTTTGATCATTGCCCCTACACAGCTCCAATTTGTCGTACCGAGCGGGCAGCTTGGGTTGCGGAGAGATTGCGTCTTGATGTTGAGGAAGCTCATGGTGATGAATCTGAAGATCCTGAAACACCATCAAGATTGGATTGCGATGATGACCGTCAATTTGGTGTTGACGTAGAGATGACGGGTACCGGTACATCTGCTTTATCAAAGAAGAAGAGAGCTACTTGCTCTGGTCCACTCCGCGAAAAGAGAAAGTACAACTGGCGTGATCCAGCTAGGAAGAATAAGCGTCGTAAAGGTAGTCTTTCCGGTAGTATATCTCGTCGTGCCAGTAATCGCCGTTCCAATTCTGGTGGAAACTCTCAAATTGATGGTGCCGACGAACAGGAAGAGGTAGTCGCTAAAAACCAAAAACCAATCTGGGTATGGAGTGAGGAGCATGGAGCTGTGATTAACACACGAAAGCCTGTTGAATTGGTTCGTCCGGGTGCTTTGGCTGCTGAAGACGGCGTTGTGCTTCCTGGACCTGTCGATCGTGCTTCCGCTGCTCCTTCAGTTGGCTCGGATGACTTGAATGCTTCGGGTGCCCCCGCTGCTGCGGCTGGTAGTTCTAAGACTTCTATTGTTCTCAGTGATACATATACAGCGGTCTAAATCCTTGAATCATGGATTGCTTTTAATTTTCGGGATGCTTGATGGGTGGGGAAATTTATGGTTGCTTAGTTTGTGGGTAATTAAATTTGCTGGGAGTTGATACCAAATCTGTTCAAGGCGTTGGGAGTGGATGGTGGATGGTGGAAGTTATTTCTCGAAGCTGGCATGTTTAATAGATCATCAACAAAGATGGCGGGTCTAACCGAGATAGGGTTCATATATCATGGATAGCTGAGAGACCTCCGCGCATACCTTGAGATAGTTCAAATAGTTAGCAGTAATCTGAAACTGTATTCTATCTAATTCTTGAGTTCCTGAAATGAATGAATGCTATGGGTGAAATTATGTGAACGATTGATTTGTCTTGTTAACTTTCAATTACTCTTTGAATAGCTAATAATGAGATTGCTTAGATTGTATGTAGTTATTTAGGTCATGAGGATTTTATGGAGATGCGAGACAGGATGAGTGGTTAAAGAAGAAGAGGGAATGGTGAAGATTTGGAAAGGGTGGATAGAATCTAGTAACAATAAGTATGAGGGAAATGAAGTTATATATGATAGAGAAGGGGGAGTAGAGTAGTATAAGTTCAAAAAGGGAGTGATTGGGTGATAGGCGATGGGGCATGGTGTGATGGTGTGGTAGTATTATGGATATTGAAAGGTTAGAAACCTTTCGGCATATTTCCGACGTGGAGTTCGTAAGGTTGCTTCGTCTTGATGTCTAATGGAATATTGATGATTGATACGAGATGTCTGAATACAGGGAGAAGAATCAATGGCTCACTATGGAGAGCGGGGATAAGTGATGTGAATAGTAGATGATGTGATATTGAATCTCCTGCTAAATCTCAAAATTGAAAAATGACAAGTACCTAGAAGATCCTTGAATCAACTTGAAATCACCTCCAGAACTTACACGCCAAAGAAAATACCCAAGAACCATTTCATCTGCACCATGCCGTCCATATCCTCAAATCGCCAATTGGGAATCCGATACAAAATGGCTCCCCCCAGCACACCTATACCCGCCAACCTGTTTAATCCACTGATACCCCATAACGCAGACTCCCAGATTCCTCAACTTTGCCTGCGCTTGCGCCTCTTTCTTTCTCCTCAATTCCTCTTCCAATCTTCTGCGTTCTCGTTCCTGCTCAATACGTTCCCTCTCAGCTTTAGCTTTTAATTCACGAAGTCGTGCTTCCTCGCGCAAACGGAGTTGTTCTTGCCATTCGGCTTCATTTTTTGCTTGGATTTGTCGCAGGGCTTCCTCTCTGGCTTTGCGCTCGGCTTCTTGAAGTGCTCGCATTTCTTCTTGCTTCTTGCGTATTTCATCGGCGTAGCGCTGGGCTTTTTCCTCGGCGGCCTTTTTATCCCGTTGTAGTTGAGTCCATATTGCGTCGGAAACCCCCGCATCACGAACATCGTCAGTATCCGGTTCGTCATCTTCGAATAGTGGCTTTGCGGGCTCGTCATCATGCTTGTCCTTCGATGCATTTTTAGTCGCGGAAGAGGTATTGGTAGAAGTTGAGGGGGGAGCAGGCGGTTGTTGAATATTGCTCATGATTGGTGCATCTTTTGACAAATTATGCCGTGGTTTTCCTTGCACGTGAGCCCTATCTTTTTTGCTATCAATAATGTCTTGAATGCAAGCCATGGCATCGTCGTATGATAGATTGTTGTTGGGATTATTTGACGAAGTATTCGTGGTCGATTGGTAGAATGCACGCGTCATGCTCTTAGCGAGTGTGATCATATCTCTTGCGTTACCCCAAGCGGGGAGTTTGGAGAGCTCTGCAATCAAATCCAAGAAAGGCTGATGATCGGTCATATCTTTCAACCCGTCGATGGAGATATTTTCTTTTTCCAAGGCATTCTGTAGAACGAGAAGAGAATCTTTGGGTGTAAGAGCTGGAAAATTGATCTCATCAGCGAAACGGCTATTCAAGCCTTCGTTTTTGGTAAGCAGCGTGTTCATATCTTTCTCATATCCTGCAAGAATTATGATCATTTTACCGGCGAATTTCGGTTTAGTCATGGACTAGAATATTCACAAGTTAGTGATTGCACGGAAGGAAGCTTGTTAGCTTTACGGATAGGAATAGCAATGTTTGAAGTGACAACAGACGATGATTTTGCATGCTAAGTAGGATCCACCGTTAAAGTGATTTAATACCAGAAGAAACAGTAACTCACATCAACTAGTTCATCAATAGCTTCTTGGGAGAAATTTCCTTGCCCAAGTCGGTATGCTTCGTCGATGAAGAGAACTTTCCCCAGGCCAAGCTCAAGTTGTTTGACAGTCTTGGGGCCAGTATGCCCAACAAATTGGCCAATAAGATCTGATGCGGAACATTCAACAACTTTTACCTCCGACAGAAACCCTAAATCATAATAAACTTGGCCAATTTTCCGGGCAGTTGTAGTCTTTCCAGTTCCTGGTATTTGCATTAGCACATCTGGCCGCATTGTGGCTTAACAAATCAGTAAATACCTGGGGGGCCTTTAAATATGAAATTCATTGGAATTTGGGACCGAGGATCTTTCCCGAGCTTTCTCATGCCTTTCGCCACTTTCACATATCCATCAAGCTTCGCAATGATAGTATCACATCCTATGATACCTTTGAAAAGATCTTTCAGATTTGTCTCTGCACTGGATGCTCGATCAAAGTCTGAATCAAAGTCTTCTGGCTCAAACAAGAAATCAATCGATCGTTGACCGACAGGCAATTTTGACTGTCGAGATAGATAGTTTTTCTTTGCCTTAGATATTAAATTCTCAACGTCACCCCCATTTCCAAAATTAAGCCCGTTTCGAGCTCGTGCGAGTAAATCTATGGCAACGGATACTGCTTTTTGAGTTGCATCGAGCCCATACGCACTCAACTTCTGCTGTAGAATCTCCTCAAGCTCTTGGTCATTGAAGTCGGCAAATTGAAAGCCATCTGCAGGAGGAAAGCGTCTTGTTAAGCCTGGATTAACATTCTGAAACATCTCAATCATTTTATCTTCGTAGCCTAGAAGTAACACACATCGGTCGTCACCAGGTACGCTCTGTATTTCGGCAACAATCGTGTCTATCACTGCTGTTCTGTAAATGTCAGAGCCTCCGCCTCCACCATGACTACCCTTAGAGCTAGGATAAAGCATGTATGCTTCATCTATGATTAGAACTTTTCCAAGTGTGGTAGCAAGAATTTTTTTTGTGTTTTCTTCCGATTGTCCTATATGGCTACCTATGAAATCGGCCGGGTTTTTCGTAACAACTATGTTCAGTCAGTTTTCCCGTAATAAAACATAAGGTTATGTTTCTTGTGGCTCAATAGCTCTAAAAGAAAGCTACTGTGAAAAGTTGATCATACCTTCTCCGTTGCTCAATATCCCAAGGTCTGAAAGAATGCGGCCATATAGCTTGGCCACTGTTGTTTTACCAGTACCTGGAGAGCCGAGGAATACACGATTCAATGATACCGCAATAATTCGCTTCTGTTCTAGCTCTCGTTTGTAGTTCGTCTTGATGACTTCGATAATGAATTTTACGGAGTCCTTGACAGATTTCAGACCAGTAAGGCTTTGTAGCTCATCCCATGCCTTGCATTTCAGAATTGCTTGAGATGGGTCTGGTCCTATCAGGTCTTCCTTGGTGATAAGATTGTCGTCTGGACCGAGGCCATCCCTACGCTCTTTCGTTAAGCGATCCGCTTGGCGTTCACGAATCCTCGCAAACATGTTCTCTAGAGCTCGCGCATTCCCAAACCCTTCTCTTCCTCTTCCCCTGCCCAATCTTTGCACCGAGATTTGCATGTAAAGTCCATCTTGGCCATCTTCTATAATCATTGGAGAAGGATAAAATTTATGGATCTGATATTGCAACATTTCAAGGAGTTCAGCATCGGTATAATCTTCAAAATGAAGCGTGTACGGTAGGCGTGATTGTAGACCGGGATTATGCTCGAAGAACTTCTCCATCTGCTTGCGATATCCGGCGAAGACGAAAACAACTTTGCCCACAAGATTTTCTATTTCTGTAAGAAGGTAGTCCAAAACTGTCTTACCACCGACGTTATGTCCTTCTGTCAATTGGTAAGCTTCATCAATGAAATAAACTCCGCCCTGAGCACTGTCAAGAATGGCTAAATGCTTTTTGACATCATTTACTCCGCCATGCGCGAGATGGCTGCCAGTTGTTTCAACAAATTCATCGCCAGGAAGAACTTGTAGTGATGTCAAGATCTTGGCGTAGAGTCTCGCCACTGTTGTTTTACCTGCTTAAAGTTAACAGGGATCATGATTGGGTATAGGGATGGAGTGATGGGTTTCCAATAGTCCTTTGGCAATTTTGTTTTACAAAACAGCCCACGCAGGCCCATATTCATATGGAACTTTTGTATCAACGGCCATAGTTGTGAAATATTTGAATCCACTGAATCGTTGGATTTAATCCGGACTACGGAATCCACTCGGATCTTTGAGCTGCATTCCAGAATTCAGAGCTTTTAAAATATTGAATGAACTTGAGCTATTGAATTTGGATCGAAATTGGTACTGTTGGAAACCCTACGAATGAAAGTGCACTTACCTGTTCCAGGATTACCTAACAGAATCAAGCCCAGCCTTTCCTTTTTGAGATCTGTCCCTTGGCGTTTGGAAGTATCGACTTTTGCTTTAATTCGCAGTACCTGAGATTTTACATCCTCGAGGCCAATCATCTCCATGATTTTGTCTATGGCCGGATTTATCGCATTCTCCAGGTCCTTTTGTCGTTGCCACTCAATCTTTGATGTCGAAGTTTTCTGGCCAACTCGCGTCTGAAGTTTCTTTGGAACATTCTTGCTTTTCTGAGGAGACTGTGTTTGAACTGCATGGGGTTGCGGAGGTGTAGCACCCGAGGTACTGGCAGGTGCTCCACTGGAAATGACGGGAGAAGAAGCAATAGGAGCCGGTGGCTTACTCGTGGTAGTAGATGTCGATTTATCTACTACCGGCGTCGACTGAATTTGAATTAGTCGATTTTTGATGGTAGACAGTTCCTTTCTTTTCTGTGCTAAAACTGCTTCTTGTTCTGATCTCAGCTGGGAGTCCTGAATCTCTTGATGTACCCTATCTAGATCTTTCTGGAGTTTTTCAAGCTCTTTTTGATGTTTTTTCCTCATTTCCTCTCGTCGCAACTGCTCATCTAATTCTTTCTTTGCTTGGTTGGCAGCATCTCGTTTCTCCTTTTCGCACTTGGGACAGGATTTTATTGGAATATTCTCATGACATTTCGATTTGATTGTATGTCCTTCGGGACACTTTTGCTGTAAGATCTCCTTACATAACATTTTAGAGTGGTCAGAAACCTGATGACATTTGCTAGGGCAATGATGAGTATTACAATTCAATAGAGCGCCACTGTGGGGTTTTAAATTAGCTTTTCCAATATCCGCGTCGATTGAAAATTGGTGGGACTAACCAAGGCTCATTGCACCCGCCATCTGAGCAATATTCTTCGAAATGTTCCGGTATGGTCAAAGTTGCCATTCGATCAGGGTGGTTCGCGCATTTCACAGGGAAGCCAGGATAAAAATGGCCCGAGCCTTTCAATAAGTCAAAGAAACTCTTGTATAAGGCACTTCCTTTCCGAGAATGTATGAAGGTTTCGGAGTTACCAACCATGATCAGCGCATTTCGAGCACGAGACACTAGAACATTCAGGCGTTGAGGCTGCGACATAAAGCCGATGTCGTGTCTAGAGTTGCTTCTGGTCAAAGAAACGATTACTATATCACTTTCTTCACCTTGGTAGTTATCTGTATTGTAATTAGTGGTAAACGATGATTATCTTGATATCCAATGAGGAAAGCAAGAAATGAAGATTAGAAAGAATTAGTAAAATGGATTGAACACTAGAAAGCCATTGTAACACTGATTAACCTAGTTGACAAATGCCATCATAAACAGGATTTCATTAGTCTTTCTCAGAAGAAGAGAAATAAGGTCTCAGATTTTGAGAAAAATGTAATATTCAGAGTCAGTTGAACACTTCAACTGCATTTGGAAGTTGGAAGATTATAATTGTTGGATTGAAGCTCGGAATATTAGAAGCCCCAAGTATAAGGGCAAGGCAGAAGAGAAGGTAAAACTTACCAACAGTGGAAATCCGTAGTGATGGCTTGGAAGCTTTGGCGCCAGTATCAATATACAGTCCAGCACGGATGAGATCGAATTTATCCAAATCGTTGAGGATGGGATCGTTCTCTTTCGCAAGTTTCTCGAGCAGCAGTCTAAGCTGAGCTACATAGGGGGTTAATACAACCAACTTGTCCGAGCCATATCCTTGTTGAGCAAGGTACTTGACGCATTTGAGTATCATGCTGGCTTCAAAATCATTCTTTTTGGAAGATGTGGACTCCACGTTGTCCCTCATCTCTCTGACATTCACTTCATGTTCCGGAGCCGTATGATCTACGAAAATAAGATTGTCTCTAAATCCGAGAAGATCTTTCCGATTTTTTGTCGAATCGGCATCAACTAAGTCGGGATAGGTAAGGTGTCTAATAATCGACGATATCTCCGGTCGAGAACGATGCTGTTTTGTCAGAGTAACATGTGGAAAGCCGTCAAGCACGAGTCTTTCAAATAAAGACATGTCCAAATTGTATCCATCACCTTGCTCAACCTTGAGGCCGTAGGTATTGCACTTCGGACGAAGTTGTTTATGGTCTCCAATGAGGATCAGCTGTTCAGTATTTCTCCCCAAAGCTGTGAAAATATGAGCTTCGAGAATTTCTCCGGCTTCCTCAACTAATAAGACTCCAGGAGAAGCTGCTTGAATTGCGTTGGAGTATTTTGCAGCTGCAGTAGTTGTGCAGCCAATGATTCTCTTTGACTTGATGATGTTTACATCTCTTTGTCCAACAAGCTCGTTTTTCTCTGCTTGTTCGGCATTGAACTGCTTTCCAATTTTATCCAATTCTGCAACCATCTCCTCTATGATAGCCGACTTCCAAGTTGAAATCATCTTTGCCCTCTGATCAGGGCTGATACCCCACACAGCTTTGGAGTTCTTGTGCTGTGAATGTTCAAAGGATCCGGCATTCATCTGTCCTCTGGTCCATCTATCAAGTAAGTAGAACTTATCCACAGCTTTACCCTTCTTCCCAACCTTTGTCATACCATTCGTGGTCGTTTGTGGTACTAGGAATGTATCGTAAAATGTAATATCATCTAGGAACTCAAGGTAATCCAAAATTTGTTGCTTACTCACATTTGCTGAGTTGTATCTTGTGAAGGCACTTTTCAAACGTGCCTCGTGTAGACGCAGACTATCTTCAAGTTTGCGGATCCGGTTCCATTGGGAGTTATCGAGCTTTGATGAACCTTGTTTGCTAAGTGACAACGATTGTGTTCGAGGGGTGGACTTTGCGCCGAGTCGTATCATATCAGAAGGTGGTATACCAATGTCCATAAGGTCTTCGAGGAATTGATCTAATGCGTGGTTTGTATAACACACGACTAAGATCATTTCAGATGTGAAGTTGTGAATTACTTTCGCTCCCAGTGCTCCAATAAATGATTTTCCTGTGCCTGTCGATATTTATTAATACTCATTTGCAACTTGCTACCTAGCTATACATCAATGTGAAACGTAATAGAAATGGAATGCGACAATCTGATTGTCATATTTGAATTTGGACAATGAAAAGTGCCATGAGTCCCAAGTACATCCTTTCAATGTGCAACCTACTTCCTCCATCGCATGACAAAATGAGGATATCCATACCTGGGGGCCCTTGAATCAAACTGACTCTTTGGAATAAGATAGCAAGTAGAGATTGAATTTGAGAGTCATCCAGAACAATCGATTTCTCCGTCGAGAGAAGAGAACTCAGATCTTTCCCAGAACTTCTTTCTATCTTCTTTTTCAGTTGCAAAGGCTGGAACGGCGGGCCAGAATTGAACTGGTCCTCACTCCACGAAAGAAGCTTCTCTGCCAAAGGAACGTCATTCATATCTTGTAGGCGTTTGAGAAATGGTTCAAAGCCGAAGATTGATGTGTCCATTTGCACCAATTTGATCTTTTGAGCAGCCTTAAGTTTTACCAAAGTTCTGGATACGGTTGTCTCATCTTGAAATTGCAAAACAATATTAGCGGGTTTTTTCGCCAGTTCTTCCTCGTTCCTATCGATAGATGGAAAGGCGACAGGTTCACCATCAACAAACAAGCACCCGATTGTTCCTTGCCTAAGAATGTTCCTGTTTTCCTTGAGATAATCGACGCGCTTGCTTTGATTCTTAGAGTCTATTTTCTTCAGAGACTGTAATTCATCTGGACATTGAAACATGAGGCCCCATGGCTCTCGGAACTTATCTCCTTTGATATGTATGCTTGCCACTCGAATGTTATCAAATGTTAGCCCTCGATGGTATCCTGATTTCAAGCCTTGGAGCTTCTGAATCTCATCCCTAATTTCGCCTAGCATGTCTTCACGAAGGAGTCGAAATTGATTATCAATGTGAATTCCCAGTCGAGTGGGATCCACATTTTTGAGGTATATGTCCGGGGTACGTAGAAACGGTCGTTCCTTAGATAGAAGTTCATCTGCCGTAGGCATGATTGAAATATCTCGGTGGTTCGCATGGTCATTATTGTGTCTTCCACCAGGCCCAAAGTCAAGGTCTTTGTCAAGGTCGGATGCATCCAAGGATAGGGTGTGCTTGATTTTTTGACCCAAATTTCTACAATCCCCGTTGGCAGATGTTAGAATCGCATCCAAGATACCGGGAGATTTCGCCACAAGGACATAAGTAGTTGGTGATTTTCCAGGACGATTGATAAGCTCGAGTAAAAGCCATGCGAATGCATAAGATGCCTCTTCATTCAGTTGACCAGTCTTGAAAGCTTTCATGAATCCATCCCAGAAAAAGGGAGGCTCGGCTATCGCGGTAATAAGCTCTGATAAACTTAACCCGGAGTTGATGGCTTTCAAGAGTGGTGATTGTAAATATTGGAGTAAGAGCACAGATGTTTCGTTGAGGAACGAGGGTGTGGTGTCAAAACGCATCGAAGCTTGGATTGCATCAAGGCCTGATGGTCCAGATAATAATTTATATGCTGCTGTTGCTGGATCTTTCTGAGAGCAAATTGCTTCAATAAACATTTTCCCGTCTCGGACTGAGGATAGGGCCCTTCGTCCATTGATAACGTCATGGAAAAAACGATCTAGGCGGACGACCCTCGGGTCGTCAATAAGGGAAGCCATGAAGATTTTGAATAATGTTGAATAGAATGGTTTTTGTTTCTTTATTTGATCATAATAAGAAAGTCGTTGAATTAATATTGCGGAGAGCTGATATGTATTACATGAAGCTTTGAAAGTTGAGATATGGATCCTACAAACGACTTCGTTTTTGGATTATGAAAAGCACCAGACAGGGTAGCTTTAACGCTCGAAGATTCTTTCTTTTCTAATAGACACTGCTATAGCGGCATTGTAAATGCACCAGTACATCGAGTGATAGAAGATACTATCAGTTTGCGGCCTGCTGCAGAAATGGAAAGCCTCGCGGAGAATGTTTGCCGTCCAATCCATTATTTTCTTTCTGAAAAGCGACATATAAATGGCAGGTCCTGCAGGCCAATGAACGCGGCCGGCATACACTGAAACCAAATGGCAAGGCATTTCCGTTTGCTATGCGCCGTGAGGCACAGAAAGAAGAGCAAAGCCAATGGGCTTCCTGGGAGGACACAGGGTTACATTGCGAGGCTTATTCCTGCTTTTGCCTTTACAAATGGACGTATTCCTCAATCATGATCAGAGGATTTCAGACTCGATAGATTCCTGATACTGGAAATCCCATCATATCGGAAAATCAATAATCGGCAGAAATCATCGTTCATTTGATACTTGCGACAATTGCAATCGATCATGTTGTCGTACAAAGATAGCAATTACAGAAGAAGAAACCGGGGTGTGGGTAGTGGGGCTCGTGGGGGCTTCAGGCAAGGCTCAGCGTCTCATGTTCTTCCGCCAGTATCAGATAAGCCGTTTGGACCAGAGATCGACAGCATCGATATATCAAATCTGTTGATTGAAGAAAATGCTCCCATAATTGAAAATGTCAGTTATGTCGCTTCTTACAACTGGGTCGATGGAAAAAGTCCAATAATTCTTGTACCAGGTAGGTAAAAGATTATTCCCATAATTGAGAAACACCGGCATCAGAAGGCGTCTGCCGTTGTGCAGCATGCTTTCTTGACTGTCCATGAATTGAACCCTAGCGTACTTAATTGTTAACACGTGAGGAACAGGCTCCCCTCCAGCTTGGTCTCCTCCTGCTCAAGATGAGAAGCTTCCTGAAGATAGTGGGGCTGTATATCGCGATATCAATGCTGCACGATATCCTGATTATCCCATGGAGCCCGTCGTCCGATCACTTTTGGCCCTTGAACCGGATTTCAAGGTGCAGGATGTAGACTTGGTGGCATGCGGGTCTACAATTGGAAATCTCCTACGATTTGCAGGCTCGCTGGATATGCCATTCAGATTTGATGCAGATCTCGTCGGAGACACTGTCTTCTTCATCCGAAAAGGAAAAAGTCCGACGGAAACCATTGAGGACCTCCGAGGTTACGGTCACACGTTTCCTGAACGATATACTACATGGGACAGAGACGTGGGGGGCTCTTGCTCACATCAGCGGATAATTGAGTATGATTTTGCGGACCTTCATCTTTTGGTTCGTAGCGAGACTGATGGGTATCTCAAGAAGCAAGAGCCACATATAAATGCCTTATCAGGATCAGAGGTGAATGTACAGACATCGATAGATCAATCATTTGCCAAGCTGGATGTAGGTAGCGCCACTGCGGTATCCGGTAATTCTAAGCTGGACCTGCGAATGCAAGGCGTCAAAAGGCCCCAGAGTCAAATTTTTGACATGAAGACTCGACGTCACTTAAAAACCTTTGACATGGAAGAGATTCTTCCTCGACTTTGGGTGAATCAGACTCCCAACTTCTTGATTGCCTATCATAAATCTGGACTCTTCGACAACCCGCAAGTATCAAACGTCAGAGACAAGGTCCTGGAATGGGAAAGGGAACATGCTACTTTGTTGAGCAAATTTCACGTTCTTTTAAAGAGAATTTTAGAGGTCATAAAAGATTCCAAAGATGATCGTGTGGAGATAAGCTGGGATGGTAAGGGTCCACTGCGTGTGACGAAACAAATCGAAGAAGGAAATCGAGTTCTCCCATCAGATTTGTTGCAAAAATGGGACGACTTGGATTAGCCTTAGATTCATTTTTCTCTTCTTGGGGTGGATGGAGGCTTGCAAATTTCCTCTGAGTGGGACCCTGTCTATATCTTGGATTGAAACAGCTTCATTTTGTTCTCTCAATTTCATTGATTGTTTCAATTCATTTGACAATTTGAATATATTTGAGAACTGGCAAAAGAGTTTTGTTTGTTTGAGCTGTCACGGTGCTCGAGGTTCAACTTAGGTCTAGATATGATTACACATCTTCTCTTGACTAATTCTCAAGGAGGAGTTCTACCAGTGATACAACGTCAACTCAAATTTCCTTATTAATTATCTAGTTATGTGGATACTTGTTTATCTAGGGTTTCTTGACTACGTTGTAAAGCACTGTAGATTGACTGTCGATATCTTCACAACAATCATGATCTTAACTGCTCCGGAAACTTACCTCGTTTCAAACACTTTTTCTGGATGCTAAAGCTTCGATGCTGTCAGAAATACCCTCTTCTAGTTGCGTTTCGCCTTGTACAATGCGTTCCAAATCAGGGGCATCTGAATGTTTAGTACCCTCAAATAATTCATCAATCTCCTCGAGCGTTTTTCCTCTTGTCTCCACCCAGTATTTCCAGATCAATCCCACCTCCAAGACATCCCACGCGCCATTCATCATATATATCTTCCAGCCCATAGCTTCTTGCGCAAACGGGAACGAGAATACAATCAGGAGTGCAACACCGTTCAGGACGAAAGTGAAGAGGCCCATTCCGTTGGCTCTGATGGGATAGTTGAGTACTTCTGGTGGGTATAAGTAGAGGAGAGGTGTCCATCCGAAAGAATAAGCTCCCTGAAAGAGGAAAATCGCAGCGACGGTCCCATATACACCGGACTTGTTTGTTGATGTACCATATACTTTCAACATGTCAGAAAATTTGGGTGGATACTTGAGAGGTGAAGCATACCTTTGGTAAGGGCACCAACAATGAAGAGAAAGACAGTGAGAAGTGATGTGCTAATGATAGCAGTTGGACGCCGGCCAAGTATATCAGCATAGTATGTTCCAACCAAAGCACAACAGAGGCACCAAGCATTGAGTATTATGTTCTGCTAAAGGTCAATGCTCGTTCTTTCTATTGGGAGGCTAGGAATCTCACAATCTGAAGTTGTGTGGTGGTGTCAGTAATGCCGGCGTTGTCAAGCATTGTCCCCAGGTAGTAACTTGCGATCACGTTTCCTTTCAAAGTCAATATCAGTTGTGACGATGAAATCGATTACCTACCGGAAATGGTTGAGATTATTGCAGCTGAGATTGCCAGGGAGACTCTCTTTCTTGCAACCGGTGTTTTCACCATCTGCTTTAGACTCAAGGTCTCACCAACATTTCTCTCATATTCTATCGTGTCAATAATCTCCTTGTATTGCGCAAGTACAATAGGACTTGAGGTGTCTCCATTTGCATGAGTCTGAGCTATAACGATTAACGCCTCTTCTGTCCGCCCTACATAGGCTAGCCATCGAGGTGATTCTGGCACAAATGGCAAAATGGCAATGCAAAGAATACTAAAAATTCCTTGGACCAATGAAGGGACTCTCCATGCCCAAGTCGAGTTGTAAGTAGCCGTCCGATACGTCACACCAGCTGCAATCAGTCCCCCTGCTGTCTGTTAGATGTTTGGTTTCATAATGAACAATCAAAGCTCGTACCAACATAATAACAATCATTCAACACTCCTAGTCCCCAGGCTCTCCAATTGTAGGGAAGTGTCTCGGCAACATACGTCGGTCCCGTAAGAGTCGACGCCGAAGTTCCATAACCGACTAAAATCCTAGCTATTACAAACATGGCAGTATTCTGCGCAGCTGTCTGAAGGATAACAGACAAGAATGTTGCAACGGCCGCCCAAAACAATGCATATCTGCGTCCGATTATATCGGTTACTTGTCCATAAGTCAAACCGGCAATGGCGCCACCAATCCAGAGAGCGGCTGTGTTTAGAGAAAGAGTTGCGGTGTTCAGATTGAAATAATCTGTATAGCTGGGGAGTATGTTGAGTCCGTTCCTATCTTTTTGTGAATATCAAGGCTTGAGTTAAGGGGAAAGTGGATTTATCGGGGAGACTAACATCATCGACCCATCGTAACCAAAAGTAGTTGACGTGATGCACGAACATAGGACTAGGAGAATCGATACTACCCATGACGAGCCTGAAACTCTTGGGCGGGTTATCCGGGTCAACATTTTCTCCGCCATTGCAGGTTCCGATTCCGTAAGATGAGATGACTACTACTTTCAACCGGTGGACTTTAGTAGGGCTCAAAAATATGTCTTTCGATGCTGCAGCGAAAATTTTACATACGACTTTAAACAAAGCATAAGAATAGTCCATATTTATGTTTCTTATCTCAGCATGGAACTATGTGATAGAAAATTCTTGTGTCTAGGGAGTCAAGCCGCCTTATCTCACAGAGATAGCTCCAATGCATGTGCAAGGAATATCGAAGCCATCGAAGCTTGTCAAGGCTTGTCTGACTTAACCGGCTGCTTCAACCCTAGATAACAACCTTCCTTTCACGTACCTGGGCATGGATCAAGGTGATAACATTTTGTTGGTCTATCACTCGTACTCACCCTCGAGCCACTGATGATTTTTACTGTATTGACTGATGTTGGCTGTGATCACAACTCTAGCGAACCGACAGTACTTTTGAGTTCTTATCGCAGACCCCGGTTTTTCAGTGGAGAGACGATGGCAACAACTACACGTGACATAGATCTGCATTTCGTCCTGATTGGGCAGGTGTGACGGAGAGGGGTAAATGTTCCACTCTGGTGTTGTACATATGAGTATAACGGCTTCTCACAACCTTCCAATTCCACGCTTCTTTTGTTTAATTTTTCTCTTTTTTGGAAGTAAATTTCGCTATGTATCTTCCTTTCCTCTTGGTTTTTATATCTCAGACTGTCGCTTTCAATGCCCCATCTGATGTCCCGACTTGGTGCGGAAAGCCATACATGAGCACGTGAGTTGTGATAGTGTCCCGGGTCGCGAGTTTGCTGACAGTTATTAGAAACCACTCGTTAGATCCAGGAGGGCAGTTTAAATTCCCAGAACCTCAGTATGATCCACTACTCTATGTGACGATACAACCTCGATACTCGATTTTCCTTGAGAGTGACGAAGAAGGAACTTTCATTGTTGATGCCAGTATATCCCATGTTTTTGGCGGGTCATATACAAATACTACCTTTAATACACCTGGAAGCAATATCAGCACCCCTTTCACGACGCTTGATATTGAACTTTACAATGAAGAGTCAGGTGCCTTACTTGTCACCAATAAGGTTCCTGTAAACTCAACTGGAAACCTAATCGAATTTTCCTTTTCTTCATTTACTGCACGATTACAGCCTTACGCAGTCTCCATCTATGCCACTTCCCTGACGGCCAACAAACTTACGCTGCAAGCACTAGTGTCTTTGTATTACCATCACGTGAATATGGTAGTGCCGTGAAAATCGATAATCTCTTTGGAGGACTCTATGTTCAAAATGACAAAAATGATTGGAACGGCTGGTATGCAATCTTTCCAAATGGATATTACGCCGACGGTTCTTACGTAACACCCGACAACGTCTCGCTGGCCAATCTCGAGGCATATGCAGCACTCGGTTTCAACACCATAAATATTGTTCCAGACGGTGGTCTTCCTGATCAATCTTATCCCATTGCACAACTCACAGAGTATTGGGATAAATTGGATGAGCTAAACCTTTTCAATCTCTACGATATGCGATTTGCGTTCCAAAACTCAACACGCATTTCGGAACAAGTAGCTCTCTGGCAGAACAGGACTACTCTTCTCTCTTGGTATACCGCTGATGAGCCAGATGGATGGGCATATCCTCTAAACTCTACACAACTTGCTTATTCGCAACTTAAATCACTAGATCCATATCATCCCGTCAGTCTCGTTCTCAATTGCCAGAATTTCTACTATCCCGAATATTCAGCGGGTGCGGATATAATATTTCAAGACGCCTACCCGGTTGCGATAAACGCCACTTGGTCTATTCCGTGGGGAACTCCTTGCAATGAAACTTATGGAGATTGTGGATGCGACAACTGTGTTGGAGAGTTAGAAGACGTAGCGACTCGACTTGATGATATTCAAAATTACCAAGCAAACATAGGACCAGGGAGTCAAGGAGGCCTAGGTAAACCCACATGGTCAGTAGTTCAGGCGTTTGGAGAATCGCAGTATTGGCAAAGTATACCGAGTGCAGCGGAAGTAGAAGTAATGATGATGTTGAGTGTGAACCATGATGCCAAGGGAATTACATATTGGATTTATCCAAGTACAGATTCTGCCAACGCTGGGAGTGCAGATTTGGGTAAGGTGTTGCAGAATGCACCTGCGATTGATTTCCTGTTTGGGACCAACGCAATCAAAGGACTAGGAAATGGGTTGCTAGATGTAAGTTTGTGGGTTGTAGGAGAACAGATGATGGTTGGCATCGTTAATGGAGAGTATGTTCAATCCGTAGACAAGATCATGATAAGTTTGCCAGGAAATGTGGTATCCTTAAATCGGACTCTGTATGGGGACTCGGGCTGGATGGTCAGTAATGGTAAACTGTCGAAATCAGGTCTGGTCGGTTTGGAAGTAGATATTCTGGTGGTAAATCTTAGTTAGTGCCCCAAAACCTAATGCGTTCATCGACAATCCGAAATTTTCAAATCTAATACTATTCTAGAATCTATCACTACGTTGTTCGAGAATGATAGTGGAGGTATCTATAGAGATGAACTATGAATTAGACTAGATTAGCTTCATTGGTAGATCTATAGCATTAACTTACCATATGGTTTGGTGGCTGATACCTTCGTCCGATATCAAAGTAAACTGGTCCCGGACGGTGCACGACTACAAGGAAACATCATTGCAAACTTTTTGCTACATCTTGTACTAAATCAAACAAAAAAAGTAAGATGAGAGAAAGGACCACTTCGTCGAAATCTGGGGTACCGCTCTATATCGTGGCGGAGGTTGTACGCTAACGGGTAGATCGATTGCGGACGTTATTGGTATGTGACAGCCCGTTTCCATCGGCACTTGAGAATGACATACTGAAACATGCCATCGCAACACTTTAATTCAAGTCTCCGTCTCATCATGCCAGCAATTGTAGAGGCGGATGTAACTGTTACTCTCCCTAATGAATTTAGACGCTAATCGACGGAGTTTTAAACGGAGTCCGAGCTAACCCCACTCCTTCCCATCACTCGGCTTTTTCGCCCTTGAATATTTGTCCTGTCGCATTGCATTGGCTTGGATCTTGATCTGTCGAATTATATTGAAGGGATTCTTGAGCTGTCACATTGCATTGCATTGAATCTTGAAGATTTCACTTTTTGAAGCGAGTTTTGGTGGGAAAACGGATTACGAGATGCATGAAGTCAAGGATCGTGACAGCTTGGTGCTTGTGATGTCTTATTTTACGACCTGCTATGGATACTAGATCGCCCTGAAGCTATGGTATTTTCCAAGACATCACAGTAACGTCTCTCTATAAGGATATCGGTTTTTATAGTCTGTTTTAAGGACAGAGGAAAATACTCTTGTAGGGAGGTATCCGACTAATTTTGATTCAATGGTAATCCGCTTCCGATTAATCCTGATCGGGCTATATTACCATAAACGTGTAACATTTCTCAACTTTGCAAAATCGAACAAATTCTCGATATATCTATTATATGATAGTGATTTTCAACAATTCTGTTCAGCCCAATAAGGATGCACATAACCCTAGAATCTGAAAGTATATCCTTATATACAGGATCCTTATAGACGGGTTTCAATGTATATTGTACTCCGAAAACATTCTTACTATATTTTTATGGAAATACAGTCATGACATGACAATGGTGGAGTAATGACCCAGATCGCCCTGTGGTGGCAAAGTTAATATTCCGGACAAAGATAAATTCAATATAAATCCCTATACAAATTTCTATTTCGTACATTACAATATTAATATATATATTCGTTAATAATGAATAAAGCTCTTCGTCATTAACAAATCAAATCGATTCTTTTTGTGATCTGTTTATTATTGAATTTTAATAGAAAAAAAGAAAATAAGGGCCCTAAGAGGCCTTAGGAATTTCGAAATCTTCGAATATTAGAGTTATAGGTAAAATGAACGGAAGGGAGCGAGTGTATAAATTAGAGGGAGGTCAAAGAGGTGAATTAGAGTTAAAAAGGAGGGGGGGGGGAATGAGCGTAGAAGCTAGAGAATAGATAGAAAATATTAGTCGAAAGTTTAAAGGGGAGGATCCTTATTACTTGTTACTTATTTTCAATTTATTCTTTAATTAAAAGCTTTATTATTATGTTATACAATATAGAATGTACTGAATAAACAAGAGAACAATCTAATTTGAATATAGATATATATTTTGATCTGAAAATGATTGTCTTAGACTAAAACTTAAAAGCTTTCCAAATTCAAGAATTTTATTAAAACCTTATTAATTAGAATAAACCTTGTAAGGTATAGAGATTTAGATTAATTATATTAATACTTTAAAAACGATTTATTCAATATATAATGAAGGTATTGTAGAATTTATGGCAATTACGAAAGGATCACTTTGTCAACCACGGATTCTGCCACCACAGGGTATCCCCTTCACTTCCTTGGTATATAAAGACGAAGTCCTCGATATCATATTCGATATCAATCAACCATTTCAATCTTCCCTTTTTATTTGGCTTAGCTCAAGATGGACTTCTTCATCTGGTTTCAATCTCTTCCAACAGCGCAAATAGCTTTTGTTCTCATCTTTTTTGCGTCCTTTGTCAAAGTATGAATAATCCTCAAGATACCAAGTTTCATATATTAACACATCCAGGTCATTCATCAAGCATACCTCACACCTCTGCGCAAGATTCCCGGCCCATGGTATGCGCGATTCACCCATCTCGTTCTAAAATACCATGTAATTACCGGTCGTCGCATCCACTACATCCATTCCCTCCACCAAACGTATGGACACATAGTCCTCGTTGCTCCAAACGAAGTATCATGTTCTTCGCTTTCTTCTTTCAAAACTATCCACCGCATCTCCAAGACTTTCCTCAAATCTACTTGGTATCACAGTTTTGTGACTGGACCGGAGAATGTTTTCAGCATGGTTGATCCAAAACTCCATGGCGTCCGTCGCAAAATGTTTGCACATGCTTTCAGTAAGAGTTCTTTGAAAGCAACTTGGGAGAGTGAGGTTAGGAAGAAGACGAATATTGTTGTGAATAAAATTAAAAGAGATGCTTTGCTAGGAGAAGTGGACATCTTGAAATTCTTCATGTTCATGGCTACAGATGTCATTGGGCATCTCTGTTTTGGAGAGAGTTTTGGGACACTAGAAAAGGAACAGGTAGGTTTTCCGCTTCCTACCATATGCTCAATTATTCATTTATACTCTAGAAAACTCAATACATCGAAGATCTTCAACGTGTGAGCACAATATCCGGTATTCGTGCTGAGTTTCCGAGGCTTTTCAAGATTGGAAAGATGTCAGGTCTCTCTTTCCTCAAGACTCCCGATGATCGACTTTCTGAGTATGCATCGTTGGCTGTCCGAAATGCAAAATCACAGAGTGATGCTACTCCTAATATATTCCGCAAGATACTCGCCGAAGGAAAATCGGAGAGTGCCGAGGGATCACTGTCAGATTTGGACATTCGACAGGAGGCCACGGCCTTTATTGTAGCTGGGACTGATACGACCGCTAATTCGCTTACATTCCTGGTATACAATATTTTGAAGCATCCTAACCTGCGGACACAAATAGAAGATGAGGTTGACACTTTAGGCGATGAATTTGAATCTAAGGATGTGGAAGGATTACAGTTGTTGAATGCGGTTATCGATGAAGGATTGAGGCTATGGGGAGCAGCGCCAGGAAGTCTCCCCAGAATGGTTCCTCATGAAGGTGTTGAATTAGATGGATACTTCCTCCCTGGATCCATGACAGTCTCCACGCAATCTTACACAATTCACCGGGATCCGGAAATTTTTCCAGAGCCTGAAAGGTAGTCATCCCTCCATTCACCCGATTCCACTCTAGTTTTATCTCTACCTTCCAAAAATGACCACCATTCCGGGCTGTAGTCAGTTTCCAGGGCCGGATTCAAAAGTTGAAAGCCTTGAATTGTTGGACTACAACCCGGACTATTGAATACTACCTGTTCTCCACTCTTTCTACAAAACAAATGACTAACTCATGGCACGTCTGTTATAGGTTTGATCCCCAACGCTGGCTCGGTCCCAAATCAGATGACTTCAAAAGTGCAAATCATGCCTTCGGTGCAGGAACACGCACATGTATTGGTATTCATTTAGCGAGAATGGAAATGCAGTTAGTTCTTGCTTCATTCTTCAGGGAGTGCAAAGGAATGAGAATTGCCTCGAGCCAAGATGATGAGGGAATGGAAATTGAGAACTTCTTTTTGATTGGGCCAAAGGGACATAAATGTGCCCTTACGATGAGAGAGGGGTTTTAAGAAGTGGATCAGAAAGTTTTGGGGAGGAAATTGCAATTGCTTTTGGATATTAGTTGACTCAAGTTGTATATACTTGATACATCGTTTCATGATTTATTCTCATTGAACCCTTGGACATACAATCTGGAATTCTGTGGAGCCGCATTGTATGATGGGGAATGTGCAGAGAGATAGAATTAAGGTTTGTTCTTAACCATAAAAGTGACCTATCCAAATGATATTGGGAAGTCCTCCATGCGTTCAAATTTGGTACCGATATACTTGTAATGGAATTACCTTGGACGCAGATGCTGCTTGAAATGAAATACTAAATCTGCATATGAAGTTTTTACAACCCTATCCTAACCGCGTCTGCCTCAATCTCATGTTCCATATCTTCCTCCCTCTTCATAAGTATTCCAAATTCCTTTTTGTACCAGGCGGAATCCTCAGAGATGAAAATTGTTTTTTCTGACAACTTGACCCATTGCGACGTCATGATTTCTCGTAAACTAGCGGCATGTTTCAAATGGCACTCATAGTCATAGCTGAATTCATCACCAAGGAGCCACCAATCCAATAACACTACGTCACAGTCCTCTTGCATGGCGTTATAACGTTGCTCAAAGTCCGTTGGCCAGGAGAAACCATCCATACAGCAATCTGCGAAGATCTTCCACGAAAGATTCAAACCCATTGCTCTTGCTCCAAAAGCTCGTGCCATTTCCGCTAGCTTTACGTGACTTTCAAACTCATTATGGCTATAGGAGAAGTGGACGTTCCGATCAAAATTGACCTCGCACACGGTGCTTGCAATCTTTTTCCGCAGATCTGAAGTTGGTGGCAGTATGTAGAGCAAAGAATCTGAATTTCCATCCCATGTTTGCTCACAGTATTCTTTTAGATTCAGACCACGTTCAGAGAGTGTCTGCACAGAAACTCTATGCACAACATATTCCATTGGAATCTCCCACTCGAAGAGATATTCATCCTTGAACAACACCGGGTTTTTTGCACGACACCTTTTCGCCATCTCTTGTGCAGAATGATATGCATCTGATTCCCAATTCGGGACTTTAATCAAGGCAATCCAGATCTCAGCAGAATCTTGTGCATCTTCGTATGCCTTGTAAAACGCAGTTTTTAGAGCTCTAATGATACTAGAGGTCACCGAAACCAAAGAGGTTGGTTCTCGATTGAAGAGATGTTTATGGTTCTCGAATTCCCGTTCTAGGTTTATATGAGAAGGGCGATGCCAACCCTGCTTTGCTTTGCCACAAACGAGGCCACCAGCGCTTGTGGGTGAATAAACGCGATAGAAAAGTTGAGACGCCATGTTATCGTATCCAAAATGACCTCAATCTAAGGATTTGGAAAAGAAACTCGAAACTCTTGACTTGAAATGGAGATTAATATTGCGAAGAGAAGCAGTAGTTGTAAGAAGCTCGGGCTATCTATCCGGTGCCAGTTGTCAGCTTATGACCCCGCATTCTTCCTGGCCACTCATGTCATATACAACTAGATAATGAAATCCGACACACGTTCGACAATACCCAATCTAGCATTTCAAAAGCATAGACCCGTAAATAATGTAATTGTGATTTCATGTTCAGACAACACACAGGAGTTCTGGATTGGAGTGATGATAGACAAGTAACAATCTCTGGATGAGATGCCTGAGATTCTGGATAGAAGAACACTTGTTTTGGACAATAAATCTATTGCGCGCTTGAATGAGAGCGCTGATTGAACGGCTAAGTTCTGTTTGGGTACATTGCTCAGAATCATTTAGATGAAAATCATCTTCCAAATCCCGCAACATTTCTGATGACTGACATGTCTTTCTCGGACACTAGAACGATGAAAAACAAACGAAAATCCCCAAACGCCTTATTTTTATTTTTATTTTGTTTTTTGATTGTTTAAAGTTTTTTTCTTATTTTTCGTTGAACTTAACTGTACCGTATGCCTAGCTAGAAATGGATAAAGGAAATCATAGTCATAAATCTCAAACCCAGCGATCTCAAACTCCTGGATTCTCATCTTCAATCTTTGCATCTGCCACTCTTCTCTCTGTTCTGTGCGTCTTAAACTTTCTCGCTGGAACGCCCTCATTGAACATCTCATCTAACTCTTCATATGTTCTATCCTTCGTCTCTGGTATCTCTATCCACACAATAAACCATGCAATACAAGCTGTTGCAAAGAATATCCATCCCATTTTCCCACCTAGATTTCCTTCAGTCGCATTGAACATGTATGGTACGGCTACATTCCAAACAGTAGAATAAGAATAATTGAAAAAGAAACCGAAAGATTGGGATTTAGCTCGTAGGCGGAGAGAGGAGATTTCTCCGGCAAGGGAGATGGAAGGGCCGATGGAGGGGCCGATGGTGAACCAAACCATTTGGAGTGTTACACCTACACACCTGTTTAGTGAATTAGCTGTGTTCTGTACCAAGTGTGATAAAGTTTAGAGGGGACGTAACGTACCATGAGGATGCTTTCGATGAAGAGGCACTTGCTGCAATACCCATGATTAAGAAGAGAACAACAGCAACTGAAATACCAGATAAGATCATTTTTCTTCTTCCAATGAAAGTCATGAACCAAAATGTGAAGAAACTACTAATCAACGCAAATCCAATACCCAATTCAATCATCATTGAAGCTTGAGAGGATGAAAGACCGGCTGTGATCATAAAGTATGGAGCATTAGAGATAAAAGTAGCACCAATCATTTGATTGAGACCGTTTGTGTAAAGAATGATTCTTGTCCTGCGCCAATTTGTGCCTTTGAAGAGGTCCATGTAAGAAGTTTCACTACTGGCGTTGGCTTGGCACTCTTCTTCCCGCGTAATTCGGACCATGCTACCAATAATGGGCTCGACTGGGATAGACTTGTTGTAAAGTTTGGAAAGAGCTTTGGTGGCAGATGATAAATTGCCTTTTCGAACAAGGTAGTAGGGCGATTCAGGAATGATGAAAGAGAATAAAACGATGACTAGCGGCCAAACCCAATTTGAGGCGAAGAGAACTTTGTATGAGGACTGATCCATAATTGTTACACGATCGAAAGCAACAGATGCCGCGATAAGGTATCCTAAGTTCTTCAAATAGTTAACAATACAGTTTAATGATTGGATATGTGGGACCTTACCATGCTAAAAGCATACGCTGACAATGCTACTCCGCGAATCCTAAGAGGGGTGATTTCTGAGACATATATTTGACCAGTAGTCAAAGCCATACCAAGTCCAATAGCATTTACCATTTTGCCTCCAAGAAAAGCTCCAGGGGTTGTGGCCGTGTATATAACAGCAGTCCCAGCAATCGAGATGAGTCCAGATACACAGAAAGAGACGCGACGACCGAAACGATCTGAGATAGGTCCAGCTCCCCAAGCACCAAAACCTGTACATATCTGTGCCATGGCATTCCACAATGATTGCCAATAAGCAGGTATTACATATGTACCGGGAGATACCTGTTCACCAAATTGCGCTCTAAAGAAACTGTCAATTATTGTGCCAATGGAAATTAGAAATAAACTGACTGGAATGGCACCATGTTCAAACAAAGCGAAAGTGCAATGTTATCGAATCCGTACATCAGTGCCCCCATATTAGCATAGATACAACATAATACGATAAAGGGATTTTGTTTGATCGTCTGCCAAATGCTGAGGTCCGAAACATCGAGTTGGGTTGTGTCAACAGTTTCCACACGTTCGAGATGCTGTGCTGATAGTTTAACATCGTCATCTGTGGTCTTACCGTCCACAATGGGTGGATTTGTCGTTGCCATCGTGCTGCTCAAGTTGAAAAAATACGAGTCAACGAATGACGAGATTTGTATTGAGAAAATAAGGGGGAAGAATAGCCCTATTTGAAGTGAAAGTGAAAGGCTTGTTGAAAGTGGAGTGAGGTGGAGTGTAGAGGAATTGTGTTGTGTGGAGAGAGTGTGGAGTGCAGCAGAATGAAGCCCTTGGTATGGAGAAGATTTTTGGTGGCTGACCTGGGGAGTCATTGCGTTGGATGTGTAGGGATTAGGGTACGACTCCCCTAAGCCGCCTCGTCGCTGCCCTCAACAGGGTGAGATCCATGACACGGCCAACATTAGTGATGAGCGTGACGGTACTTGCTAGAGCCTACTTGGGAAGATCTAGGTTGGGGTCACGTCTAATTGAAGGAAGCCAAGGACACTTGTCGCTAACTTTCTGGAAGTCACATAAGAATTCCTTCAACAAGGTGACAGGCTACGTGTTCTATCGGTGGTATTAGGCTTCGTAGTTTTGCTATTGCCAGTGGCAAAATCACTGACGAAGATCCCCTTCAGATCCATATTTCCGTGACGGCGTCTCTTGTGGAGATTAAAGATACCCGGCGGCAGCTAGACTAATATCGCATTCTCGGGGTAAGTACTAGAGAGATGTGGGGATGTGTTGGTGCATTTCGGTCGACGTTGTTTCGTCCATTCCAAGCACGAGCCCTATGAGCGTCCGTGGTGCATTTAAGCGAGCTGTTAGCTTTCTTCGAACGTCCACTCCTCCACCTCTTCCACTTCTTCCACTCCTTCCACCTTCTCTCCACATGGGGTAGTGGACGGTATGGGGTGCACTAAACATGTCGACGAATCTTCTTCCACTGGACTAAAGCTTCCTGAAGAAAAGCAATTTAAATCTTTGACTACCTCATATAATACTTAGTAACCATGAGCTGCCATTCTTACTTTCAATTGAGCTATACTTTCTACCACTCAAGCTTTCACCATGACCTCCTCTCCGTTTCTCACTGACGAAGCACAATGGATCTGGGTGCCGGATTTTGACGATACCATCGATCCTGGCCAATTTGTTCTATTTCGAAAGTCATTCATTCTGGAGAAGCTTCCCACTGAAGAAACTGTCCTTCATGTCTCTGCAGATACTCGGTATCGTTTGTTTTTGAACGGCAAACGAATCAGTTTTGGGCCTTGCAAAAGTTATCCAACAAGATGGTATTACGAGACCGTGGATATCACTCCATTTCTGCAGCCTGGAAAGAACGTGTTCAGTGCAAAAGTCTTAAGATTCTCCGTAACAACCGCGGCCGGCACATCGATGGCCAGGACTTCTCTACCAGGACTCATTCTCTGGTGTCAGATAGGGGTGAGTAGATTCTGAGGTGGCGGTTCTACAAAATGAATGAGCTAATTTGTATGAGCAGGAGCAAAAGCTTCATACCGATGCAACTTGGAAAGCAGCTAAAGACCAAGAAACATCACTCCTACCATCTTCAAAATGGGATTATCGAATGGGCCCTCCTTTTCTAAACCTCAATGAAGAGATTCATGCGGACGATACATTTTTGGGATGGAAGGAAGTCGAATTTGATGATGCATGTTGGAAGAACGCCGAGATAAAGACAATGAAGAGAAAGATGTCACCGATGCTGGATGCAAGAAAACTCATGCCCAGGCCAATACCTCATCTTCCTGAGATATCTCGGCGATTTGAGAATGCAGTAACATGCTCTGAAAATTCGAGCTTGAGCGACTGGAAAATGCTACTACAAAATGATAAACCTATGAAGTTAGAGGCCGGTACAAATACAGTCGTTGAAATCGAATCGAACATTTTGACTACTGGATTCCTTGAATTTAGCTTCGAGATTGATGGCAATTCATCTCTTGCACCCAAGATCGAAATTCTCTGTGCTGAATCCTACGAGAATGATATGGATGGTGGCCAGCCAAGGTCAAAAGAGGACCGTACGAATTTCAAGACTGGAAAATTATATGGACCAATCGATACATACATCTGTCGTGCGAACCAGAAAAAATGTTATTACGAACCTTTCTGGTGGCGCACATTCCGATATATTCGGATATCTGTAACGTGTCCTCCACATACCACACTTATGTTTAACTCCATCACGTACCGTTCCACTCATTATCCTCTACCTATCACTACTACTATAAATAGTACCCCTCTTGTGGAAAAGCTCCACTCGACATCTGTTAATACTCTCCTCAATTGTATGCATGAAACCCATGAGGATTGTCCTTACTATGAACAAAATCAATTTACCATGGACACTCGCTCTCAACTTCTATTCTCCTACACGATTTCCCACTCAGACCTACTTGCCCGGAAAACAATTCACGAGTTCTTTGCATCTCGTAGAGATGACGGGCTATTGGAAACGCACTTTCCAAATCCTAGCCGCTCCATGAACATACCTCAGTTCTCTTTGTACTGGATATTTATGATTCATGATCATTCGTTGCACTTCCAAGATATCACGATTATCAGAAAGTATTTGGGCACTGTTGATGGAATTTTGGATCATTTCAATGATCGTGTCAATGAGCTCGGTCTTGTGGGACAATTTCTTGAAAAGGGTACGTGGGCCTTCGTCGATTGGGTGAAAGAGTGGTTTATTCCAAGACGAGGATTTTCTAGTGTAGGAGTTCCCAAAGCATACTTTGACAAAGGGGCTGCAACTATCAACAGCTTAGTTTATGCAATGGCTTTGAGGTCTGCTGCAGTTTTGTCCGAAGCCGTTGGCAGGAAGGACACTGCAAGTGAGTACCTTGAAAGAGCTAGTGCTGTCATTCGGTCTGTCAATGAACATTGCTATGATAGTAACAAGAGTCTGTATCTGGATGGGCCCGGCGCTATTGGAGAGAGTTCCCAACATGTCCAGATTTTCGCAGTACTTGCCGATGCTATAAGCGGAGAGTCAGCCAAAGATCTCATGAGAAAGACCATTCACGAAAGAGAAGCATTGGGACTTGCAAAGGCGTCATTCGCAATGTCCTTCTATATGTTCCGAGCTGTTGCTAAAGCGGGAATTTATGAAGAAGTTTGGGAGGAGTTGCTAAGCCCTTGGAAGAAGATGATTGATCAGAATTTGACCACTTGGGCAGAAAGTGAAAGTATGGTCAGAAGTGATTGCCACGGATGGAGTGCAACTCCAATGTATGAGATTGTAAGAGAAATTGTTGGCATTCAATATCCAACCACAGAAGATAGCGACGGATGTCTAACAACGGTCATTAAACCTAGATGCAATTTGGTAGAGCAGATGAAAGGGAAATTTGTGGTTGCGGGAGGTGGAAGTGTAGATGTTTCCTGGGATGACTCTGGAATGGTTAAGATTCTTAGCTCTAAGGATATACGGGTTCAACTGGTACTAAATGGAGTCACTCACGATACCAAACTTTTAGAAGGCGTGGAGCAATCTTTTAAATTAGAAAAATAGAATATAGAAGGCATAATACAGATATTGATCATGGCCGGCCATCTTTTTCCTAAAATTAGTAACGATGATTAGCTTTTAGGAGAGTTTCCTACCCCATAGAATACTCGGAACACAGACTGCAGTGCCTGTTTGTACGAAACACATACCTCATACTCTGTGTGTCAAAAATAGCAGAAAATTTTGAGGAATATGTATCAGAACTGTTTATCGTCCACACTCTTTGGTGTTTTCGGCGTAGAATTCAACGCCATGGTCCCTAGACTTGATGCGGTTTGTAAGCGATGACGAAATTAGCAGCAGGTTTTCATTATGATCAATGATATTTCCCTGTAAGACAATATGTGTATACCATGATTGAATGGATTATCAGCAACAGATAATAGTCGTGTGATACGACACAACAGATTATTCCCACAGTGATGGTGAATCGCTGGAATATAACTCATTCCACCGTACAAAAGAGAATCATCTCACTGAGTTTCTTTCTTTGAATGGTAGAAATAATTATGTGTTGAAACATGCTTTGTCGTATTTACACACGATTTATGTATAAATTTCTGGTTTTCCTCTTTATGAAGATCTTCACATTGTATCTGTAACCATTGACTTCTTCCTTTAAGTAACTTAAAACGAAATTTCGAGCCGCATAAAAAACACAGCTTCGAATAAAAAGGACACAAAACATCTCATTTCATAGTCCATTTACACTCGGAACTAAAAATCTCATCACAAAACACAAAGAACAAATCATCAATCATGAATCAAGCAGCACGCGCCTTGAATGAAACATCACAAAGCCTTAACTTCAACAAGAGACTTCCTCCTTTGGATCCCTATGAAGGTCTAGATACTCCTCTACAGCTTGAGTACAAGGATCAGAGCGCCTGGATTGCTGTTCGTATACATCCTCCCCTTTAAAGTTTACTCTCATTCCAGAGCCATCTTCCCCCGTCGATCTCGAAATCTTTTTCTACCCTTTATGCAAACTCACAAGCTGATTTCAATATTACAGAGCCACGCAAATGATTTTGCTCCTTCTGCCATCGTTCTTTGCCAGGCAAAGTCAGGCACATGGCAACAAATGCTCGCGAGTCTCGAGGCAATTAATAGGCTTCGTCATCCAAATGTTGGAGAGGCATATATCAAGTGGAGAAGTCAAGACATGCTTGTCAAACGTCTCTGGGAGGATGTAAAGTTTCCTGGTGTAGATCCAGATCCGGTTTATGTGAGTGCTCCGGAGTGAGAACTCGGAGATAATTAGGACAATGCTAAGATACGATAGACACAAATCCGAAGAAAATACTGCACAGCTGTTAAAAAATTAATCAATGAGAAAGCAAAGCAAGGAGAGGATGATACTGCTGCTCTTGTGAGTCTTCTCCGTCCGTAAAAAAGTTCTTACCAGACAAAGTTGCTGACAAATAAAAGATCTTCCTCAACGAAACTTATAACAAGAAACTCATGTTAGCACGTAAATTCGAGGTTAGTACCGAGAGCTTCTCTGATCGCATTCGCGCTATCAAGGCTAAGAAGGCTAAGGAGGCGCAGGAGGCTAAGGACGCTGAGAAGAGAACCCAGGAGATCGAGGCAGAAGAAGAGAGAGAAGAGGTGATGGAGCAAGGTGGAGACGAGGAATTTGTGGTTTTGGAGATGGAGGATGCGAATGATGAGGATTTTGAATGGGAGGGTGATGATTGGGATATGTCGTGATAGGCTTTTAAGGATTGGGTGATGGGTGGCTATTGGTGGCTTATGGGAGAAAAGATTACTATCTAGGTAATCCGGCAGGTTGTTGTGGGTTGCGCGTCTGGTTTATAATGCATGTTTAGTTGGTGCTTTGGGTTTGTATTCTGATAAAACCCCAATATAGAATATAATATTCTACTTCACACATTTCTGTATTCTCAAGGATATGGATGTTGGATGAAGCAACTCTAACCTTGAGGCAGATAATATTCTAGATTAACAATAATTATTTTGATAGTAATAATCAGGTGATATCATGATCATATTGTTTCCTGTTTTACCAATGTCTCATAACTTGTTGATTTTATGATTACCCATTTCAAACAACTAAGCTCTCTATATCATAATAGCCTAATTTTTTATATTACTATGTCCACATCACTTCAATTTGCCACAATTTTCACGTTGTGTCTGATACTCTTCATATTTTTAACATAAATAAAAACAAGTAGCTGACACTTGTTCAGTCTGTCCGGACCGTTAGATTTCCTACCAGCATTTCATCTGGTTATTTTTCTCCGATCAAAATGCAACTATAACATAAACATGAAAAGAAATGTTTTCGATTTCTGGACAATATGATAACTTGCGTAGATTCCTTTCGTTGGTTTCTTTCCCCTTAATTTCGTCTCGTCAAATTTACACTAGCTCAGATTGGGGCAGCGTTATTTTAATCACTCCAAAAACTATGGAAAACCCGTGGGTCGTCCAACAATATACAAAATTGAAATACCTATAGCCGTACAATACATCAAACCAATAGAATATCGAGACTGATGCCAATAACCAATAACCTCCCACTCTCGAAATACAATTTGAAATGTTAGATAGAATCCTACAGCATCAATAAAATTTGAATCATTCAAAGACCGAGTTCCTAGGTTAACACTAGTTTCCCCCGGACTGTACTGCGTACTATAATTATATCAAGTTCCAGAACTACTTCTCTTTAGCACAAAAACTTCTTTAGTATTTTCCTCCTAATCTTAACAACAAGTCCTGTGATACATTCAGCATCTCTATTCCGCATCCAAACTTAAATCGAATCGTTGATAAAATTTTCCCGACAGCTTTCCAAAACCTAAGAGATCACTAAAAGAACATCAATATATCACAATGGATCTCCCTACATTCACACCCGAATTTATCCAGCTTCGAAACAAGCATCGCATTGGAAGCGATTCTTACCATTCCTCAATGTTCTGGGAGAAAGCCATTCCAAGACTTGCTCGTCACAAGATGTCGGGCTTGGACCAAAAGGCTGTCACAGACAGATATCAAGCAAAGTGTGAAGAGTATTATGGAGATACTGTTAACAACAACTACTTCATGTATTGTTGGGATAAATCCATCTCGGATTATTTCTGTAAGTACTGGTGTAAACTTCAAGGAATGAGATTTACTGTGCTAATGTGCTATGACTTCAGTTCCCGAGGAAAGCTTTGTCGGATCAGATCCTGATCCAATTTATGTGAGATTATCGCCCTGGGGTTTTAGAATTCAGAAGCTAATTCTATCATCATAGTCCGAAGTCTTCGCGCAATACTTCAATGAGCAGGCGCAGGTCAGAGACGAAATGAATGAATGTGGCGTTCATGTAGCAGAACAAGTTGTATGTATTATTGAGTCATGAAACTCAGTGTGAGATACTAATTTTGATTCTACAGGGTGTCTTGATGAGCCTTAGCAAGGTTTATAACAATCAACTTCAACTTGCACGCAGACCCGTGAGACATTTACCCAGCAGGGCTGCAATGAATTTTGACAGTGCAGGTAGTCAGAATGGCCCTCCGAGACCGAATCCTCAAGGCAGTATTCCTGAGTGTATTACCACGGAGAATTTTGATACCGAGTCTCCTAAGCTGAAGAGACGCATGGAAAAGGCGGTCACCAAACTTTTGTATGAGGATTTAGACAGAGATTGGGTCATGGTCAAGGACAATCGAGATGATGATTGGGTTGTGGTGGAAAGAGAAGCAAGATGATGTCTGGATCTTGGTTAGAACTGCTGTCACAGTTTGTCTTTTTGGGTTGTGTTTATCACACGACCATGCGATGTAGATTTAGTATAATAAGAGTCATTCTTGTCAACTTGATGAATCTCCTCAGTAAAAATATGCATGTGGCGTATCAATTAGTAGAAGAATTCGATCAAAAACTTGTAACTGGCGAAGTAGATATATAACTCTACTTTTATATGAGTTTAGAGGTGTTCACGCCATGAATGATGAGCTTGCAAGCTAGACGGAGACAATTGATTGGAATACAACTCGAATTTCCAGAGAAAGAGAAGAAAGAAGAATCTACATCTCTGAATGGTAACATTCACTCATGAACTTACAGGTGTTGAATATCTATGTTTACTTTGAATTTCCCCCCTCTATGTCATATCAAAGAACTTGCACACTTTTGAAGATTCAAATGGTGTTCTAATAGGTATGACAAGCTATAGTAGTCATCCACTCTCTTGTTCTTGCAAGTATATAGGCTTAAAAATCTCAAGGTAGTTAGCTGTGCTTTATATCAAAGATTGCCTAATGCATATAGCAATTATATATGAATGAAATCAATTGACAGTGCAGAAAATTACCTCATTGTTGCGTTTGTGAATTGAGGCTGGTGAATACTTCCTGTATTGAATAAGATATGAGCTACCAGCTGGACTAAGCCAAATCAGGTGGTTTCAACTATGACCTCGCCTGTGCTCGCTCGCTAGACAAGCTGCTGTAGCTTGTGGGACTCAAGGTACTTATTTTACCATGAAATCCTTTTTTCAGATTTCGACAAACTCTAACACCTTCTTACGAGATTTCTACATTGGCCTATACTTCAACAATCACAAAACTTCACATTCAAGACGTTTTCCTCCTCACAATACAAAAAAATATCATGAAACCCTCCAAAAGATTGAGACTTCTGCTCTCACAAATGCCAATAGAGGCATTTGGTGATTCAGGACATGAAATACAGGCGTTTCAATCCTCGTTTCAAGGAACAGCAATCGAAATCGAGAATGTCGATAATACATTGGATGACAGGGATTTTGAGTTCCGACAGCGCTTTGTCACTTCCACCGGTGCGACCAGCAACCATGAATCCACTAAGCAAGTCGCCACCAGTATCGTTACTAAGAAGAAACATATTCGAGGCGATTCCATAGCAGATGTAATTCAAGAAGTCGCCATTGAAGTCCTCCATGAAGATCTCGTCCAGAAGGGTACTACCGACGAGGAAGTAGCCAAGGAAACCGATTTCGAAGACGTTGTTTCGGACGAGGCCACTGAACAAAATATCCTTGGTGAAAGTTTCAGTGAACGAGATTCCGTTCAAATGGATCTTCTCTCGTTGACTATTAACATGGAGGATGACGCTGAGAAGAACAACATTGAGAAAGGTGTTATCGCGGGAAATGCTATCAGAATTACCATGGAAAATTCCAGTAATTCGGACCCCAATCATGCCTTCGAGAACTCTGGGGCCTATTTCCATATCATATTGAAGATAGATGGTGGCGCTCTCGGCGAAGAGATTGTCAAGGATGAGAGCGAAGACGGCGATGATGGTCGGGTTCTAGCTTAGATTCATAGTAACTGGCTAAAATTTCACTGAAAACAGTTTTTTTCAGTCGTCAAATAGCATTCTATAATGCATTGAACGACGATCTTGCAGTGGCTGCAATAATCACATCTTCTTTGACTGCGCTCAAAGTCACCAAGAACAATGTCTACTCTATCAATAATAAAAAATGAAGATATTGAAAATCAAAAACTGTGCACAATTACAATGTGAATGTATTTTCTCTTTTAATTTGTTTCTATCATTCATGTAATTTGTAATTAGACAAGAAGTGTGCAAGCAATAAATGTGAAGGAGGTCAAAGGCCAAGATAGTTACAAATACTTTGTTTAATGTTCTAACTGTTGTTCTCATATTGAGCCGCAAGTATTTTACTGATACCATAGATTACAGAACTGTGGCCTCTAGGGGAAAAGAGAGCCGCCCGCGTGCGGTGTTTGATACTAATAGGGAATCGATAGAATTGAGCTTTAAAAGTCACTAGCAGGACAGAGCTGAGCAATAGCCACGAAATAGAACACTCTTAAGTCCGAATAAATCGGAATTAAACTCACTAATAGATATATGTTTCACTACAGTTGGGATGTAATTTGCAAAGCAGCCGTATCACATGCTGCTAGCATATATCATAATCAGTCACCATGGACTATTTCCAAACAAAGAGTTGTGGAGACATTATTGAAGATGGAGTCTATTATAATACTACCACCTATGGGCGTAGCATATTGAATTCAATTTTAGTCAGTTCTACCATACCTAGGTACCTAATTACTATTGGTAGAAACACGTGCTAATATTCACCCCAAACCCCACGCTAGCTCCATACGGCACCTTTGCACAGCCCGAATCTTCCAAAAGTACCATAAAGCTATCCCTACAACTCGAGACTGTCTATTTTTCTTGTCTATTAATAAACAAACACACAACTCGAACATACAGAATCTGAAAGTCAACCTCGTCATGCCAAACATTTCCTCATCCGACTCGACTGTAGCGAAAGACTACACAGAATCACCACTGCCATCAAATAAACACACTGGCAAGATAACCATGTCAGACGCGGACTTCATGAAATTGTTATCCAAAGAAAGCTACGATACCAGGAAGATAGAACAACAACGTCAAGATCGTGAGGCCATAGAGATGAATCAGAATCAATCATTCAAGTTCCAGGACAATTCATCTGGACACAAGAAAGATTATATGCTCAATCCACCCTATGATGAGACTCGCAATGTGAGAGAAATGAAGAAAAAAAGTAGACGTCCAAGAAAGTACAGTAATGAAATACCTACTGTTGAGAGTACTTTTTCCTCTGATGTCTCATCTACTGTTGGACTATATTCTCAAGCCGAACATAAGATAGTTCACCGAAGACCACGAGTCAATCACCAGGCGGGACCACAGGAGATGCAACAACAAGAGACAAACACGAAATCAGCTAGTTCTGCTTGGATTTCCGATGCAGTTACCACAAAGAGGTCAGGCAAGAAGCATCAGGAGAAAGAAGTTCAGTTTGCTATGGCACCGAAAGCAACAAAAGATCGCCATCATGCAAGAAGAAATGCCAAATATGCTGCAGAATTCAAATCACTAGAAGCTCGATTCGTTCCCAGAAAAAATCTCGAGCCAGAGGATTTTGATGTTGAAAGCGACAGAAACCAACAATTTGAAACCTTCGTCAAAAACTCGGCACCAGTACTCAGTGAGATCAAAGCTAGTTTCCAATTGACAAGGGACAGAGCGACAACAGCAATCAAAAATAGTCAGATTGCTAGAGCAGAAGCAACGAAAGTCATCTTGGAAAGTCAGGCTGTCAGAGCTAGAATTGAAAAAGCTCTTGTACAGAGACTTGCCGCAAAATCTTATGCGGAGAGTGCTGAAAGGGGTGGACTATCAAGAGAAACAAGTGCAAAGACTGTGATTGCTTCTTCGGTCGACGGTTCTGTTGAGGACATCCTGGAAATGGACAAGAATAACAACAAAGAGATTGCTGGAGAAAAGGTGCAAGAAGCTGTTCAATCTGCCGAAAAAGCTGTCCAGAAGGCTGTTCAATTCCAAGACAGAACAGTTCAACCCTGTGCCGATTCTCCCCAGACTTCCAACAGTCTCACCAACACGATGGAAAGCAATACGAAGAATACTGATGGTGAGGCTGCCACCAAGGTATCGAAGTACACATGGTCTATGGAAAATTATAAGATTGAGTTTGTGACAGAGGCTGAGGATGATGCTGAGAAGGCGGAGGATGATGCCGAGAATGCGGAAGATGATTGGGTTGAGGTAATGGATTACGATGAGGATGAGGATGAGGTTGAAGAAGATGGTTGGCTCCTTGCATGATCAACCATCAGTGTTCACTGGAAAATTAGTTGGTAAAGCTTTCGGATGGTGGTAGTTCAAGCTGATACAGTGTGCAAGTAGCCTGGGCAATGGCATGCCATGCAGTTACCTTGCAGATATTTTAGAGAGCTATGCTTTACAATTACCAGTTTTTGTAAACAATGAAGATCTGAAATACTGATGTGATGTATCATTTCCTTTGGTCCCCATAGCTTGCTTCCACAGTTGTTATGAGTGAACAAAAGCATACAAGATCATTGAAGCACAAGATGATGCTGTTCCTTCATGGCGGGGTAATGCGGGGTAGTGATCTCGGCTGCTATTGGCTACCTCCTGATATTTTTCATCCCCTTTTTTTACCTTCGATAAGTGATAATGGATAAAAGCCGGATGATTATCGAATAGCAAAGTACTTCACGATGCTACTTCAGTTACGAACCAATTGAAGCAATCGACCAGTTGTTGATACAAAATATACTCACCGCCCACATGTTAAATCTCCCCTTTTTCCCACCAAAAACTCACACTGCATAAAGTATAAATGCCATACACATCACCATTACCCCTTAATCCCCACAAAAACTTGACCACCAACGTGATGGAAAAAAAAATTCTCAAAAATTCCAGATCCATCTATCGAAGCACGCCAGAAGAAAACTTCAGCGTGCATTGCATGTGAATGCCAAGTAGTGGAGATAGCTGTCATTTTCAGCCCGGGTGGAGACTTGTTAGCCCAAGGAAAATTATTCCAAGGGCGGGACGAAACAAGACGCTTCGTCCCGCATGCAATCTATTCTCCTTTGCTAAGGAATAGACTGACCGGACTGGTGGGACGTGACAGCGGAGTCATTATGCTGTGAATTGTTTGATGCATGGGCGAGAGCGACTGGATCTTGGCGGTGCCTAGACCACCCAAGAAAGGAGTGAAACAAAAAGATGCTTCAGTGTAATCATTCAGACAAGCAAGCAAATCAAGGAGCGCCAGAAGGCACCGAGTCTTGCGACCCATTTAGAAGATGGAATTACTAGCTACTGTAGTATAGAATGCCCAAATTGAACTCCGATACCCCTTCTATTATTCCCATATCCGTTCAATTCAGTTGTCCTTGTTGCCTCGTGACAAACCATATTGCTTGTGCCATCTACCATTTTGACGCAATCTTTTATCGGAACCCCTGATACCTATTACCCCAAAGAAAAATCATCATCATCATGTCATAAAACTCCAAAGAGACACCCAAAGAATGGAAAAGCATCCACAGAAACTCCATCCTCTTTTCCAACACTTGGTATGAAGATCCACCCTCCCTATTTACTCCGAGTCTCTCCTCTCACTCATCTGCTTAGCCCTTCTTCTGGCCTCAATAAATTTATTCAAGTGTTCTCCGATAGGACCATAAGCCTCGACTGGATACCAGCACTTCCCCTCATCATCCCACGTCGTGACAATAATACTAACTTCCGATTCTTGTTGTTGAACCTGACGAACGGGAGCTCGTTCTCGTGCGTTACGGTTTGAGACAGCCATAGGAATACGAAGAGATGAGGACGAAGATGCTTGTCGTGGTCGAGAAGAAGCGTATTTCGGATAAGGAGTTGAGTTGAGCATTCGCTTATTGGAGAAGGCGTGGGCGTTGCGGGGTGGTGAGATCTGCATAGTGATGACCGTTCTGAATGTTTTGGTATTTATGAAATGGGATCAAAAGAGATTAAATTGTAGAAATGTGAATGGGAGGAATTAAATTCGATGATTGGCAGATCTGGTCGACGACGTTGGAAGGCTGAAGACTGGAATGAACATTAATATGTGTAACAATGTAACGGTGTAGAAAAAAGTGCTTTCGTTATTATCGACTTCTGGTCGAACTTGAGTATTTATCTGACGAAGCGGTAGTGAAAAGAGTATGAAGTTCAAAGCCCATTGCAGTGCTTGATATGGTGTCACAAATTGTATGTTTCTTTTTTGTCAAAAAGCAAGAGCGAATTAATAGGTGGGAAAATGTCTCAATATATAGAATGTTTAGGTTGTGGATGAAATTGAAATGCCTCATAGATTTGATCACGCAGGTCCATCGAACTTTAGAGGAATGTGAAAAGACGCCAACAAAAATTGGGCACTTGTGGATGACTTGTGTATTGGGCTAGCACCAAACTTGGTAGGTTAATAGCCCGGGCAAGGTTTGAAAAAATCTAAAAGGGTAATGGCAATCTATCTCGCCTGTATACGCCTGTATAAACCTTACCGCAACTTTACGAAGCACATCAAAATCGATCGAATTAGTTGAGACCAAAACCCAATCAATCGACAAGTAAATGTAAGTATTAGCTGAAAGGAGTAATTGGATTCGGTATTTCCTCGATATTTTTTGGTGCTTGGGCAATGGTGTTATGGAAGGTCCGTTCATGTGCTCCGTGATAATAAAGGGGCTCGGATTGGGTAGTCATCTCACCGCCAGATAAGCTTTGGTGGAACTGTGATTGTCGCTATCTTGATACTTGAAGTATTTCAGATACGGTGTACAAGAAGTATCGTCGACATTCTTGAAACTTGGTATTGTACCTGCGAGTTTCCCATTTGAGAGTCTCCATAGAAACCATCCAATTCCTGATTGGCCTCATCATACAATTAATTTGATAATGATGATGTTGGGACTTGGGATCACGCATGGTGGACTTGTATATTGGACTTGGCTATGGTACAGTAATAAGCTGTGAGTGGACTCGTGGACTAATGTTTGACTCGTGGTTGGTGAAGTTCCCGCTTTTCTAAACGAGTGATAATGGACTTTGATGACTTTGATGAGGGGACCCCATGTGATTTGACCCATCTCATGATCTTCAACCGATCAAAACCGAATTATAAATGGAACCTATGGGTGATGAGTAACATCACGTGAATTCCTAAGATGTTCTGGAACATATGTTTTAGTGTTCTCATCGAGATTTACTCCTCATTTTAGTTGCGTAGAGTTACGTACTAAAAAGAACACGCCGAGTAAAAGTTTGCTTGGTGGTAGAAGATGCAACCGATCACAAGCTCTGGAATAGCTATGGTGTAATCTGCGTTGCATAACACTGTTGTATAACCTGCATTCGTCTTCGATTCTGGTTACAAGCTAATTGTGGCGAGCATGTGAAGCAATAGCGACTAAATCGACATTTGACAGGAACATTTTGGGAAGATTGTGTCTGCTAAAAAAAAAATTATAAAAAAAGAGTCAATTGTGTTTCTCAGACAATACTGAAACCTTGGTAATCGATCTTCCATTCTGAAATTCTATATTGGGAGGACCATTGTTCCCGCAAAACATGCACAACTGATTCATTGCTATCATTTCCGAATGAAGTCGTACAGCAACTTGACTAGACCTTTTACAGTCACGTCAGCCACATTGAAAATAGAGTAACTAGGTGCGCTTCGATGCTCTGTGCCAACCTCCTAGCACAGCGCATCATGTGGCTTGATATTACTTGATAAAAATTACTTGCAATACACTATTGCTCGGGAAATCGTACCCCACGATCACTAATAACCTAGTTTCACGACGTTGGACTATATTAACACTGTGGGTTAATATTCTGGGGGTTTTGAACCGGATAATGGATTGTCTGCTTTGTACCGAATTTTAATTAGCCAGTTATGTCGTGTTGTCCCAAACAAGAATTTGTCAACCTTCGATATCTCCATCGAAATCATGTAACTTGACCTCATTGCTCGGGACAGATGCAAAGAACCAGTTTATTCAACACATCCTTTCCCTTGGTCCTTTTCTGGAGGTAATCTAGGTATTCCAAGTCGCAGCTGGGCTCCAAAAGGACCGGTGGAAACATTGGCGTACGCGTTTCTCTTGCAGTACTGATGCTTCGGTTTGACTTGGACCCTGATGAAAGTTTATCGCACGGTTCCTGTGTTATTTACGGGGTTAGAATCCCTATTTTGATTGTATCCTCGCCTGATAATGGTGATTAGTATTCTTAATAGACATCAAAGTTTTGACATCTAGCTTTTGACATCCAGCTTTTGTCGCGCTGGCTCTCGCCGAGCTTGGCAAGTGCAGGAGAGTGTTTGGGTAAAACTTAGGATTCTTATCCTCATTTTGGCTATTTCTGCTGTTCGCCCGACGGATTCTTGGCCGGAACAAAATTGCCGAGTTTTATTAAAGATATAGCAATGATTAAGATATGCAGCGAGACTACTACTCTAACGCAGTCTTTGTGTATGGAAGAACATTGCTTCAATATCATCTGCATTGCTTTGAAATAATTCCCCATACCTGATGCAGTGCACGTTATCGCATCATCCCTCTACAATTTCTCCCAGAATGTCTTAAGAAGTGGACGATCTTGCCACTAGAACTAGTTTCTAGAGGGCAGATATGCCCAGTACCCACATTGTCTCAATTCGTTCTATCCTCGTATGTGATCGCAAATTTCCCAACCCTATGCATTTTACTTCATGAATGTAACTTGAAGCACAATCCTCGACCTCGATCAAACCCGGTTTGGCTGCTTTGAGCCCCGTCCTAACCAAACCCAGTGCTTGCCAGACATCATTCGAGACTTGAAGAAGCTGTTCGCCCTCCTGCTAGAGGGTAGATTAAAGATTGCTTGAAGTGAGTTTGAGCTTGTTATTTTCACTGAAGACCTCTATCAGCCAATACTAGCAGAACAAAATGAAAGGGACTGATTTGTCTGCATGGCACAAGGTCCTACAAAAACGGGAAAGGGCATTTGCAAATTCGGAATCACCATTATTTGTCGTGGTAAGAACGAATGTAGCTGAGTTTGAAAACACGTCGCGTGGACCCGACTTGGAATCTTTTAAGTTTGGGTATGATTGATTTAAGCTTTCATTGGCACACCAATAGTGTTGTGTCGTGAGATTACGTCCTGCCATTGTTTTTCTTTGGCAGGAGCTTCTCCAGATTCCCACTTATCTTAATTATATAGTCTCCGTAGCTAGAAACTTGTCCATTCACTGTATCTTCAACTTCCGACAACCATTTACCTGAAATTGAAACTTAGCATTCTCTTTGACGAGAACTTCGCCCGGAGTTCTGGTTCGCGGAGTTCAATGTGGCTTGTACGACCTTCCAGATAAGACTTCATCAGAAGCTAAAGAGTAATGCATTGAGAGGGATGGTGAATGTATGTGTCTTCAATACATGACAGAGAATCAAGAGCAACGACGATCTGCTCTCTGGATATCGCACGACAGTGTCGAATGCAGGACTAAAAAAATCGCATATCATCAATAAGATCGAACAAGCTTCGTTTTTCTCTCAACAACCTAACTCAAGCAAGCCAATTCAGTGCAAATGATGAAATTTTTAATGTATTGAGCCTTACAGAATTTTGAAGTTAGTTTGCCTAGTGTCTGATCAACTTCGTCCATTGACCTCCAGCACTGATACCTTCCCCACATTATTTCATCACGTGATGGTGAGTTTGCGTTCGGATGGTGAGGTGATCAACCTATCTCAAACCTCCGTGGTACTGGAAATGCAAAATACGAGAACCTGTTGAATCTTATTGTCTGTTCATGGCACATCTTTTATCTCGTGATTCGCCAGGAGTGCGGGTCATATTACAGTCTGATTCCCATGCAAATGAGACATATTATCACGTCGTTTTGATAATACTTTCTACCGCTTTGGCCTTACGACCAGCACGATTTTCGAAAGTGAGGGATTAATCTCTCTTCCTATATATGTGGCTAGTCGCTAAAGCTTTCAAGATATTACTTGAGCTATATATGATAGTTTGTTTTGACATTACTGCGACTCTCTCATTGGGTGCCGTCCAAGTATTTGAGAGGGGGCGGGGAGGGGGCAAGTAAAGAGTGCGCATGACTCTATGTTATTGTTTTAGTGAGATTCTCCTAGAAAATAAGCGCAAGTTATTGTACTCAGATCACTCGAATAAGTTACTTGGTTACATTTCTGTGCCGGCAGGTAGGCCATGCGACACATTCATCTGAATCGGGATGATGAGATTTTAGCATCTCAAACCTTACTGACAACGTCTAGAGGAAAGGTTACCCCGTTGCCATTCTCTGCCCAGCATACAAAAATATCTACCAGTACATACACACAATTGAGAATTTCAAACAGAGCTATTTGGCCATTATAAGGGGAGCGAGTCTGCATATAATGCGGGAACTGTCATTGTTGTGAAGCCTCGAGGATAACTTCACAGTCATGGACCAGAATGGGTTGATTTGAAAAACGAATAGTGCGATAGCACAGAGCAAATTCATACAAAAGCTATATACAAGAATAAAAGATAAATACATATTGGTATCATCATATACAAAGCGCCACATGCCACATGCCACGTCGTAGAACCAATACAGTCGTGCACCCCACCCCGTCCATATAATACAGAAAACTCCATCGTGATGCCCAAGTTCCATTTTTACGTTTCTTCATCATTTACTTTTTACAAGCGGCTGCAATCTCCATACTTCCACTTCCAACCAATTGCCCCCCACTCAACCTCCATAAACCACTTGCCATCAAAGTCCCAAGCATTACGCCACCAAACACCAAAGATATCAAAATACCCAGAGGACTGTAACCTAAATCCAAGTACTCCAACGGCTCTCTTAATCCATCACTCCCCACAACTTCAACATGATGTACGGATAACGCCCGAGACGCAAGGAAATGAAGGACCGTTCCCAAAACTACTTGCGCGGAGATATATAAATATGCGCATGAAAATCCCATGATTTTTCGGGACTTCAAGCTCGGAGACGGATTTGTGAGACACGAAAATGTATTTGCGGATAGCATACGAATGTATACTTGTGCGAAAAGAAAAAGTAGAATAGATATTGCCAATTGAGGAAGATTGGCGAGGAGAATGGTTGGGAAGAGTTGGGTGTCTGTTATTTCAGAGAGGGGAACGAAGGATTTGCTAGACCAGGAAAAAATGTTTATGATTGCGAGAGGTGAGTAGCGTCCGAAACCGATGGAATATGGGTGAGGGATAGGGACGGTGGCGGTGGTGAGAAGAACGAGAGGGATAGCTAGGAGCACGGCGCCTCTGTGAGTTGGTTAGATAATTTCTCAAGAGATATGAGGGGGTACCAACAAGAACAGAGTAGTGGCCCACAACTGCAAGCTCGCTCCATGAAACCATCGCAAGTTCCTAGGCCTTCCCTCCACCTCTGGTTCTAGAATTAATAGACCATCTTTGGATTTCCATGCCGAATTGCGATGAATGAAATTTCTATTTGATGTCACCATATCCGTACGATCTTGGAACGAAGTGACAGCATCTTTGACTGTCGATAGTACTGGCTTGGTCATGGTAATAGCTATGAATATGATGCAGATGAATTTCACTGCTAACGCGATGATGATGCATAATACTACTAAGCGGCTGTATTGCAGTTTGCACATAGGCTGAACTGGCAAACTTTCGACAAGGCAATGATCGATATTCCATCTTTCATAAGATGCAAGCGATGTGGAGTTAGTGGTGGTAGGAAGCATTGAAGGTCCCAGTGTCCAAATGTCGGCATTGAGGATGAGATTAGGAATATCACATGTATTATGTCCAGGTAAGGGATCGTCGGGTCCACAGGTCCATCCATGACCACTGAGAACAGATGAATACGACATGTGACGGAATGCAAGTAAGACGGTGTTATTGGTAAATAGTGGCTGCTTTTGCGTTACAACCAATAGATTACCATAATTCGAAGATGGATTCGAGGCGGTTGAGTAAGCCGTGAGACATTCTGTTGTGTTGAGGCGCTGAAGCTTGTTTTGGTTTGCGCTTTCATATAGGACCGTGGAGGTATTGCAAAGGTCTGATGATTCCTGAGAAGTAATGAAGTTGAGGGGATGGGTTTCACATGATCTGGGGTGGCCATCGATCTCTGTGCAAGTTGCTGCGACATCCTGCAAACAGTCTACCGAAGACTGGGCTAGAAATTCCGGACTAACCACTACCACATCATAGTTGACTTCCAAGCTGGATTCAAAAACGGCGGAATTCGCACTGCTGTTGTCAGTAACGGGGTATGGATAGTGTAATCATGTATTCATGTACTGACAGAAAATGAACAGGCAAAGAAGAGATTATCAGCATCCCAAATAAGATCTTCTTCTTAAAACTCTTTAAGTTTCGTAAACTCAACACTCCAATATCGAAGCTATTTCCTTTTGCATGAGCTTCATCTATTTCGTTTCGCGTTGGAGAACTCAAAAAATAGAGCGCACAAGCACTTGCTATGGACACAATCATGCCCATCACATTAATTAGTACGTGCAAGCCAAGGTCGGTTGCGTTAACTGTCGAACAGCTTCCTTCAAATATCGTTCCAATACTCGTGCCATCAGTTGATCTTTGCGATGCCCAGATAATAAAAACTACATATGCGGCAAGCACACCACCCATGAATACTGCCGCAATGGAACATCGACTTTTCCACTGTTGAACTTTAGCTCCATTAGAATCCTTGGTCTTCTCATCGAATATGTTCGACTCTTTCCGCAGGGGATTTCGAAGAAGTTTTTTCAGTTGCATCCACCTGACCGTCTTCTTTGCGGGTGCTACAACTCGCTTCAGCGTTATCCTTCTCGTGGGTACTTCATCAATAGCACTAAAGTAAGTTGTTAGTTTCTTCTTTTTCTCAATTTTCTTTTGAATAGAAATGTGTCCTTACTCTACAAAGTTTTCAAATTGAGCCATCAGGTCATTTTGAGGAACAGCAGGTGGTGGATGCTGAGTCGTTAAAAGACTTCTATGATCTCCCCAATCTTGACTTACTGATGACCGCGTGGAAATCATAGATTCCGAATTAGAAATTCCCCTGGGTCTTGAAGAAATGGTGCCACATCTCGCGGGCACCTCAAGATTAATCGTGTTAACAGAATCTGCATTGGAGTTTCCCCTCGATCTGGAAGGTGATCTAGAAGGTGACCTTGAACGCGATCTTGACCTTGAGTTCGAGCTAGAACTTGAAGCCCTTGAAGCTCTGGAAACTCTTTCGGCTCTTGATGCCCGGGTCTCTGAGCGCACCGGTACATCAAGCGTAGTCGACCATTCGGAAGCGGCCTCAGAAGCTGCTCTTGCTCTAGATGTTCTCGTTGTCTTAGTAGATGCAGTTGACTTGCGTCTCGGTACATCAACAGGGAAGATTGAGTATCTTGATTCATTTGAATGACTCCGTGCTCGAGTTTTAGGAACGCTTCGCGATGGTGAATCTACCTTCATTAGATGCTCTGATTCCGCCGCCGATACTGCTGAGGCCTCTGAAACATTTGAAACAGCTGAATTCGCTCTCGTTCTCGGTATCCTTTCGACATCGAAAGTTGATTCTATTGGAGTCGGCGGTATCTCTCTTAATTGAATCTCATCAAAATCGCCTCTTAACAGTTCAGGAAATCGTAAAGTTCCCTCCTCATGATCATTCAACATCTTCCAAACTCAAGTATCTATCATCAATCATTAAGAATCTGACTGCATCAAAATTTCGTAAAATCGTTGGTCAGAAAGGAAAAAATGTAAGGACAAGATCGGCGAGTAATACTTCTTTGTGCGACAACTCTCACCTTAAGCTCCCAAGGAAAATGATGATGGCGATTCAAATGGACAGGATCTTACGAAATCACTCATTTCGCATCTTGGGAAATAGCTGAGGCGGGGTATAATCCACGCCGCTGACAGCTTGTGTGGCACAGAGCCAAGATTTGATGACAGACATGAAGAAATTCCTATACAAATCTATATGAAGCTTCCACTGAAGAGCAATCTGCCCAGAAGGATGCCATTCCATGTATCTTAACTGGGATAAATGGGGGCTGCGAGCGATAAATAGCTACTGTCAGAAATAGGAGTTTCAAACTTAATAATAGTGGCGCAGCATAGGATTGCGCGATTCTGTAACCATTAATAGTTTGTGAAGGAGTTTCATGATGACATATAACAGTAATTCATTGTGTTTGAAAATCTGGTGTGGTCCAGATGCAATCGTAGCCTTGCGGCAAGTTCGATGAAGGATGGACGCTCTCGTCGCTCCCTCTACCACTACAACTTTGAGAGTAATATCGACCAATCGTAGTCCTAACGAATGTCATGTGTCAAGTACAAAATCTAGATGAGATGAATTCGGGAGGTCAACCTACAATAGGCAGTTGAAGGATTTCCCAGAAGGTGGGAGTGGTAAGCTGACAGGGGGCCAAAAACTCTTGCTTATCGCCGCCCTTATCACATCAGCGCACCGAGGTCTATTTTTTCCACTTAAATAACATCTGAATCTCTTGGACGTGGATATTTGAAGAAGAAACAAGTTTTTGAAGCCACTGAAGCCTGTTATATCACAGAGTTGTGGCTTCATCACCTTCATCACCTTCGTCACAGCATGAGAGGCACACCTACGCGCTGAGAACAAAATATTTCAATTCGACACCACAAATTGCGAAATCGAATGATCATCGCAGGATGGGGGCACAATTCAAACCATTCTATCCCACCCTTTGAATTTCTGCACACAAAAAGCTCGGAATTTTATGGCGATTCAGCCTAGCAATTTTCTATTCGACAGCAGACATTGCGATGGTTCAATTGGTTGCCAGTCTATCCCCTCGAGCGTATTTCAATCAGCCTAATGTTTTGGCATCATGAGCATTTTGATGCCTAATTCACATGTCTGCGATAACCACAATATCAATTTCTTCACGGTAGAAGTTTCCATACCAGTGTATGAGAAGTCTAGCGGGCCTTTGTCAAACGTGCAAAGAAGACGTCGGGAAGCTTCAAGAGATGGGCTAGTCATTCAATCTACTATGTCCTAAGCCCTTCCCTGGGGTGATTTCAGGCGGCGAAGACTGTCAAAAGGCAAACTAGACCATAGTTTTCCTGTTCGCTTCAAATCACTTTGTTGATGACTGCCCACATCACCATATGCAAAGCCTCTCGCCATCTGTGTAAAAACAAAGCTTACTATGAGTCAGGAATTCTTCAATAGGTCCACAGAAATACTCGATTCCATAGTAGCTTGCCAACATTGCAAGACTGATAAAACTGATTATCACGGGTAATCGATTTCTTGGCAGCTAATTGGTACCAGATAGCTGGAAAAGTGTATATCATGTATCTCGACGCGTCGTGTACTATTCATACCAAAATTCTGCGACACGTATATATGTTAACACGACAGATTGGTTAGATTAACATTCATAGCAATTTGATTGGCGTACAGCTCGAATATCTGCAGCCCGTGCTGTGACTACTTGAAGGCATAGTGCTTACTGATTCAAAAGATATCATCGTCAAGGGCTCGGCCCGCTCATCTGTTTGTTGGCATTAGTCCTGTGACCCGATTGTTCCGATGCCGCGGGGTCATCAAGTCCTTCTAGAACTTCGATGTTGAGGCTTAAAACTTAGATGAAACCGAGTTATGATGTCCCACGTTTCCGGTTGTGAACAACCATTGTGCAGCTGACATGGTGCATAGAGAGACATCACAAGCTCATGCACTACTCCATATCTTCGCCGCTTTTATCCTGCATAAGAAGTCATTAAAAATTGCACTAAGGCTGCATATCATCGCATCGTTAAAGCGACAAACAAGCCGGCCGGAAATTTTAGTCCATTTTCACATGCGAGGTATCCCTAAGGCCCAACTTTTAGTCAAGTTGAAAGACCCTGAGAAACATAGAGTCGAATTCAAATTTCCATTTCAATCTTTGGCTTCAGACGTCCAAGAATTATACCGTGAAAATACAATTCTAGAATTTGCGTGCACTAAACAATGAGCATACCTGACATCCAAACTCAGCATGAGCTTATCGATTGCAATTTAGTTTACAACATCTAATCACAGAATTTATCCTCTCAGTATGCTCTAACTATACCCCGCAGTTGTTCAGACCCATTGCGCTAATGCATAAGCTAGCGGCCCGAGCCGCAACTAACAGTCTCACGACGATTTCACGGCCATGAAACCTACCAGCAAAGTTATTTTTTCAAATAAGGTGTTAATCGAAAAGACTGAGAAAAAGAAGCATTTCGCAGTGGCAGGAGACTTATATTGACAGCGACTAATGACAGTCACTAAAAGTGAAGCCTTGTTCTATGATCCTCGCTCAGTTCACTCCGCGGAAGATCCGGATGAGAACATTGTAGGCTCTTCTTAGCTGTTACAAATCTTGATGCGGTAAGATATCAATGAGTGAACAAGAACCAGATCGGTCCGCTTACAGCTCGTCCTATATGAGCTTCTAAGCCTATTTCAAGAAAACATTGTGGCTTACCTACATGCACATTATTACACTAACTTCAAAGTAAGGCCCTAATGTCGTGGAACTGTTGTGTACGACTCTTTTAGTCGCTTTGAGTCAGCTTAAATCATGAAATTCATAGTTTTCTGGATTTAATGAATATCGAGGGATTGTGCAAGAACTTGCACAATTCAACGAATTGGAGAATTTCTTTTGTGATATTCTTGCCTAATCGTGACGCAGCATCATGAGAACTAATTTGTAAAAAGTGCATCTATTGCCGGCAAACAGACTATGGCTTGGAATATGCATTTATCTGAGCTGATAATAAGCTGAAATACGTCGTTTATTTCTTGTCGGTGATATAATCTTTCGAAGGAAGAATCAATGACTGTATATTGTAACGGTTGTGTTACAGCCCCAGTGATATTTACACTCTACCAAATTACTCGGACTGATCAAACTTCGAATATTGCGCAATCGAGACCTCTCAATGTCTGGAGATAACTTAAAATTTAGAACATTCTTAGATGATTTGAGTGCTCTAATGGTATTTAAGAAATTAGGTGTCTTGATTGTCAGACTACGTCCAAGCTGAGATGAGTTGTTGCGATTTTAGAAATTAAGCGTGATGATAGATTAATACAAGTTCCTCAATTGATGGATTATTCCTGTACGCAAATGAGTGACGATACATTAGTTTCAAGGGGTTTCTCCGAATCTCGATTCACGCAACCCCACGGAACTAATCTTACAACTCATTTATTGAGATCAACAAATACTTCCACAAGAGTGTTTCCGCATGTATTCTTGTGTGAAATGAAGCTAGAGATCATGGGTTGTTTCCGGGAGTTCCGTTGAAAGTGAGGCTTACTCTCTCACCAAAGATAACGCATACAGCTCCGAAAATTGTTTTTAGACGCAAGCTGACAATCTCAGCGAGCTCAGCTAGCTGATTGTACGAAACACTCGGGAAAGATAAAATGGGTAGTTGCTTATCGGATGATCTTATACCCTGCATATCCCAGTTGAGAGAGCAGATTCTGATTGAACCCTGCATGAATACTGTGGTTACAACACATGAAGATTGAGTGTAACCATCCAAGCAAAGATTATTGAAATTTGAAGAAGTGAAGACAGCCTGGTCAAAAGTTGATATAGAAAGGTTTGTTAGTCTGACATCTATCATGAGAGCGCCACGCTTTCGCTAATCATGATTTGAACATTTTGCGCACGATGAATTCAGATTTTCTATATCTGAGAAATGATGGATTTCAGTACGTCTTTATTTTCCTAAGATTAGTGATACGTGGGCGTTAGACCAGGGGGTGGTGGGGGGAGCTAAAAATCTCGCCGCATTATGAATGATTTTCGCTTACTTTATGTCACTCTACTATCGCCGACGAATTGACACCCAGTGTTGATGCATGAAAATCCTCAAGGGATCGTAATTTCTTTCACTCACTCACCCATGCGGTACGACCCGTTAGAGATTACACGAGTAAATGTGATACGCTCTTGCCAGTTCCGAATCAAGTTTTCCTTCTCATTAATTCCTCTACAGCATCGTGCATGAAATAATTGTTCAGATGACCTCCCACGCAACCTAACCCAATATCTAAGATATTTGCCACTTTAAGGAAACCATTCAAATCACATATCGACTTAATGAAGGGCTCCTCCATTGAGGTACTCGAAGTCCTCGCCCATAACTCTTGCGAACGGCCAACTTAAGCAGAAATTCTCTTGGCTAGCTTCCCCGCAATGCCCTCATTGATGGATTTTCTGCAGCTCTGCAGATTTATTCCCACTGTTTCTTTTGCTTCTTCGCAATTATTACAAATTCTGTGCTGTCAAGTTGCCATTTCCTTACGAGTCATCATAACTGGCTTTTCGGAATTAGAGACTTGGAGACTAGGTATATCAAACTTGATTGGACGAGGGTTGAACGATCCGAATTGCGCCAGTCCTTCAAATATTGATTGATGAGGTAGGTTATTGCGAGGCTCGGTGTTTCCGTCATCGCTTGGATATGCTATGGGAGTAGCTGCGGTATCTTCGATGATAGTTTTGGATAGTAGAGTAGGATGAGAAGTAATCGTTGTATCTTCTTCCCGGTAATTTGAAAACTGCTGAAGTTCTGAGGGTTTTCCCTCCGTACTCATGTTTTGCACTTCTCGACAATTTGTAGACTTTGAGATGTTGTAATCAAATTGAAAATAGGCAACAATCAACTTCGCCCATGGGGATGGCGATGAGTCCGGTTCTTTTTGTAGCTGTAGCCCAATAAGACTCGCTTCTGATCTAGATATAAGCATTCTATGCAGTAACCATTTGTTGATTCGATCGCGTTTTGTGCCAAATTGCGTTAGTAGTTCAGGAAATGATTCTGTACTTGAATGCTGTTTCGGGGGGGGGTGCTCATATCATTGTCTTCAGGTAGATCTAGGTCAGGTACTCCTGAATCTGAGCCGGGAGCTGGTTCAAGTTGTTGCCCTTCATCGTTAACGTTTTCAACAACTTCGGGATCCAGTAACAATGTAGAGTCATAATGGGACTCCTGGTGCAAAAGCCCTTCTCCATTCTCTAGTCCTAGCAATAATGAATTTTGATCTACTCCTATTCTATTCTGGTCAAGTGGAAGCGGTCCCTTAACCAATACGTTCATACTGGAAGCCGATTTTACTGAGTGTCTGAAGCGGATTGCCGGAACAGATTGAGTTTCGTCATGGCTAAGTAACATTTTCAAATCCCGAACAGCTTGCCTTTTCTTTGGGGGTTCGTCATTCAAAATCGGGGAAATTGAACTGTTTTGTTGCCTCTCAACGTCAGTAGTGAGTGTTGTCGATCGACGAAGTTGATCTCCGGTGTCTTCACTCTGTCGATTCCGAATTTCGTGATTATTTGTGATGGCTAGAGGGGGGATTTCCAGAATATCGTGTGCTGAGCTTGAGCTTGAAATCACCGAAGACTCTGGATAGCTTTCTCCGAGCTCGGATGCAAAACTTTCAAAAAGTTCATTTTCTACTTGTCGTAATTCCCACACATGCCCCTGGACTTCTTTTTGGGCCTCAAAGCCTTCATGTTCTAAGGGACCCAGTCCATCACGTGCCAATTGGCAAGCATTCGCAAGCTTGAAAAGCTGTTCAAATGCTCCAAGTTGTCCTTCTGCCTGTAGTCGTTGAATTTCTTTCATGAAGCTAGCATCTGCTTGAGAAACAGCCGATCGTTTGAATCCCACCTCCCTCATCTTGTGTCTAGCTTGCATCTCTGCCGACAAGACTTCCTGCCATTTGTTTATTCCCTGCAATAGTTTATCAAAGCGATTTCTGTACTTTTCAGTTCGGGAGTCACTTTCGCTGTCATTATTACGATCGCCGAGCCCATTCTGAGGTATACATGCGCCACTCTCAGTTGGATTGGATTCCTCCCCATTCTTCGAACTTTCGGTAAATTCAACTATTGCCTTAGAGGAAAAAGGACTAGGTCTTTCGATTCGACCACTTCTCTTCGGTCTGTTTTCAGTATTGTTCAGTCTCCGATAGAGAGAGGCCTGTGGTCGAAGTCAGTATGCACCAGAAGATGATTCACGAATTTGCTCGTGAGGGAGATATGTTTTTACCAAAAAGGACCTCATAATGAATCTCCAGTGACTGTTTCAACGCTAACACTTCAAAATTACCAAAGATGGGGGTTAAAACTCATTCTGCGATTTATTCGTGATATAAGTCAATTATCTAGCTATGAGCTGTCCAGTTTTTGTCCAAAGGACAAGTTTGTCTAGCGTGCTCAAGAGTTTGAAATTGCTGAGACTTTTTATCATTTCAACCAACCCTTGTGGTAAGCTAACACAAGGCTAAACCAATAAGGGTACAGCTCAAAAGCAGCGTTGCATATATTTCGAAGTGCCAAACTAGGGTCCATGCTTCGACCTCATTTGCAAGGTCCAATGGTCTCACCACATTCCACAATGTAACCGTTAACACAAAGTTCGGTTTAGTATTGGTCGTATAAGCTTCCAATAACACAACCTCTACATCACCACTGGATCGGTATTGGCGCAGCGATACACATTTTTGACAAATTGGGATAACTTTTCCACAGAGCTTCGATTTATCAGCAGCGGAAGAATTGCTGGCTAATGGGTTTCTGAATGCGGCTCTTCATGAAGTGCGGAGTCAGGTTCATCATGCAATCTATAAGAGATCCACATCGACCCGGAGAACGGGTAACATTTGAATGTTGAAGTAACGAATAAGCAAATCTCTAATCATGTCTTATCTCACAAGTAAAGATAAAGGATTAGACCAGAGTACTACTTGGAGTGACTGGATTTGGGTTGAAGAACAGGGCTACTGGTATTGTCATCGAACGAATGCCGAAGGAGAGGAGGAGTACGAATATCGCTATCCTGACAAACTTGAGAACCCAGTATCTACGCCTAGAACACCGCAATTATCTGATGCCTATTTGACATTCCAGAATTCCGCACACCAATCGAGCATAGACGAAGCCTCGTCATCAATCGACGCCACGACGCGTGCATTTGGAGATGTGTCGTTGGAAATGCCTCGCTCTGTGCCTGAAGGTATGATTTCAACTTAAATTCCGTTACAAACCTTCTCTAATAGGAACAACAGAAGCATTTGATCCTCAGGTAAACGAGGTAATCGCAAATGTAAAGTATATCTTCAAATCCCCGAACTCCGGCGATACTGAAACCCTGGATTCTAGTAAGTCCATAAAATTAAGCTTTTGAGACCACAAACATTGATCAGACTTAGGATATCAGATCTACGCTGGACTTCAACAAAATGAATTCTGGAAGGTGGGCCGCGTGTTCATGGTGCTATGGACCGAGCCAGCCGCAGACTTAAAAGTTCCTGAAGCCGGAGGGACACGCGATGGATCCCACTTCAGCACTACGTATCTTGGACAACAAGCGTATAGTGAGATCCGGAGATTTGTAGTGATGCTAAAAGGTCATGGGAATTCTATTTGCTGGTGTGTTTCACTCCATAATATGCATGTAACATGTTGATGTGCTGGTCTAATGGTAATAGTCCTATACACACATATTCAAATCAAGCGACTCTCAAGCCCAACCTTCCAGCTCCTCTACAACATACAATTATACATACCACACCGGAGGCTCCAAGGGAACACTGCTACGAAGCCAGTAACGGCCAATGGGTATACGAAAATCTAATCTTGGATGCTATACAGGTCAATAGCGAACGAACAGACGCCCTGGGTGTGTTAAATCCACTCAGTCGGTTGAATTACAGTAAGGTATATACTGTAGAGCATTATGTCCGTGTATTAAACATTGGGATGGTGGCCAGCAATTCGATTGCCACCCTTCTCGAACAATCGGGTTGGTCTCAACATGCCAATTCGACACAGCGCCCTCGTTCAGGGCTTCCACCCAGGAAGACATCTGGTCAATCTTCCAGCCACCACAAGAGTCGCCAGTCTCGTAGGCATAAGTAGGGGTATCTTTGGTTGGTTTACAGAAAGACTTCTTCACAGTCAACTCGATACGTTAAGCTGCTCCACACCCGAAAGTTTACTCATGCGCTGCAGGAATATTCTATGGCGCCACGAATCCTTTTCTTGTCTATTTTCTTTAGTACCCAACGTTCGGCACAGCTCTCTTCTGTAAATGTGTCCGCCTTCAATCTTTTCTCTCGTCTCATTTGTCCATGTCTTCCCGATAACTCCCCAGATTTGATTTCTTGGAGGTCGAGAGACGAAAGCATATATGAAACTTTCACCAAGTACCAGAGCAAACTTTTCTTTACCGAAGCGGGGCAATACCCCATTTGTTTATTCACTCGTTTTGGGACCTTTTTCATGATTGACGACACCCATTTCTCTGGAAATATTAGGCTCTGTTGTAATAAGCATAGAGAGCAATTCAACTCCACTGTCACTAAGCGGCCCATTCTTAAGAGTATAATCTTATCTATAATTTGATGGTATGCCATTGTGATAATCTTCGCATAAAAACAACTAACAAGATCAAAAAGTATTGCCTCATTACCTCACACTAAACAAGAGCCAACGGTCTACCACACACGAGCGGTGTTCGTTCAGTTTACTATAAGATATTTGACACTGACCATATTAGCTCCCAAAGAAACCCGCAGCTTTTCGCAAAAGAAGATCTAATGCAGTCTCGTAGCCAGAATAAACAACTAATCAAGTAGACCAGCCACTCACTTGATCCCACGTGCACGCCACATCTCATTAGGCCGAGAGACATGAGCGCCCGCAAAATTTGGGCAAGACTGCATTCAAATTCCGAGTTACTGCACCTAGTACATCGTCATGCATTATTTCCTCAGAAAACTTCCGATGGCATGCAAAAAATCCACCAAATTTACATCAATCAGAGCGGTCTGAAAAGGGGCTCTCACGGCCTGTGCCGCTTCCCATGCTTCAGCCTTATAAATATCTGAACTATAATTGGATAGGCTTGCGCCTTTACCGGGTTTTAAAGCAGCGATTTACAGCCTCGTTTGACATAACTCGTAGGGTCTCTTGGAATGAGGAAGGTCGTAATGACTACTTAAGATTTGATTTGAGACTTTGCGCGTTTTGTGAGAGGTTTTGAGAATGGTGACTGATGATTGACTGGGTAATATTCAATGGCTTGATATTATTTCATTTTGATGAGCTATGCCTAAATACCCCTACGCAAGATTTGTATAACAATCAAATGTTTGATTGGAATAAGAACCAAGTCGTGACTTGTGGGACAAAGCTATGGAACGGCCCGGGTTAGTGGAGCGGACTAGTATCAGCTGCCAGCAACTACGGGTATATGTAGTGCTCTATAGATGGGGAAGTCCATAGGCTGAGATTTTCATTTAATGTGGTATTACCGGAATCTTCTTCAATGATAGTCTGACAGGGCTGGCTTTTGCAAACGTATCTGCGGTCGGCCGTGCTGACCGTTTATTTACCCGTCTCTAATTTCCTCCATGTGACTCAATTAGTTGGCTCGCTTACAGGATCGGGGTACAACATTGATGTTGAAATTCCATGTAGCCTGAAAAAAATTGCAAGGTTTCTATAATTCCTACCAACCGATATAGTACATGCATATGACATTGTAGATGAAATAGAAATAAACACTTTCCTTGCTGATTGAAAATTTGGTACCATTGAATGTGCATTTGAGCAGGTGAAGAGCCGATCAATCAAAAGAACGATTGATAATTTAGAAGAAACATCCAGAGGAAAAGCGTTGCAAACGAAAGGAAGAAGACGAGAAGGAATTCCCCCAAAAGAAATACTTTGTTGAGCATTAGATCATAACTCCCTGGAAGCCCCAGCTCCATGTACTCCGACTCCCGCTTGAATCCTGCATGTTTTGATTGATGCAAACATTTGTTAAAAGAACAAAACACAATTAAAGGAAATAATGCTTGTCTAAAATGCTAGCCTGAAGTTCAAGTTTGGAATAAAATCACTCAGGGACCGCAGTATTAATAACATTCGCAAAGAGTAAGGCACATGCCATGTGACTTCCCTCAGCGACTTTTAAATTCCCAATATCACTCTGGGCTGAAACAATGAAAAAAAAAAGTTGGAAGGAAAATTCTGCCGTGATTCGAGGTAGTGTAGAGAATTCATTGGGAAGTCGAATTGGTAGCTGTCAAGGCATAAGGTTTTGTATCACGATCCGTAAAGCCATCCTCAAACCAGGCAGTTGTGAAATCTTTCTTACAGAATTTCTCTTTGAGTTTGCTGAGATCCTGTGATTCATCGTAGCTATTAAAGCAATGTGTGTAGATATTAACCTCATGAAGAGAAATTTGAAGTTTTTCCAGTGACCATCGATCAAATCGCTCATTTCGTGTTAGGCGATTGTTCTCCGGATCCAATGTTTTGATGACGCTCTTCAAGTCGCTCGGCTCTGAACGGAACAATGGAGATGATTGAGGATATTGATTGGGAGTTTCGAGTGGTTTCAGAGTTAAATCCAAAGATGGGCTAGATTGCTCCTGTTTCGATGATTCTAGCGGCTCTCCAGCTTCATCTATCAACCCCAGTGAGAAGCACTTTTGATGTAAAAAAATTTCCTCCTCCTCGGCATTTTGAATCTTGGAGATTAGATCATCCAATTGAGCTTGGGAGCTATCTAGCCACTCCTGATTTTCGATAGTCAGGGGTTCCATGTCGAACCGCTTTCTCAAGTCTACTTTCTCTTCGAGGCTCAACTTCTCATCCAAAATATCATCATAAAGTTCCCGAAAGCTATCAAGTTCCCCGAGCTTTGAAAAATATGCATCCACCAACGGATGCAATTCTTGAGGTTTTTGTGGTTCGAGGTGTTCTGGTCTTTCCACCCACCCCGGATATCTCACGTGCTCCATCGACGCGGGTAAATGACGTGCAGGGTCCCTCAGCTGACTATAGAAATTCTCTTCGTGTCGTGACAGTTCATATTCTTGTACATCTAGATCACGCTCAAGCTGATTGTATTCATCTTCTAAAGAACCATAGTTGTCTCTGACTTGCTGACAATCGCTAAGCAACTCTTCTGTAGTTTTTTCAGACCACCATTTGCTTGGAAAGGGCATATGAAGTTCCCTCATTTTAATATGTTTGAAGTACGCCTCGTCTGCAAGAGATTTCTCATTTTGTAGCATACGTAGACCATGACGCTTATGTTGAAGTGTGAAGCGAAGTGAAGCTACATGAGACCTCACCCTTGAGGTATTTTGCCATTGTTCGTATAGTGTGTAATCTTCAAATATAGAAGAAGCATCTTGAACGTGCCTGGGAGGTGATGACTTGAAGTTTTTTTGCGCGTTAGGCAAATCCACCGTTGTCACAGAATTATTCATTTCGGCGTATCTGCTGAGAGGGTTTTTGGACCCGGAAAGACTCGAATCATAACATACAGCAGCTTGTTTACTTCTCTGCCTGTAAATAGTGGAAGGTTCTGATTTGGTGGACAGAACTTTGCAGCGCACGTGATTTGGGTGGGAACGTTGTCCACTGTTCTCGTGCAATTGAAGTTTACTTCTGCTTGATGGCAGTGTAGGGACAGACGGCGAACGATTGCAGAAATTGTCACCTATAGCTTGCCCTGGGTGCTTTATCATCTCACGGGGTTGTTTAATAGGTCCAGCGCTGTCCGTGCTGTTGACTTCATGCAGAATATTTAACCAAGATGGATCTTCATGTCTGAGTTCAGGCTCCCTATGAGGAATGTATTCATTATACGTGTCACTCAAGTGACGATTTGTGGGCGCGATATCATCTTTCGAAATCGAAAGATGGTTCCCTCGTGGCTCGTTGTATATAAGAACATGTGGTGTTGAGCTGGAATTTGAAATACTTCCACGATCTTTCTCTTGCGCCACTGTCACCGTGAATTTGTCCTCAGGGCAGCTCATCAATTCTTGATCGTGAACAGTGTGTCGGTAGTCCTGTTTTGTAGTTGCTTTCGCCGTGATATAAGGCTTCTGTTTCTTGCAGCGACCTTTGGACTTATACGGCATGGAGCTGTATGTGCAAGAGGTGCAAGATGCCAGACCGACTGATATGATTTTATCAAGCTTCTGAGGTCTTCGCAGTTTTCGATTGATCTCCTTCACTTGTAATGTGTTTTGGATGTTTATCCGCTCTTGTCGAATGCCGCGTGACCGTTTGGTATCCCGGCTAGAATCATTGGCTGCTGCCCGCATCTGTATTGCTTCAAACTAATTATCGTTGCTGTTGAAACTCTTGACGATAGAGAACCGTTTTACTCTCGATCATAGAATTGTTTAGTTGATGCCAATGAGGCTGATTTAGAAAAACGGAATGAAGACATTGTAAAGATAAAAGCGCGAGGCCTTGAGATTTCAGAATACCCTCTGCTATGTGTGCCTCCATCTGTCCAATGGACGGAACTGAGGCTGAATGTGGTACATTCCCTTGTACAAGCATGTGAAAATCCATGCTGCAAAGGAATTGTACGATGGTGTATGGAAAATTTCAAACCCAAAGTGTCTTATTCATTTAAGTCAGTTGTTAAAGCGGCGATTTCATTATCTAGCAAGGGTGTCACTAAGCTTGTAGGTTGTCTCGGTGTGAGGGTGGTGTCAAATTAAGCGAATAGATAGCCCCGCATCAAATGCAACCACTTTCAAAAATCTACTGATTCCGACAATCGTACCAATAGTATATCACAATGAATCAATAACTCTTGTAGCAGCGTATGATGTTACCTCGAGAAGATTAAGAGATTCTACACCACTTTGTGGACATTTGAGCCGCAAATCATGAGTGCCCACTCTACCGTTCATAAAGGCAGGAAGAATCCCTGGTGGAGTAGTTCGCATTTTGATTTTTGAATCATACAGATGTCATAATATATATTGTGTGGCCATGTCGTCCCGTTACTCGCACAGACAAAGGAGAGTGCCGAGAGGATCCTCCAGTTCTTTATGGAGTGAGTGGGAATGGGATATCGAAGAAAATCAGTGGCAATCTCATCGCACTAATTCTAGGGGTGCGATCGAGTGGCAATTTGAGAGCCAATTGCCTTCGAGCTCATCGGCTGTTGCACATATCCCAAGGCTTGGTGTTATTTCGCCACTGGATACAGTCTCTGAAGATAGATCTCAATATTCGAGCAACCAAGGTTATATCACAAGCAATAATAATATCGGAGTAGTAACCGACTCACTGGCCCCTGCGACTTTGGGTCCAAGGTCTAATCCGGATCCACCCATCGTAGCTAGGCTTCAGCAGAACAACACTTCTACTCAGCACAGGAACTTCGATCATAGTGAGGACTTCATAGTCTGAGATTATAAATTCTTGCTAAAGTTCAACAGATTACAGGGTACAAAACGGTCGGGAATTCAAATTTGGCAAGGCATGACATTGATTCATTTCGATATCTCGAGGCATGTATTAACTTGAGCAGGTCTTCAAAGTTCTTTGGTCTGAGCCAACCGGAAGCACAGCTGGCGGCGGCGGCGGAACAGTTTGGTCGCGCAGGGAGGTGCATGGCGAAGCGATATATGCCAAAGTTCGTAGGTTTGTTATAATATATCCTAGACAGGGTCATTGTCTTTGTTTGTAAGTCTTCTATCAAGTGGTTCCTTCCTCCTGTATTATTGCTGTCTCTTACGTTGTTACTGACCATTAGATCAGACCTATCATGTCCTACGAGGGAAGGGCGACAAGTAAGCCAGGCGTACATCCTGAAGAGCATGCGATAATTTACACGACCCCTGAACCAAAATTGGTCAACAATGAGGATGGGAGTAGGATGATATTTGATCCGGTCAAGATGATACCGGAGTCCAGCCGGCACACACTCGACAAAGCATCAAGAATAAACTATGCTAAGATATATACCGTGGAGTACAATGTCAAAGTATGGTTTATTGGTCATGTTGATCAAGCTTGTGAACAGATAGTGAAGAAATCTTACAACGATGCCAACCAACCATTCCCTCTATCATCTCAACCATCTGTTCCTGCCGCCTACCCGATGAATAATCCTCCTTATGATAATTCCTCCCATGCTATGCCGGGTACTTCTTCAAACACAGCTGGCTATTCTTCCGCTGCATCTTACTCATCAACACCAGGCTATGGAACTGGCTATGGAACTGGCTATGGTTCTGGCTATGGAGCGGTATCTGCTAGTCCAAATCTGTACAGCTCATCAGAAGACTCCGCCTCAAATTTCGCTCAGCCACCGTATTCCCAGTCGCAATATCCTCCGCAATACCCTCCATCACAAAATTCCACATTTCAACACCAACCATACACGACCAGTCCAAGCCAAGAATATAATTACGATCCTCGGGATACATATGAACCGGGCAGTGATGGCGGCCAACAATAGCTAATCAGTGACCTGTGAGTCCAATACGGTTTCGCAGGAAAAATAAGTTAACAAATAGATTCAGACAATTTACGGTTACCATACGTTTAGGGATTCGCTCGTTTACCCTCACTGCCATTTCTACCTGACCGGGAATGATACCTCTCGTCTTCGGGATAATGCACTACTTCTATGATTTTTCTGTTATTGTACTCATGAGTTGTTTATCTTTATTTTTGTGGGATATTAATTTGAACTCAGACTTTGGATATATTCTTCTGTTTTTCTTTTCTATATTCTTCCTCTCTTCAATGGAATTAACATCACATCATTTTCACTACGCTCTCTCGAAAGGGAAACACACATCCCCACTTCATCTGCCGGTCTCAGATTTCACTTTTTCGCGCCTTTCTTTCAGCTGGGATCTGATTTTGAATATCCATAACGAGGTTACGAACTCTTCTTTTCAGTCTGTTCATATTCTTCTTCGTTTCTGCGAGCGAGCGATTTCCTGCAGTCACTTGTTCATACTTTATGTCTTTACATCAAATTGTCTTTAGCTATTTTAATTTCTGCAAATATTAGTTATCAAACATACATTCCGATTGGTTGTTCTTCACTGTGAGCCTGACTTGTGTGTTGCCGTCCTGAAGTACATCCCAAAGCAATATCTTATATAATCATCTGACATCACCAGTCCATTCGTTCACTCATCTGCAAAAGCATGACTGCATGATACATGCATATGTATCTCCGGGAGGATGTCGAGCTCGTACCCCTCTTAAATATACCCCCACGTTATTTCTCCTAGTCTCATCTTCTTGGGCCTTATATAAGATAGACGATGACTAGATCTCACCTCCAGTTTTGTTCTGACAAGGTATAACCCGTTGCATATTCTGTGTATAAATAAGCAACGAAAATTGGCACTCTAAGCTCTACCAGTGCACGGAGCTTTTCATACCGAATTTACTTTTCCGCCCGTCTCCTTGGTCTGACGTGCATTTTCCATTCCTTACATATCCGGAAGAAGTAATTAGCGATATATCAAACGCCCGCAGTTCCAGCTGAAAAGCTGCCTAGCTTTTTGATCCCTGAAAAATCGAGACTTAATGCAGTATCAGCTTTTATATATGCAATGAATTTTCTTGGAGTTGACTCGGGTTCCCTATGAACTTCTTGGGGTCAGAAGCGCGGTGAGAAGTTCGAGGATAGCGGTGACTAGGATGTATATCGGCACGTGAACGAAACAAGTAAGGCTGTGGGATGGTGGTAGTGGTATATATGTATGACGAGGCTATGGATTTACATGAGTGTATGAGATCAACATGAAGCTAACGACAGCTGATGTGAGATATTGGGATTGTGGCTTGGGTGGCTGGATTCTATTGTATATACTGGAATCCGGATCCGATGCCGATTTGAGATGATTTCTGCTAGTAGATTATTAGAGTGAAAGGAGATAGGATTAATTTCCAGGGAGGAATCACGGTATTTTCGTCGTAGTAACGAGGGAATAAGGCTAAGATACTGAGGTTGAGAAAATTATGATTCTCGAGCACTAAGTGGGGAGTAGACGAGTGACCATAGGAAGCTATATACGTTCAAAAGTTATTATTGAATTTTTAAATTGTTCTTCCTGTATGGCTGCCCCATTTTGTCGAAACTGCCAAGTCTCGTAGATGAGCTAGCACTGCAATGATCATCCTGTGACGAGAATTCATCATCATTGAGCGTATAAAACTGGCATTCCTCCCAACTCAAGTAGAAACGTTGTACGAAATTACGGCAGAGATATTCTTTCGACAGAGCTCGCAAGCTTCCCATGTAACCGAAGCTTTGTTACTATTCCGAATTTCCGCTCGCTGCTTAGATAGCATTACGGAAATCATGTCCCAGAATTACATCAATATGTGTGCCTTTGAGTAACTATCTTCTAAACAATTCCGTTTCGAAGATTGACACCCAATGTTTTTATGAACCAGAACAAATTCTAGGGTAATATTTAGATACGAGTTCGAATATCAAGACATTTGTGAATACTTACTGAGCTCTGTTGGGGCCCTACAGATACGGACATCAGTCTATGGGTAAGTACTCTTGGATGATTAGAATTGTGTTTGGGGATTTGATAGCTTATAAACTATTTTGGCCCTTGATTGGTAAGAGCTGATCTGGTTCTTATATAGCTCCTTCTCCGACCTTTCCATAGTCGAGGTTAGAACCTTTCAGTCCATCTCCCGAGTGCCTTTCTATCCCCAGTTGTCTTCCCGAGACTTTGTCACAAACTTCTGCCCCTCGATGCCTACCCCGCCAATTCCCAGCATCTTATTTTTTTCTTTCCGTTTCCTCACAATTTCTCGATTCCCTTCCGTATCCACATTCTCTCCACCTTGCCCATCCGTCGAAATGTCAAAGTCCTCTGTCAAAGCCCTAATCGTCATATTTGCTGTATCCTTGAAATCAATACTATGAGCCATGAATAACCCCTCCATATGTACGTCCCTCACATGAGGTGGTTTCTTCGAAGCCTTAGCCATGAATGGGTTCCCCATTAGCGCATAAGTCATAAGATCCATGGCTGTGACAGTTGGCGGGGAAGCATCTGGATTATATGCTAACTCATGTTCTAGAGATTGATCTCTAATTCGCTGGTTTTTCGTTCCACCTTTACGAGGAAATCCCTCAACTCCCAGTTCCAATTGTTTGCGAACTAGTTTTGCACGTCTAGTTTTGGCCTTTTCCGTTGATCTGACAACTTGTTGTTGGAATGGTGTTAGGACATTGTCTTTTATTTCATCGTAGTCGCGAACGGCGGGATTATCAGGAGCGTCAAGGTCGATTACTACTCTTGGGAGGACCAGCGGCTCTTCGCTTTTATAACCTTTGAATCGTTTAGTGGGTTTCGAGATTGCGGGGAAATTGGAGGACTTGATAGTGCGCCGGTATAATGACAATGTCACTTGTTGGCAATTCATGATTGGGATATCGAGACAATGCGGAGAGTATGTAAATCTTTCAAAGTTGCGTCTTGATATGGATTAAATTAATAAATAACAGCTGATTGTTCCGTATTGGAAGCTAACGGTTAATGGCAATGTTAACAGCGAAAGCTCCACTTACCTTAGCTCTAGTAAATCCGGGGTAACATTAGCAGTACGGGATAGGATCTTAGTCAGCAAAACAGCCATTTCAGTAGCGTCCGCCTCTAGGCTCTTTTCTCAACTACAACAACCACAATTTATTCCATCATCTCTACACTATCCGCAAACATCCATCCAGATTAAAAACTCAAATTGAATTGGGTTCTTGCAATTCCTTCGAGAACATCGAAAAGTCTCAGAACTCGACCTACAATCCCCAGAACGCAGATTTATCACAAACCTTTCGAAAATGCCACCAGCAAAGAAGAGAAAGACCCGCGCGACAGCTGAATCATCAGAGGAAGTGCAGCCACTCGATGCAGTTACCAACGCAGAAGAATCAACAGAGACACCATCCGAATCGATCCCTCAGAAAACCAATGAACCCACGCCATCAACCGCATCCTCTTCCACCTCAGACGCCGCCGCCAAAGCCAAAGAACGACAAGAAAGATTCAAGGCTCTTCAGGCCCGCGCAAAGTCTTCTGCCCAAACGAATCTCAAGGAAGCTACTCTCGAATCGCAACGTCTAGCCACCGATCCCAACCTCCTCACATCCTTGAACCGCAAATCCGCGGTTGCATCCCACAATCTTCTCAAAGCCGACGCCGAAGCTGCTGGCGAAGATTTTGAGCGTAAACGAGCCTGGGATTGGACTATTGAAGAAAGTGAAAGATGGGATAAACGACTCAAGAAAAAGGAGGCGCATCGAGATGATCAAGCATTCCAAGATTATCGACAAGATAGTCGAAAGGTTTACAAACGACAAATCCGTGATCTAAAGCCCGATATGGATTTCTATGAAAAGGAGAAGATGGCAGCTGTAGAGAAAGCTGCTGCGTCTGGAGGACTCGAGATTGTGGAGACGGATGATGGAGAATTGGTTGCTGTCGATAAGGATGGAACTTTTTATAGTACGGCTGATTCAACAGGATTTGTAGAACACAAACCAGAGAAGGCGGCCGTGGATAGATTGGTCAAGGACTTGCAACAGGCGGAAGAGGCAAGGTTGAAGAAACAAAGGGCGAGGAATGCTGCAAATGGAGAGGATGGAGATGTTACTTATATCAACGATAAGAACAAGCAGTTCAACCAGAAGCTGTCGAGGTTTTACAATAAGGTAAGCACATTTTACCCTCCTATTTCCTTTGCATTTGCTAATCTTTTTTCTAGTACACTGCGGAAGTTAGAGATAGTTTTGAGCGTGGCACAGCTATATAATTACATGAGGAATTGGGTGAAGAGATTATGCTGAGTTGTTCAAACACTCTATAGTTTAACATACAAATACAAAGCCACCATAGACAATTTTCGATTATTCATTTATAACATACCCTTTCTCCAAGCTTTCTCGGCCAATTCTTCAATCTCCTTGACCTCAACAGGACCTTTAACGCTCTCCTCACTCAGAGACTCCACAACAGCTTCAGCAACCACATCCGCCTTGAGTGGTTTGACACCCGCAGCCCCCATGATTCCCCCAAATATTCCTCCCGTGAGCCCATTAAACGCAGCACCCAAACCTGTCGCCGCAGCCAATGGCATTGTGATCTTCCTCGAGCTATCATATAACATACCTGGTCTAATAAATACACTCCTCATCTTTGGGAACTCGCTGGCAATCGTACTTTCAGCAGCACGCTTCGTATCTATATATCTTTGAGGTAAAACTGGTGCTCCGCCTGCTGCACTTATATATGCAAATGCGGGGACATTTTCTTTGTAGGATTCAGAAGCGAGTGTAATAGCAGAATCTCGATTCATAAGTTCGTAGGTTATTTGGCCGTCTCTCTCTTGAGAATGTAAGTCCTCGCCTGGTTGACGAGTCAAGGGATTTTGGGAGCCCGCTTTGGATGAAGAAAATGCGCGAGAGAGTCCGGAGATGGGGATTCGCGACCGGATATGACACCTTTGTAGTCTGCTTCAAGGAGAATACCCATGGAATGAACGACAAAGTCTGCAGATTTGAGGAGGGGAGCATAGGTAGATGGTTTGAGGATGTCGGCGCGTTCCCAAGTTACTTTATGAGACCATGCGGGTGGTGTGAAAGAAGACGATACTGAAGACCAAGTTGGTTCACCGGATCGACTGAATTGGGGGTCATATTAGTATTAGAATATAGGAGATTGGTGAGGATGGAAGGGGACAGAGGGGCATCAGAGCTCAGAACTCGAGCTTTCAACACACCTAATACTGGTAACATCCCATCCCCTTGCAACCGCTGATTTACAAATTCTTGAACCCAAAAATCCATTCCCACCACAAACTACTATTCTCTTGGTAACTGACATATCTGAATATTTGTCGTCGATTCAAATTTCTTATGGAATACTCAAGACAGGTATGAAAAGAAAAAGATCTGACGATTTATATTCTCGATCTTTTGATATTCTTTGAACCCTAGTACTCATCGGATCTTTTAAAGCCCGTCGTATCTTGTAGACGTCAGTATGGATGAATCATTGACCACTAATGATCTAGTACCTTCCAGGGCTAGTAAAGCCTGGGATATACACACTAGATTAGCTTAAACCTTAATTATCGACCGACCTAGAGACTTTCAATCCCGAATCGCGACTTTTGAATCTTTATTTATTATTTTCAATCTGCCCCTCATCAACAACAACATCACCACAGCGACCTATCTATTTACAATAAGAATGGCACCGCCGAATACACAAAAACGTACAAAAGGTGTCTCAATCTACAGACCCTTTGTATATGGTACCACATCTCATAAATTCAGTGCGAAATATCCAAAACCAGAGGGAACACCAGAGGAACATACACATCAATGGACGGTATTTGTAAAGGGAGTTGATGACGTGGATATTACATATTGGTGTCGAAAAGTACAATTTAAATTACACGATACTTATCCGCAGCATTTGAGATGTATGTATTTTATTGTATTCGAATTTGTCAACTTGCGCAGGTCTTTGCGCCTCCTTCTCTATCGACTGTAAATCGAGTACTCTTTTGTTTACACTACAACCATGTGCTAACTGCTCTTCCCATGATTTTAGCAGTCGAAAATGTCAAACCAGGCGATCCATTCCAAGTAACGGAGACCGGCTGGGGTGGTTTTGATATTCAAATTAAAATCTATTACGATCCAATCGCCAACGAAAAAGCTCAAAGTTTCTGGCATCGACTGGTACTCGAACCTTATGGCGATGATCAACTACAATTTATACAGAATCGAGATAATGAAGTCCGATCGTGGGTCTATGATGAGATGGTATTTAATGAACCTTATGAACAATTCTATGAGGTTTTGACAAATCCCGTACCGAGAGAGAAAAATAATGGAGGAAAGGGAAAGGCGACGAGGACCATGAGGGGAGGGATGGTGGGAAGTGTGGGAGAGAGAACGGTTTTCATACCGATGACGCAAAGACCGGGACAGCCATTTAGTAAGGATGGGGAGAGGGCAGAGGTTAAAAAGTTGGTGGAAGGGAAGAAAACGGTGGATAGACAGAATGAGGAGTTGAGGAATGAGTTAAGGGAGAAGGAGGAGGAAGTGAAAAGATTGAAAGCAGAGTTGGAGAAGTTATGAGACGGTGCAGTTTTGACGATGGAGATGAAGTGGAAATGGGGATAGGAATCACAATTGTGCTCGAGTTCTACGAATCATCGATTGGGTTTGGCGGACGTCGAAATGAGTGCCCAATCATACACGCGCGAGGGTTAAGCAATTTTGCGAACTTATTCGGACATTCATAAAATTGGAGTTTCGGCGCATCACGGCACAGGCTTCAGTTGTCAGAAGGCTCTTCTCGCTATTTGGACGACGCACAGGTCACAAGGATAATTTTGAAAGCAGAGCGGAGTAATGGATTCCGGAAATGGCAAATCGACACTATTACGAGTGCGGAGATGTTAGATTAGAAACAATGGATCTACGGGCCATTATCCGATGCTCGACCAAGATATGAGTGAGCACGATCTACAAAGGTCTTTCAAGGATCTAAGAGGCGAGAGATTGTAAAATCGGAATCGGTGACGAGAAGGATATTCAAGATAGATATCGGAATAGCATCCTGATGTATGTCAATTTACAGGAGTGGAAGAAAGAGATTAGGGGGAGTAAATGGGTACTCGCTATCACAACGTCCATATTGAATTTTGTGGAAAAAATCAACCTCATGATGTCTTGTATGTATGTATCTTGTCTCGGATATTGTATATCATGAAAATTCTACGTGTATACTTCTACGTCTACACATACTCCTACTCCAGTCCACTAGGTATCTATCTATCTAGCATTCATCAAATAATCAAATATTCCATCTTGAGATAATAACTAACCTACGTCCTCAACTCAACTCAAACTCGCTTGGAATTGAATGCTTCGCTTACATTCACGAATATATCAGTCCAATACTTTCTTTCCGCTGTTTACCAACTCATAAGTAAGACTTACGTTTGCTCACTTCACCTCACTAACATACTAACATACCAACATACCAACATACTAGCCTATTAGCTTCATGATACATGATCCACTCACCAGTATACCAGCTTACCAGCATATCACTCCACCACCTCATTAGTATTTATTTGGTCTACCAACCTGGCAACTCATTGGCATCCTACCTGTTGAGTAGAGTAGGTACACCAGCATACCGTACACACTAGCTCAGTAGCTATCAATCAACTCACTACCCGAGCAAGACGTCCATCGCTCTAACGCTAGCTCGATAGCACATTAGCATGTTAACTCGGTAGCTCGTGGGCATACTAGCTTTAATACTAACTCATTGGTATACCAAGTCACTAAGTCTCCAACTCTCCGCCAGGTATTCAATAACCGTGAATTTAGCCGCAAAGGACAGAAGGGTCATCCACAGGAGAAAGATGAATCATCACTCAATATTTACGGGACCATAGCTATCAACCATATAAAATGAACGAAAATAGATCAGATCTCGGTATAATTTTACTCCATCTATCTATCTCATCTCTCCAATCTTTCTCCCCAAAACTCTCTCCTCTAAAATGATCATACAATCGGCACCAAAACAAGAAAGGTATCTTCAAGGTGGCAAAAACAAAAGAAATTCGTTAGTAGGCGAGAAGCATCGCTCAAAACGATTTGCAAAGAAAGGAATCGTAAAGTCCCGTGTATGTATAAAATTCAAAACAACTTCCACTTCTCTCCCCGTTCCCACATCAACCCACAAAACATCATTCGAAAATCAGGACTCAACAACCCCTAAGCAACCAAATCGCTCCCAACGAAACAATCCTCAAGAACCAACTTTTATGTACCTACCATCGAAACCATCCAGAATATTGATATCCCATCCCCTTTCCTGCCTGACCCAACCCATCCTAAAATCCAAACATTCAAATTATGCCAAACCTCCCATGAGGTATAGCATATCTTTTGGCCAGCAAAAAAATAAAAAGTAAAGTCGCTAAATCGCAGCACCAAAGTTTTTATCAATATTAGGTACTTCCAAAAACACAAAAGAGTGGAGTGTTCGTAAGTCCGTAATTATTCCAATCAAACTCCCGTGAAATGATTGACAAAGGAAAGAGTCGAGATGTTGTACATGGGTTGAATCGAATGTAATATAGCCTACATTACAAGGCTTTTGGTTCGTAGGCTGGGGGAGCATCATCTCCATTGCTTGATGTAGACCAGAACCCCTGACGAGCTGCTTTGTCGTCATGTTGACGACGAGCAAGTTCAGAAGCCATCTTCATAATCCAAGCTTGTTCAAGAATTCCTGATGGTGATTCAGTTGTCGAGAAGTGAAGTCCATGTGGATATGAGAATGGTGTATGTGGTGGAGTAGTCGCTGACTTTTCTGGAGTGTAGGAAGTGAACGCTGATTGATGATAAGCGGGACGCTTTTGTTGTTGCGTATTGATTGGAGTAGAGGGTTCCACCGTGAGTGTTGGAATTTGATCCATCTTGACTTGTTCAGGAGTCATAGAACGAGATGGTTGAAGTTTCTTTGGCGAGTCTCCAAGATCAATACTATTGAATCGTACCTTCCCGGATGGTGGGGTAACCGGAAGATCTTCTGGCTCCTCTGGAATACGAGATGGAACAGTTGGTTCGGAGGCTGTAGTCGTCGAAGCGGTCTCACTTTCGCCACTCTCACTACTATCCGTAGTTTTAGGTTTTCTCAAGTTCACCACTCTGTTCTTCTTCTTCCTCGCAGGATGTGATCTTGAACCTCGATTTGCACCAAGACTTAACCCTGTTGTTGCCGAATTCATATTGACCAGCGATGGTCTGGATGGTATTCCACCGTGACCATCATCGGAGTTTCTATTTGAGAATGTGTAAGTTGTACTTTGACCTCCGAGCGATGATTGAGGCCTGTGAAGAGATGGAGTTGCTGGTGTGGTGGTCCCAGCTGAATCTCCTCTTTCAGAAGGTGCCCATGCTCGAAATACCGCATCTCGAATGGAAGGGGTGAAGAGTGACAAAGTTCGATGAGAGTTGGTAAGTGCCGCTAATCGAAGTAAGTTCTTCTGTGAGAACAAGGAGTGAATCTCTGATCCACCGTCTAACGACAAATTGGAAATTTCCGTCGCATCTAGCACATTTCCACGGGCATCGACGGCATCTTGTGGTGGACTTGCAAATGGATCTACTGCCACCTCGTCTTTCGTTTTCTTTGCCGCTTCAGCCATCTCTTGATCTTCTTTTGCTCTATATTCTGGACACCATAATCTCAATGACAGTCTGTGAATAATAGCAGGCAATTCGTCCATCATCAAAGTCCTCAACTGTTGCTCGATTTCCTTCTGTAAATAATCCTTAATGAACGGTATCGAGTCAAAGGTAGAGGAGACTTTAAGGGATTCGAGGGGATCATTTCGAAAAACCAAGGTTAATCCCTTTGACTTTGAAAATACCACAATGATGAAAGCCGATAATTTGATATCCGACAGGGTAATTTGTAAAGGGATGGTGAGCCCCGCATCTGCGGCGAGGGGTTGTGGAGATGTGAATGAAGGTTTCGAGAACAAATGATTGTTGAGCGGATTAGCCTATGTTGATATATTAGCTATGCATTATAGGGTTATGTCAAGCATATGCGATATGCAAGTTAAGTGGTGAAATTAAAACGCGATTTCCCCTCTATGCGCGTCGACAATTCTGCAATGACAACTCATTTATCGTTCGATAAAACGTTCCATCAAAAGTGGGAGAATGAGGGTTTATGCGGAATAGGCAAAAATGTAAAATGTAAAATGTAACGACGACAGCGATAGCGACAACGACGACAATGACGACCATGACGAAAAAGACGACAAGAAACGT